GGCGTACGAGTATGAGCCCATGTTTTTAGAGTAGATATATCTCTTTTCGAGGTTATTAAAACTGAATCTATAATAGTAGAAGGCTCGTGAAGAGATAAATCTACCTTAGAATCCATATTTTATTCTTTAAAAGAATAAATGCGTACGAAGAAAAGAGAGGGAAAGATTTTTGAAGAGCGGTATGTACGGTGTGTGAGGAATGCTAAGAAGTATCATGATACTACTAATACTAGTAATATACGCTAATACTAGTATCGTAATGATACCTTTCAATACCCGAGGTATCAAAAACCACGCTGGGCACGACTTTGCATCCTCTGGGGAATTGCTCCGTGGGCTTGCCTTTACCTCCTTGGATGTCTCGTCAGGATATAGACATTCTTGTAACCGAAGTCACTGACCTGCTAATTGTTAAACACTATGAGGGTGTATCAAGTCGAGAAGGGCGACTAGATGGTCATGACGTGTGCATGTCAATTCGAACTCCGGCTTGGCGGTTTCTTTGGAAAGTGCGACCGGGTCATCCAGTCTAGGTTGTCCCGTAGCAATCTAGTCCCGGAATTTGCACCATAAAGCTTAGAATGTACTTTTATCAGTATAACATGGATGATTGCGGTCACTTTTCAATGCACGACTCCGGTTAATAGATCCCTCAGCGTTATTGGCCGAGGCTATCAACTCTTGCCTAAAGCACTCTGGATGTCGTCCGTCGTCTATGTCGTGATAGTTTCACATCTGTCTCAACCGGGATTTTGACCCCCGGAATCGTATTTTTCACGTACTGGCACTATATGTTATCATTCTTCGAAGTAGAGCATCACAAAGGTTTCGTAGTGTACCGGCACGCTCTTCACTAATCTACCACTACAAACTATAGTAAGAGATGAAATATTCGGTGGACACGGATCCTCTCGATCTCTTAGAAAATGACGGTCCTATGTTTCAGATGCATTCACTATAAGTAAGGCATAAAAACCCTCTAGATTACGTAGTCATAAGCTTAAACATTAGAAACCTATCTAGTACTGTATACTAATGGTCATATTCTTCTAAGGGGCAAGCCGCATGAAGAGCGAAAAAGAAATCACCTTTCTCCGTAGGCTAAATGACTTTTCGAGGCATAGACGAAGGGAACATTTTCGATTCTTCAGTCGAGGACTAATTTCTGTTAGAAGAGCTCGATGGAGGATATGTATTAGATCTTAAAAGTCCATCTATTAACCCTCAAATAATTACGAACTATGGCATTTCCTCACAGGGTAAACATTTCAGTCATACAGGGCCTAATAGGTAAACCACTTACAGTACGGGTCTAATATCAACACGATATGATTATCGTGCCGTTATAAGCATATCAACCTTAGGGGACAACTCCGGATTAATGCTGGGGCAGGAGATACGCGACGCAGCACAACGAGTCCGGACATTCAGCGGACAATTGCTGGATATAGAGAGATATCTTGAGATTTTTTCGGCCAATGATAGGAGCTGACAAGTTCGGCAGACAAAGGAGGCTCTTAGAGAAATGCAAAGCCAGATGGCGGATCTTCGGACGAGAACTTCTCAAATTGAAAGATCCCTAGTATAAGTATTCGATTAGATAACGTAAATGGAAGAATTGAATAAGACAATGATGGACGGAGTGGGTGTAATGTGTGATAGCTTAAATACGATGATACCCTCATCCAAGTTACCGAACTTTACGGGGCGGGGGGATACATGATCTGGTTTTTTTTTTTTCCTTGCCCCACACGGCTGACGATAAAGGCTTTTCGAGCGGCGCAACTGAGACACTTTCCTGTCCAGAGCGTTTAAAAAAAAGGGGGGCGGGGGGGTGGTTGTGGCTAGATATATGCCAGTAGGTAGGCAAATTAAGGTTTTTCCCCTTGAACCTCCGTATGTCTCCACGTGCTTGCACCGACGGTTATGGTCCTAGCGTCGCCAAATCAAACTTTGAGATCCGAGCGACGGATAAGGAGAGGAACAGTGAAAGATAGCACTGCAGCGGTGAATAAGACAAAATTTTGGTCATTTACCGACGATGTAGGAGGTTGCTGTTTCCTTGATGCTTTCTTAGGATGTAGGTTAGGTGGACTACTTTTTGACCGCTGCTGTTATTCCAGCGGTGGCTGAGGTGACCTGGATGGGGCAGCGCCTACTTCCCTGCCCTGCGACAGCAGCCGTCGGGCGACAGCAAATCTGGGTGGAATATCGATCTCGATGGCGTTCCCTGCTGACCTGGATGGTGCGGAAAATTTAGAAAGACATATGCAAGATTTAATGGACCGATTAGTGACAAAGTCGAAGACAGCAATGACCTCCGAGGACGATATTGCCGGTCTAGCAAGGCTTCGGGAAGAGTGGGAGACGGCCCGCCAATGCAATTATATCTGCTCCGAGGTAGACAATCACTTGAAGGAGACCATCAGCACCATTAACAACTACGCTACGGGCGACGCCGTGCAATTTATGGTTTCGACCGACGGAAATATTATTCATGGAACAAATCGAGGGCTTGGGTGGAGAACGAGGCACGTCGGAGGCCATCTCAGTGATATCACGATCCAACAATTAGATGGCCGCTTTACATACCTGGAGTGACGAACTGATGCAATTAAACGGCGACTCGGACAGTTCTACGAATTATTGAGGGCCCACTTGACGAATCCACGAGCAGCATTGAGCCGACACAGAATTGTTGCAGGTTAGACAGCCTCGTCCAATTTGGCTCCGGACTGACCCGTCGGTCCCGTGTCGGTCCAGGGGTATATCCGTGTCTCTTTGTCACAAGTCCTGTCTGCGGTTGGACACCGATGAGCTTCGCCAATCCACGTTCGAAGCAGCCATTCGCCGCCTTTGTCACGCTCAGGGGTGTGCGCAATCGGACCACGCACCGCCTCCATGCCCCGTTGGGCAGTGTCTCGGTCATTCACCCGCAGATGCTCTCAGCATCCCTATATCTGAAGGTGGAGCAACCTTTAGTAAGGCACAAATAGCGCTAATCTTAATGTTAGTATTGTAAATATTGATAGTGAAGGAACGGAACTAACGATTAACGGCGAGGGCGACTCGATAGAAGGAACTACGTTACCTAATATCTTGCTACATAATTTACTAATAAATCTATCTCCTTAGATACCGAATTCCACGTTGTAGCTATAGCTAAGCCTACTAAGCCTACTAAGTATTTAATCGATTGATCGATCGAACCACACCAAATACTAATAAATCGATTGAAAATCGATCGATCGAAATTACGTAGTCGATCATTCAATCGATTCCTGGCAACGCTGGTATTGACTGGTCTAATGGTCTTCCTTCGCGATAACTTATTATCGTATTCACTACCTTAGGTAGTAGTAGCTATAGTACGCTAGTCACCCGTATCTTATATTACGAAATATAGATCGGTATTAGGAAATAGCGAGTAGGGTAGTAAGTACTAGAGTATAGTAGGAGATTAAGGAAAGACGAGCGCTAAAAGGAAAGAGAAAGAAGATAACTACGGAGGGAGGGTCAAAGTATAATAAAACGCGAGTAAAGTATATTAAGGTAGTTAGAAGACTAGATAGAAGAGTGATTTATACGAGAAGTAGAGAGAGGATAGGGGAAAATATAAGGAGTAAGAAATGGAGAGGAAGAGAGGAGAGGGAGAGGAAGAGAGCCTGTGCATCGTGCCCATGCTTCGATGCGTGGGATATCTTCTTCCTGGATTTTCTTGATGTTCTCTTGCGCAGTACGCACAACTCTCCAGCGGAAGTAGTCGTCGATGTATGCTGAATCGCCTCCTCTGAAGTCGACGGGCTGATCGACGAGGTTCGAATTGGGAGAAATTGTGGTAGTGCGAGGTGCGAACTCGTCTAGCGGCCGCACAAGATCTGGAATCGAGTGGATCGCGCGGTAAATAAACCTTGCGCCGTATGGAGCCGCTGCAAGATGGCCTTGCCCAGTATCGCTGCCGGATGTACATAACGCTGCTTTTGGTGCTCATCATATGTCGAAGATACGATCACCTGACCGGCCGTCGCTTCTCCCCCATCATCCAACACTCCTCCACTCTGGGTGCCGCTATCGCCCAAATCTCTGGGTTCCCGAGGCAGGGATCGCTGACCCGAAAGGACGACCACTGAAAGACCCAGCTAGCGTGCCTGACCACGGGTGAGATATAACCGCCAGCGTCCCAGAGAGCACGAACATCTCAAACCCAAAGATCGTCCTGAATCGTGCGCGGTGTGACATTACCGGGGGAAAAGGTCCCAAGCATTGCTAGTCGGTTTGGTACACTTCGTCGCATGCTATAAAATTCTTCAAGACAATTGCTCTTTCCGCTCACCTTGCCTCTTTTCTGTCCTACCCAGTCGAGGCCGCGGTGAGAGATTGTAGTTCATCGCCAAACATAGATCGGCATCCTTCGTCATGGCACCAGCAGCAGCACCGAAAGATGGCGTCACGCCGCACTCGGACCTTCGACAGCCCACCAATTTCATCACCGGCAACCGGGCAGACGGCAAGGCAACCATGCACTCGAGCGAGCCAGGGGAGTGGCAAAACGTACGCGAGACGAACTACTTCAACGTCGTCTACACGTCGTCCGAGTTTCCAGTCGAAATGAGCGGCGACAAGGACATCAAGGCTCACCAAGACCTGATGGCGCAGGGCACGCTTGGACTAGTCCGACCCAATGGCACCGTTTGTCGCATGGTGGACTTGAAACCTCATGGGCCGTCTCTGATGCACCGCACCCAAAGTCTTGACTACGGCATTGTGGTGGAGGGCGAGATCGAGCTGCATCTGGACTCGGGGGAAGTGCATTACTTGAAGCGCGGCGACGTCGCGGTCCAGAGGGGCACGATGCACGAGTGGAGGAACACGAGTGATTCTTGGACAAGGATTGTCTTCGTCCTGACCGATGCAAAGCCCATCAGGATCGGCAACGAGACTTTCGGTGAAGATTTGGGCGGCCATGGATGGGTCCCGCCAAGTGGACATTAGATTCAACTGTCTGGCGGGCAGAATAGATGATATTTACTCAAATCTCCTCTTTTACAAGCGAGATGTGGGCGGCACGTCGACCACAATCGACTCATCCATCCCAAAGGCCTGCATGGCCGCTTTCTTCGCTGTCGGGTAATCAATCTTGTCTAGCTTGTCCTGCAACGCGTCTCTGCTCTTCAGGACCTCCTTGATCACATCTTCCCAGTACAGCAAAGTGCTCTGTGGCCTCGTCCAGCTCCGTAGTTCCGGTGTGACATGGACCGGCTCGAGTCTCCCGTTCCTCTTCCTCACCACACCATCGATGATCGTGGTGACCACATCCGCCGGCGTCGAATGCATGACGATCGCCGTGACAGGGTCATACTGGGCGCCACAGATCATATTGGGACTAACCGCATCCAGGACAATGATATCAGCCGTCTTCCCCACCGCCAGACTACCAATCTGGTCTTCCATGCCTATCGCCCTCGCGCCCGAGATTGTCCCCAGAGCATATACCTCCTGGACAGACTTGTAGACGCGGGCGGGGACCTTGCCCTTTTCTAGAATGCGGTCGTTGAATGTGCCACGACTGCTCTGCAACGCCATGCGCATCTCGGCCGGGATACTGGCCAGCGTAGCATTGTGGCAGTCGATCCCCAGTGAGGAACAAGCTTGCACGTCGCGAGTCTCGTCAAAACACGCCGGCACGCCCATAGCCATCTGCAGCTCGAGCGACGGCGTCGACGACACCTTTGCCTTGCACCTTTTGATCAAAGCCACATCGCCCTGCGACAGCCGATTTGCGTGGGCTAGAATCGAAAGGGGCGTCAGCACGCCCACGGCTTCCATCGTCTCCACGGCCGTTGGCACCCCCGGCGGGCTTGGCGAGTTGTGCGTCGTGAGGTGTTTGATGCCTAGAGATCGGATTTTGTCGAATAGAGGCTTCAGGATCTCTTTGGGCAGGAACCAGCCGTCGAATGCGATGCCTAGCGTCACTCGCCCGTCACCCAACGGCCGTTGCTGCGCGATCATCTGCAGATTCTCCAGCGCCCACGGCGCGATAAAGCTCGGGTTTAGGCTGAACGGATGCCATGAATCGACTCGAATGTTGAAACAGTACCCGTAGATGGAGCGGAGTCCGGACGCGATCGTGGCAGCAATGGCAGCTTTGGCTGTTGCGCTGACATGTCAGTGAGGTGGTGTGACGATCACGCGGATAGCAGATTTCAAAGAGACGAGGGTTTAGAAGGAGACCTACGGTACTCCTTTCCGTAGTTCAAATGCGAGTGATCGACCACCGTTGTCGTGCCTGCGTTGATACACTCCAGACTCCCGGCGAGCTGGCCCCAAAAGATATCGTTGGGCTCATAGTTTGAGCTTTGCAGAATCCCTGTTTCCGTTCGGTCAACCACTCAGAACAAGATCCGCCATCGTTTCGAGCATATTCAAACAACAACAAATGGATCTTCCCCGGAGAGAGTGCGCCGACATCATACGTACCACGGACCAAGTAATCATTCAGCATGTCATCACCGTGTCTGCCCCTCAATGCGATTGTGTACATGTGCCTGTGTGTGTCGACGAAGCCTGGTGCAACGAGCTTGTCGGTGCAGTCGATGAGGTCGACGTCTGCACCTGCTGGAGCAGCAATGTGCGGCTCGATTTGAGTGATTTTGTTGCCTTGCACGAGGACATCGGCGAGGATGGCTTTCGCCGTGTCGTCGACGCCGTGGACGATGACGCGCCCGTTTTTGAGCAGGATGTCTTTCCTAGTGGCCATGAAGAGCGATTCAATATCCTCCGTTGTACATGGAAAGATCAAAGATTTGATGGTCTTGAACAATTCGAACCGCGTGGGCTAGCAACGTCACGACCTCTTTTGCCAAGTTCTGGTCCAGAGCTTTGCATCCAGACAGTGAGTATAGGCACGTAGTGGTCGCCTCGGAAGATCCAGCAGCCGTATCTCCGCGAAGAGGACTTCCTGAGAAGAGAATCCAGCTAGTTTCTTCGGGGACCTTGTGATCGTCGAGACCCAAGCGGGGAGGGGGGAAACCCACAAGATCCACACGTTGGATCATCACGTGAGCGGATCTGTGCGTTTGTTACGATCCAGGTGTCGACCGTGGTGCCCCACCCAGGGTAACCAGGAAGGTAGAACGGGCCCTTGCGAGATAAGTATTACTATGGCTCAAATAACTCTAGAATTGGGTCATTTGAGGTACCTTTTTACTATCTGTAATGTCTGACCCCATAGTCTCATTCAGTCACACCCCGACAGATCAAGACGCGACAAACCTTTCGGGACATTGGCATGCTGCAGGATAGCATATCGACCTGGCCGTCCAGGACGTTCAACAACAGGACGACTAGAACGAAAGGGAGCCGCCTTATTGCTATATAGACACACTGCAGCCTCAAGGCTCATTAAGAGTCTCCTTGTAGTCAATAACATTGTTGCACGCGTATCATATGTGTTACCAAGATCTTCACCACCACCGTTCTATGCCTGCCCGGCCTAACCTCGAATCAGAAGTAAGAGTACCTCTATACCCTGCATACCGCTACGGCCCTGTGTGGCGTATAGTGGGTCGTGACAGCATTCCTGCTCTTCTATGGCTACCCCATCCCGTTTATAATTCGGCTACCAGCTCGTCTAGCTTTCCCCAACCGGGTACCTTCCCTATGCCAGATGGAATGCGAATACTCTTCGGCCTGCTGTACTCATGAAGAGTCTCAATGGTGTGTTCTCGCCCGTAGCCACTGTGCTTCGCACCTCCGAACGGGCTACCCAGTACGGACCTGCTGTAATTGTTGACGAAGAACATACCAACATCGACCTCTCGCGCCGTACGTAAGCACTTCTCGTGATCACGGGAGAAGACGGCCGCCACAAGACCGTACTCGGGTTCGTTGGCGATCGAGATCGCCTCTTCGTAGGTATCAAAGACATTCACAGTGACGACGGGACCAAAAATCTCTTCCTTTGCAATACGCATGTCTCGGGTGACGTTGGTGAATAGAGTGGGCTGAACGTAGTACCCGTTCGCGAGTTTTGGATCTGTGGGTAGAGCTGCCTGTGCTTCTATCTTCGCTCCCTCCTTGATGCCGATCTCGAGGTACTCGAGCACCTTTTGCTGGTGAACTTTGGTGACCAGTGGTCCGACGTGGGTGGCTTCATTTGCACCATCTCCCACCACGAGTCTCTTGACTGCCTTGGAAAGTTTGGCAACAAGCGTATCGTGAACGGTTCTCTGCGCCAGGACTCTCGATGATGCGGTGCATGCTTCGCCTTGATTGAAATATCCTCCGTCTATAATATTTCGGACAGCCAGGTCCATGTCTGCATCCTCGAATACAATCAAGCAGTTCTTGCCGCCGAGTTCCAGCGACAACGGCGTGATGGAGTCGGCTGCAAGTTTGCTCACTGCAGCTCCGGCCCTAGTCGATCCCGTGAACGACACCTTGCGAACATTGGGATGAGTGACCAGTGCTTGTGGTACGTCGATGCCAATGGCAGGAACTGCCTGGATGACTCCATAAGGCAGAACTTCCGCCACGAGTTCCACAATGCGCAGTGCCGTCAAGGGGGCTTGCTCCCCGGGCTTGATGATGATGGTGTTGCCCATGGCTAGAGCAGGTGCGCTCTTGCCTCCTACGTGAATGGGAGGCCAGTTGAACGGAATGATACCCGCTACAACTCCGTAAGGCTCACGTTGAATGTGAGAATAGAGGGCGCCCTGATCGTAGAGCTCATGGGGTAACTTGTCCACCAGTGAAGCAAAGTAGCGGAAGATGTTGATCACGAAAGGAATGTCGCCTTCTTTTGCCTGAGAGATCGGCTTCCCATTTTCCAGGCAGAGCAAATGAGACAACTCTTCGAAGTGCGCCTCAAGATTGTCTGCTGCCCGAAGCAGGAGAATCGATCGGTCTCGAGGGCTGCGCCATCTCCAGTCGTTCTGATAGGCTTTCTGAGCGAGGTCGACAGCTTGCTGCACCTGTTCCACGCCGCCTCCTTGCACCGTCGTGATCACCTCCCCGGTCGCCGGATTATGGACATCGAATTGATGAGAAGGGTTGTCGGACGACCAAGTAAATCTGGAGATGGAGTCGTATTTCTTCAAGTCTATGCTGCCCATCTCGTCTCTGTTTGTCCACAAGGAAGGCGAAATCTTTTGTCAGGGTGAAGCGATTTTATTGTATCATATTTAGGGAAAGGGAAAAAAGGAACGCAAAATGTTTCAGCAGCTTCTGTGGGGAGGAAACGAGATGGTCTGTTGCAAAATCACGGCCTCTGTTCCAGACCCTCACATGTCTATCGACCCAAGAAGTTAAACATCGCGGCAGCGAACCATCTCCGAGCGGACGTCCACGTGACCGGATTTGGGCGTTTCTGGCATCAGCACCCTCAAGTCAGGTCCTTTATGACGGACGGGTCCCGGGCGGGGGAGCCTGTGATTCGGAGTTTGGATGTAAACAAAAACCGCTCGGCCAGAAAGACTCGTTGGCTCACCGGTCGAAGCGAGCCCCAATGCTGTTGACCACGACAGCAACATTGTCAAACAGTTGTGGCCATCAGAGCTTAACCACAGTGCATTACCACGAGCACCATGCGTGGCAAAATCATTCTCGAAGAGCACATCTGCATGCCAGAGGACAATGCGGCCGAAGCGTTGAAGTTTGCATGCCGCAATGCCACCGAGCTGGCCGCTGCGTTGGCCGACCTCCACGATGCTCGACTGGCCGAAATGAACGCAAATGGCGTCGAGTTGGCCATCATATCGATGAATCCCGCGGGACCACAGGCTATCCACGATCCCAAGGAGTCAGCAGCATATGCCGTCCGCGCCAACGACTACTTAGCCGGACGGATCCAAGGCAGTCGTGAGCGATTCGCCGGCTTTGCCTCAGTGTCCATGCACGACCCTGAAGTCGCTGTCGCAGAGCTAACCCGCTGTGTGAATGACCTGGGGTTCATCGGTGTGATGGTTCATGATGCGCAGGAGTACACAACACCGCAGGGCCGAGTGCTCGAATACTTCTACGATGACCCACGGTACGATATCTTCTGGGCGGCTGTCGAGAAACTACAAGCGCCCGTGTATCTGCACCCCAAGCCACCGATCCTTGAGGACTTCCAGCGACTGTATGCGAAACGTCCGTGGTTGCTTGGGCCCACCTACAGCTTTGCCAGAGACAGCAGTTTCCATGTGATGGCTCTGTGCTCTAGTGGAGTTTTCGATCGATTTCCCGGTGCACAGTTAATCATTGGTCATATGGGTAAGTATCCACCTACAAGCGTTGTATACGTCCAGTGGTTTGAGCGCCTCCGTTGACATTGTCCAGGCGAAATGCTCTTGAGCCATCTTCATCGGAGTGACCACTGGTTCGAGAAGCGTGACCGGGGCCGCGGCTTAAAGAGCCAAAAGACCCTACGGCAATACTTTGAGACAAACATCTCGATCACTACGGCGGGAAACTTCTCCACTCCAGTGCTACTCCATGCTATCAGCGAGATAGGAGTCGACAGGATCATGTTCTCGATTGACACGCCGTACGAGAACGTCACAGAGGGCGCCACATGGCTCGACACGCAGAACCTGAGCGACGCAGCGATTTCCAAAATCGGCAGGCTGAATGCTCTGAAGCTCTTTCCACGCCTAGCTGAATCGCATTTGCGCACCGAGGAGACGGAAAAGTTGCAACAGGATCACCGGAGGGTTTTGTTTACGAGGAATCCCGGCTTTTGAGGGGGGATGGAAAGGTGAAATCATCGAATACATTGTACTTTTTAGAGCAAGTCTGCGAGATAGAACGTGCAATGCCAGCACCGTCATTGCCAAATTGGGCTCCAATGCAACGCATCTCCCAAAGATGAGCATGATGGGCCTATCGATTCTTATTCCTTGGCTCAAATTTGAGAACCAGTCCGTCGTTCATCCAAAACCAGTAAGCCTGGGTGTCCCACTCTTCCTTGTCCGAAGCCCAGTCTACCTGATATCTCCGGAAAATTTCGGGGATCAGCTTGGTGATCTCCAACATGGCAATTGGCCTGCCAATACATCCACGCGTACCGTGGCCAAACTGTTGGTGAAAATTCTTGTGTCAGTGACATAGCTCTCGGATGATGGTCAAAGGGAGAGAGGAGCCAGACGAGGAGGATCGTCATGAGGGAAACCGGTTGTGAGAGCACATACTGTAGTGAAAGTCCGGTCCATGAGCTTCAGGCGCTCTGTATCCTGGTCGAACCATCGCTCTGGTCGATACTCATCGGCGTCCTCACCGTAAACTTCCTTGTTTTGGTGCATCAGCGGTGCCATCGTCCCAATGACGACACCCCCAGGAAGCTTGTGGCCCAGAATTTCTGCTCCTTCTGGAGGGATGACTCTTTCGAGCGGGAAGGACGTGGGTGGATGAACGCGCAGGGCTTCTTTGATGGCTGCTTGACTGATGAAGGAGAGAGAATTAGAATGTGTGTACCATTGAAGAAGGAGAATGGATGGGTGAGCCCACACGTAGGTCAGCCTCTGACTCTCGTCGTATGTGATGTATGCTGACAGTTTTCCTTCTCGATCGGCCTGGTCGATCTCGTCCGTCACCTTCTTCTTGACCTCAGGGTGCTTCACGATGTGATAAATGCAAGAACGGAGTGAGATGCCGGTGGTCTCGCCGCCGGCTAGGCTGGTCATCATGTCCGTCAGCGGCGCTCAGAATAACGACGGGAGTGGCATAACATAACAGGGTACTTACACTGGGTTCGACAAGTGGTTCATGAGATCTCGCTTAAAATTCGGTCTTTCCGGGTCATCTTTGGCTCTCAGTTGCGCAAGAAAGTCCGTTCGGTCGGCTTGCTGCTCCACTTGGTCATACCTGTCGATTTCTTTCTCAATAAACTGTGGATAAGGGCCTCTGTCAGCTGACAGTTTCGACGATAGCACAGGCTATCACGCATACCTGGAACAGTGCGCCCATCGAATCCGAAGCCCCAGGCACAAATTTGATGTACAAGGAAGCCAACCACGTATTCCCCAGAAGATAGGGATGCAGACCTGGCAGCTGGCCGATCCGGGCGAAATATTTGGCGAAGAATTGTTGATCGCGGATCATTCCTGTGACGTCGCTGCGTGTTTGCAAATAGCCCATCCGGCGTTGGAAGGTAATGCTTGCAACGGCATCGAAAGCATACCATTGAAACCAGGTGGTGGTATCTACCGGTTTGCCCAGGTTGTCGTCGATGATGCCAAACAGTAGGTCTGTGCAATCATTGACGTGCTTTTCGTAGTTCCGCATGTTCGTCATGGAGAATACTTGTGCAGTTGGTGCTCGTAGGTCTCGGTGCAGGCTTGGATCGACCGCGGTGAACATGTTATCCAGCGGCTTCCCGGCATATGGTGGGACCGACACGCTGTAGAACGCAGACTAAACAAAAATGTTGCTATCAGTAGATAGGTTGAAGCCGTACGGCCGTCTCCAAAAAAAAACCTGCTGATAGAATCATACCTTTCTGAACTTGCTGTTGATGCTGTAGATCAGGGGGAGGGTTTTTGGATCAGACACCGATACATGGTTTGCACCAGTTCTCACGATAGGACCGTACTTGTCGTGTAGGTGTCGATATGTCGCAATTGCGTTGCCATCACCCACAATCTTGAGCCGGTACAGCGACGTCAATCGCGCAAAAAAGGGGCCCGGTACACCGCGCAGACCTCGTCTCAGCGCATTTTGGAGACATCTGATTAGGACGAGCCCGAATACAAGCAGGCCAATGAAGACTGGTGTGGATATATTGGGCCTTGCCGGCATCGACAAAGGCGCGAGAGTCATGCTGTCTGGAAGAGCTGGATTGAAGATGTCGATTCTTCTGGTCGAGGATAGTTCAATGTATAGTGACCCTTCTGACCTGCTACACATCGACCCTATACAACATTGGCCGACGGTGTTTGCAACATGCCGGTCAAATTCGCCTGGTCGTTAGAAATTCGCCCCCTCTTTTGACTTTGGCGAGGCTAGCAGCCAGACATCAAACCTCCAGACCGCGGCTTACACTAGCCCTTCGAGCTACGTTCACGTGGACGGATTTTAATTTGACGTCCCACCCGGCGCGTGTGAAACGGGCCAGTAACGCAGACCAAAGCGGGTGCAGATTACATCCCCGAAACTTAGCTGGCAATTTTACACACCCTTTGGTTCTTCTACATCCGAATATGTGCATATCGAGTGAGTGATGAAACCCAGTGGTGGATATTGATGTACACTTGAATACAGCGACACACAACTCGTCTTTGTCCTCGATGGAAGCATGCCGCAAGACCCGGGCTAGGGACGTCGTTCTCAATTAAGGGTCCCGTTCATCTGAATCGAGGGAGCCTGACAATGTACCCGACCAAAGAGCATGAGAGACGGCAAGCAAAGAATCGGGCTTGCACCGGCAACTTGTGTGCGTCCCGTGGCATCAAAGGCCCGATATGCTCTCAAAACTGGCGTTCACGCCATGCATCCAACCCATAAACAGAGCCAGACTTGTCGTAGCTTCGCACAGTCTTCTCCAGGCTCCAAGGGTCTAGCATCGTTTGTATTTGGGATTCTTGTAGGAAACTCTCGATAGATTTGGCGTTGCACTTCGAAAGCACATCTGCATGGTGACTTGGGGCGGACATCGGTCTCAAGGGATCCTCTTGGATTCTGATGTTCTGCCCTGCTGCAATTTGTCGCAAGTGAGCCTTGACGAAGGAAGCGACCACCGAAATTTGACTGATGATGTTCAAGGCACTGAAGATGACTGACAACATGATTTGAGCGGCCTGTAGGGATGTCTTACTTGTCTCGTGCAAACAAAGCACTGCTCGGCCAGCCCGGGCCAGTACTTCGACCATCAATTCCGGGGTTGGGTCATGCAGTAGTCTGCTTCCATAGGGCGAATCGTCACAAGAGTACCTATCGCAGCTCATCACAAGGCTCAAGGTTTGGACGATAGCGTTACAGGCCTGTTGTCGCAACACAGCCGGCTCTTCCAGCTGGTCGGGCACATTTTTCAACGACTCAATTGTGTTGGCCAAAATCAAGGAGCCTAAATGGTAGTGCGCGATCAACAATACTGGCAGTGGTCAGCATGGTAGCATCACTCCGCAGTGCGAGGGGAACCTACGGTAATTCAGCTGGTTCTCCGAAGACATGTCCATGTAATCTCGAAAGCACATTGCGAGCAGAGGATCGAAGACGTCGTGAAATCGACCAATTTCTTCGGCGATTTGCTTCGCTGCGTCCTCGAGGTCCTCGACTCGGTGGCCGCCCATGGCATCGCAGAACCGATTCAACGTTCCGAGATACATGGTCTTGCAGGCAGATGCATGTTGAAGCACCACAGCAACGACGTCGGGCTGCAAGGGCACCTGTGAGCCATGCAATACTTTGAACGACAGATCAAAAATGACTGTTCTCTGCCGAATGAAGTCCCAGATCTTTCTATCCCCTAGTTGTCCAGGCAACATAACCATGGGCAAACGATGGATGAGTGAACGGCTGACATCCATTAGAACTCCAAGCCAGTAAATCGAGTCTTCTAGATTTTGTCGCTTCTCACAAGGGGCGCCCTTGGCTCTGGCCAACACGGAGTCCGAAGCGTACCTCTCGTCAGGTATCGCGCTCGTTGTTTGAGAGAGGGGTAAAGTAGCCCCATCCTTGAACGGCGATCGGAGGCGATCAAACTGGGTGTACAAGACTTGCGAGCAGAGCCTTCCGAAGCCGGGGTCCCCGTTTTCCAACGGCATCTCCATGAATGTGAAGAGCGACAAAGCCAGGATCGAGCGATAGCTTGGACGCGACAGGGCAGGCATCAGGGCCGATCGGGCTTGATACCACAGCTGATCTCGGATCTCTTGTTGCATCTGGGTCGATCTCGCGGAGTCGCTCACGTGATGCAGCTCGTAAGCGCTTTTAAGTGGAAGCCAACGGGCAGAGTAAGCGTAGATGGTATATCGAAGTGCGTCGTTCAGAAGGGGGTCGGAGAAATGCCTTCCACTGACTTGGCTAGCTCTCAAATCACACGTGCTCGGAGTGACATCCGCCTCGATGATGCCGCTACTGGTGTCCGCGTCGAGCTGGAGGACGATACTCGACACTAGCGCCTTTGTACCCTGCAAGCGTCAGTTGTATCCCTGAGCCCCAGGCCAACGCTCCTGAATTGGCTGACTGATCTTACCATGGTCATCTCCAGATATGGGCAGCAACTGTCGCCGAGCCATAGTGCGAAGCGAGACTCGAAAATGGAGATGAAGATGTCCCACAGTATGTCGTGCAATGCCAAAGCCTGTAACCGACGCGAGGCATTGTCTTCGAGGTCAAAGTAGGAGATGCTGCGAATCGGAGATAGAAGTCCAGCCGAGTCGTGTAATTGCCTGGCGCAGAAGCCGGCGATCGAGCCAGCACTCCGCTGTGTGCGCGGAGTCAGAAGAACATCACCTGCATCGAAGCGAGTTTCCGTAATCGGGGGAAATCTCCCAGAGGGAGATGCCGTGAAAAGTCCGTTGTCGCCAGCCGCAGCAGTGAGAGGGTGCTGGCCAGCGCCAGACGGAGACAGGGCCTGTTGCGGTTCACATGGTGCCTGACGCCAGGATTAGACGTGAATCGACTAAGAGCTCGTTACCTGCTGCGGAATTACCTGCTGAGGGCAACAGACTTTTGCACGCCGCACACAGTTGGTACATGGGTCGCCTTTACGGAGGATTGCATCGCACCCGATCCTAGCCTTACGGCACGGCTGGCAACTGGTACTCTGCCTGCGTCTGCTCATACCGGGCTGCTGAGATTGATGGTGAGAGTGCGAGGTGCGACGTGTTGCACGCACCGGAGCAGGTTGTGCAGTTTCCTCGACGTTGGAGAGAACTAATACAACTGAAGTCGGGTCTCTGCTCCAAAAGTTTGCAGCATCAGGCACGCTTTTCTGGGCGGACCAGCGGGGCCCCGCGGTGGGGGTGCCAAGTGCGCTCACGTGATACTGGATCCGATCGCGTGGTGGCCCGCTTTTGTACTTTTCCAGGCCAGCCGTCCGCTTCTACTGTGGGTCTGGGGCATGTGGAGGCCCCGGAGAGTCTGTGATGGATTTTTTGATACTGTGGCGTGGGCTGGAGTCCTGGTGAACCAAGATATTCGTACTCGTCGACTGGACGGTGGCTCGAAGTCAAACAACACAAGGCCACTTGTATACATAGGCCCGGTACCTCAAGTAGAGATGATCAATTCTCCTCCAATCCGCGCATCCCTGGTCCTGGGCAAAATATTCTACAGACGTTGCAAAGTGGATTAATTTTCGGTTATTTTGTTCAGCATGGAGCTCCAACATACCAAACAATGGAACTGGAAGCAGTTCACCATCTGCTTCCTGCTATCCTTGGGAGCGCTGGCATTTAGTTATCCTTCGTCCATCATCGGCACCACTCTGGCCCAACCCGGCTTTCTCACCTACATGCACCTCCTGGATGCTCAGGGCAATGTTGCCTCCAATCTTGACTCTCTGATCGGGGCCATGTCTGGAGTCTTTCAGGCCGGTGGTGTCTTCGGCATCTTTATTGCGACATGGATTGTGAGTCGATGCACACAGTTCCCCGAGAAGAGCCGATGGCTAACGATCTCCGGATCAAACAGTTGGAAAAGTATGGCCGCAGAGCTGGAATGTGGTTTGCTTCCTTGACTGGAGTGATTGGCGGTGTGCTGGTGTGCGCGTCTCAAAACGTGGCCATGTTCATCGTCTTCAAATTCGTCGCTGGAATGAGCTCGCTGGCCTTTCTAGCCATCTGTACGACGTTCGCCGGCACAGGATCCATGTAACTCTACTGACCCGTTTTCAGCACCAGTATACTGCATCGAACTCGCCCCTCCGGCTCTGAGAGGCCTCTTCGTCGGCTGCGTCGGCATCAACATTGCAATTGGCTATGGATTAGCTACCTACATGGGATTAGCCTTCTACCATTCTAGCAATCCATCAACGCAATGGCGTGGGCCCTATGGGATCTCATTGATCTGGAGTGCTTTGCCAGGCATTGTTGCCATCTTCACGCCCGAGTCACCTCGATGGCTGCTTCTTCAAGAACGTGTCGAGGACGCCAAACGGGTCGTCCGAACATTGCACCTCTTGTCCAACAATGAGGAGCATCACTTTGCCATGGTGGAATTCTACCAGATGCAGAAACAGGCCGAGTACGATAGGACTCTCAACCCTTCCTACTGGCAGATGTTCAAGAGAAAGTCATACCGCAATCGGGTTCTCATAACCACTGCCTACGCAGCCCTCGGTCAAAGCACAGCAATTCTCGGTAAGAATTGGTCTAGAAAGACGTCCACCCTCAGCTTGTGTGGACAAGTCGGCTCACGATCCTAGTCATCAACAATTACGGTCCGACGATCTTCTCTGCTCTGGGCTACGACACTCTGAAGCAGCTTCAACTTCAATGTGGCTGGATCACCTGTGGTATCGCAGGAAATCTGACAGGTGCTCTTGTCGTGGACAAATTTGGGCGTAAGGCCATGATGATCTTCGGCATCGGTGGTTGTCTCGCCTGCTTGATTGTAGAAGCAGCAGTCGTTGCCACCTGTGCCAGTCCCCTGCCGCCAGAGCCAAACTACAGCGCACTCCGTGCCGCTGTGGCAGCATTGTAAGTTACAGTTCAAGCATGAACCCGATCTACCAGAACATTTCGAGCTAATGCCGTCGTCTATCACCAGTTATGTGTTCGTCTACTTCTACGGTTGTGGCGTAGACATCGCTGGCTGGGTTTTCTTTGGCGAAGTCTACCCTAACCACCTGCGGGCCAAAGGTCTCGCCCTCGCCACTGCTAGTTTCGCCTTGACCTCTCTCGCGTATTTGCAAGCCAGCCCTACTGCCTTCCGCACAATTGGCTGGAAGTTCTATCTGGTGAGTTCAACTTGTTTGACGATGGTCTTACCAATTTGTCCTAAGTCTTGTCTGACAGGTCTTCATCTGCTGTTGTGTGGTTGGTCTGGTCTTCATTATTTTCGCCATACCCGAGACCAACGGTGTCCCACTCGAGGAAGTGGCGGCAATATTCGGAGACGAAGATGAAGTTGTTGTCTTTACGGCTGACATTCAGAGTGGAAATTATGGAGAAATCGTGGTCAAAGACCACGTTGTTGCCGGGAAGGAGGGCGACAGCGAATTTGGCAACAAGACCGAGGGTAGTCACCACGAGATCGTTGACCTTTGAGCGGTCGCGCTGATCTTTGAGTGGTGGCAGTATCGTGCCAGTCTGGCAAGGCTCAGACAAGGGTAGCATAGGGTTCAGGGCGAGCGGTTGTGAATCGGGTGCTGTTGTTCATAGGAAAGGTGGTTTAGTTCATGGGGTGTCGTACCAAATGCACAGATGGCCTGCCGAGCGGGTAGGCCAGGAAGCCACCCAATTCATCATTTTAGTACCTTTTGACCAAAGAGATCGTTCGTCACGCGGTCTTGCAGAGTTCATCAGACCGACGAGATGAGGCTTTATGTTCGTTGATCTACGAGCCACCCGTGATATCAAACTTTGGTTCCACTTCACCCCAACATGCCATCCCGACTCGAGGATTGAACCTTGTCCACATTCTCTAAAGTTTCTGCTGCGGAGGCGTCATTTTTAGACCATACTCTTTTTGGAGTTGTTTCCAGCCCAACTGGCCGACAACATACGCTGTCGCTTGAGTATGATTACTATGGTCACAATTTTAGCAATGCACGAGAGAGGAGCACGGCAGCGCGAGGAGTGGTTTCATACCTGGTAATCAGCGGACAGACACTAAGGTCCATAACGCGCAGACCGTCAACTCCACGAATCCGGAAATCGGTGTCTAAACAGGCACTGTGGTCATTGCTGCTTCCCATCCTCACAGTCCCTACGGGGTGCAAGATCGGCATGAGGTAAGTTTTGAGGAACTTCAGGATGTCTTCGTCGCTGTCGGAAGCCGGGGTCAGGTTTGGACCGACGATGTACTTGGACAAATCCGTTGACTTGATGAGATTGAAGCCTTCTCGGACCCCTTCGATCATCATGCGCGAATCATACGGGTGATCAAAGTAGTTAGGATCGATCAGAGGCATTTCAAGTGGGTCTTTCGAGGCCAGTCTGACGGTGCCCCGAGACTGAGGTTGCATGGACATGATACCGAGCATAAAGCACTCCGGCCCGTTCTTCGTGTCGAACTCCTCTGGGACAGTGCCCTGGAGAAAGAGCTCGATCTGGGGAGTTTGAGGGTGTTTGATCCATTTCTTCGTCCTCTCATCCAGCTTTTCCAGCTCTTCGAAAGTCTTCGGTGACCGCTTGGGATCATACTTGACGAATGCCAGCAAATTTGACAGATTCAGCCACGCGTCTTGTCCACTGCGGTCTTTTCGCCACTGTTTTCGGGCTGTTTCCACGAGCTCTGCGTTCCTGACACGATCAACACTCGTGCCCAACTCGGTATTGGCGCCCCAGGAAACGATGACATAGTTATGATCGATCATGTCCTTGCCCAGTCGCGGGAGGTTCACCAAACTGGGGATTCCCAACTGCCTGAGATCTTCCTTGGGTCCGATGCCAGACAGCATTAATAGCTTGGGGGTATCGATTGTTCCAAGCGCAAGGATCACTTCGTTTTTGGCCCGAGGTTTCCGGCCGTCCGCAAGCTCTACTCCAATAGCTTTGGGCTTTGAACTGTTGCCGTATTTCTCGAATAGCAGCTTGGTGGCAAGAGCGTGAGTCCAGATGGTGAGGTTTGCCGGGGGGTTGCTCAAATATGCAGATGCGCTGGTAACACGATACCCCTTGTACGTCGTCGTAGAGATGGATCCGACACCAATGAGATCGCCCGAGTTCTGGTCCTGGTTCAGTGGCCAGCCAAATTGGAGACTGGCTTTCATGACTTTGTCCAGTCCCGTGGGCCACTCTTGTCTTGCCGCCAAGCTCAAATCCACAGGACCCTCGAAACCGTGGACACCATCCCTCAGACGAACGAAACCGTCCGGATCATCGTCGGGGGTGAAATGGAGGTTTTCCAATTCACAGTAGCGTTGGACGACATTCTTCCATTTGAACGCATCATCATCGACCATCTCTGCCCAGGTGTCATAGTCGGATCTGGAGCCACGGATATAGCCGCAGAAGTTGGCCATGCTTGAGCCGCCGAGCCCTTGACCACGCAGATACTCCAGGCTTCGGTTGTTGAGGTTCTTTTGCGGGACAGTCTCGTAGCGGAGTTTGACTGCATCGTTTATGTAGACATTGGTGAATCGCTCCGACGCGACTCTCAACTCAGGGTCTTGATTGTCACCTCCACGCTCTACTAGAAGTACACTTGGTCCGGGTATCGCGCGCGCCAGATTTCCAGCAACCACGGCTCCAGAGTTGCCTATCACTTTTGGTTAGACCTCGACATCATCATCTGTTTTTCTTTGCGCTCACCCGCTCCGACGACAATGAAATCGAACGACCGTTCACGCGACCCGGCCATATTGAGCTCTTTCCGCTGATACCTGTATTTTCACCAGGAGGTCGACAGTTTCTCTCTTACGACCATGATATATCCCCCAAATTCTAAGCGACTATCGAGCGAGGCCTTCGACATTACTTTGCGTGGTGTGACGGGCGCTTGTAATACACTGTAGTCATCTGGACTTGCAAGAAGGTTTCGGTCTCGACTGTGAGCATGTGAGTAGGCCTAGCAGGCTTTGTTGACACAACCCCGCTCCGCTTGAGCAGCCACGAGGGGCGGATGCGATCATGTGACCGGATCTAGGCAAACGGAGTCTCGTTTGGGCTGATGACTTTGACTATCCTTCGCAGCGAACAGAGTGCTAGTTGTGCTCGAAACCTTCTGTTCCTCTTTGGTTACTGTTCCTGCGTCGCTCTGCAGGCCGTTCCGTGAGCGATTCGACTACAGCGACTACTCGCCATCCTCCTGTGTTTAGTTTGGTTGGTTTGTGTTGTTGTTGGCAGGCGAGCGAGACAGTGCCACCACCAGAACACCGCGCCCACCTACCGGCCCCTGGACAGGCCTCTGTGCGTTCTAGCACGTGCATGCTAACGAATTCGATCCCCGTACAGTATTAAAGAAATTTACTAATTAGTGGTTACGACTATAAATTCAATAGTGGCAAAATTGGTGGGGTGGATGGATATTTTTGCTAGGGTGCTGTATATAACTATACATAACCTTAAGACTCTTTCCCCGACTAATACCCCGTCGCTTTCCTCTCCTGCTAATGACGATTTAGTCGACTCGCTTCCTCGTCCGCTCCCCTCTACTCCCTTCCTCTCTTTCTGGCTCCCCTTCCACTCTCTTCTACTCTCCTTTGTCTTCGGCCTGATTCCTACCACCCTCTCTCGCTTCCCTCCCTACACCCTTATGCGCTAGCGAAGTACCTATTTTATCTCCAGTCTTACTCGCGTCTACGTTATACGCACCTAGCCTTATGGTAACTTTACCCGATAGCATTAATGATAGCCCGTTTCGGACTCTAATAAAAGGCGGGATCCCTGAGAGGATACCCTACTATATTACTGGACAAGTCTAACTGAATCCCCACGGTTCTGTAGTATAATGCTCTTCCCCTTTTCCTCTCCCTCTCCTCTGTTCCTCTCCCCCTCTCGGTCCTTCGAATGGCGCACTCAGAAAGTCTTGGCACATATGCAGTCGACCGTGTTCTAGACCCTTGTGGGTGGCAGGGGTGCCTCAGCTTTCAACGTGATTCATGCAACCCCGGCGGCCAGAACGCAACAGTACGTACATTTATAAGTGGATGTGTGCGGATGTCCTGGCATTTTTGACTCCATTGTCGAATCTTGTGCCAGCTATGTTTCAGCTTTCGGGGAAGAGACCCTGCAGCCGACAACCTCAATCACTTCTCGAATCGTTGTCAGCCAGCCCCTGGTTGTCACTTCCACTGGGGGCCAGAACGAATTGCGGGGTAGTGGTAGGAGCAGAGACACTGAAGCTCAATGCATGAGAATGAGGTTTGGCGAACGACCGACCTGGGCTATGGTCGTCCTGTAAATGCTGTGATGTGAAGAAACTGATAGTGGCTGGCTGACAACCATTCGAGAAGTGATAATGGCTGGCTGCGCAATCGTCAAAGGTTCTCAGCTCAATGAACTGTGCATTCACACGGTTTACAGCCACGCGGTACAAGGATCGTCGGCAATGGTAGGTATGAGAGGGGGACTTCACGTATAAGGGCGTCGCGAACGCTGCATGAGGCCAACATTGGTGAGACCCTGCAGAGCATTTCAGCAACGCCACATAAAGGGCTTCGAGCATATACGAGGTATGTTGATAGCCATGGATCACTCCAGCTCGCCACAACACCCCATTGCCATCTACATATAATTATCCTCTCCTCTACGATCCTCTACCACAATCTTTTCATTTTCATATACTGCGAGTACAGTCACAGAGTAAAGGAATTTGCAAGCTGCTTTCGCTACAAAAATGCCGCCACCACAAGTTACCCACGGCTCCAACCTTCCAGGAGCACTCTTGTTCGTTACATACACGCCGAAGGCTCCTGCCAACAATGGCAAAAAATATTCTGGCGTTGCATACGACCCATACGCGCAGCCGAATGACACCGCCGCAACGCTGACAGCGAGATACAAACAGGGTAACGAACCTGGCAACTTTCCGTACTATCAGTTATTCACTACACCCGATGCCACCAAGGACAATGTTGCCAAGTGGAACGTGGACGGAGAGACGTATAGTAGGTTCTAGCCATCGTCTTTGTTGCTAAATCTCATTCATTCCAAATGACCCAATGCATTCATGGTGTGTGAAGATTTCACGAGATCGCTGATATTTATTTTTCAATACCTAGTGGGGACCTTTGGCAAGCATCCGGGCCCGGGTAGCCCAACCTGGCCATATGCCGGTGAGGCAAACAGCGCAATCAAGGACGGCATAGTCATCTCGTACTGGAACAAGAACAACGGGAGTGGATGCGAAACGAATGGCGTTGGCCACCGTTTCAACGTTGGTGCAAAAACCACATACATGTCCCTCAACCCCGGAAAGGGCATTGATCTCTTGAGCGCTGCAGGAATCCCTAGCGAAATCTTCTCGGCCATTACGCTAGAGTGGTACGCAATGAAGTCGCCAAACAAGTTGAACCTCTAAGCCATTGAGGCTCGTGGGGCGAGGACTGGGGCCATTGAACAGCGAACAGTTGAAATTGAGTTCGGTTGATTTCAGGTAACTTCAACACTCTCCCAATTACTATTAACGATTGATTCTACCGATATCGCTATTCCTTCTTACATAAAAGTAGATTGTCTCATTTTGTTGTTCTTTCTCATTAGGCCATCTCGAAGAACTCAAGATTCGCCCCAGGCAGACTCTTAAGGGAAAAGGCAAGACAGGCGCGCATTGTGGAGCCTTCATCTGTCGACTGTCGGACACGAGGATGGTGGAGTAGACCTCGTGGTGGTCAAATGCAGTGACTCTCCGGGCAGAACATGACCTCGCCGATAGCCTAAGTCCCGGGGTACTCGCAAGCCAGTGTTGCATTGAGCGAGAAGTAGTTTCTTCTCGCCTTTAAACCAGCACTTCTTCATACTCTCGAGTTTATGATCCCTTCGCCCGGTGCAATACACAGACTTTGAGGCCTCCTCCATCAATGCTCTATTCGATGCCGTTATAGGGATAGGTATTTCGCTTTCCCACATCCCAAGTCTCTGGTAGGATTGAATTACTTAAATGATGTTTCCAGTACGCTGTCTGGTCGCCACAATGGATTACAACTTGTGTGTATCGTCTGCTCGTGTCGACTCGAGCTGGTATCAACGATGCTCAAGTACCCATACAATGTCTCAATCCACGTGCAGCGGGGGCTTATGCCTTCTACTGATCCACTTATATGCCCTTGTTATGGTTGCGAGATGGGAATGCTTTCCGGGTGTTGTCATCGTGCGCGTGAACTGAGATGGAGCGGGTGCCCTGGGCCGTATGGTGACTGACCTGACGGTAACGACCACCTACATTTCCGGCGTCATTGCGAACCACCTATTCCTGGAGGTTGACTTTGCTGTGACCCATGATTAACAAGCGGCAAGAAATGGAGTCAGAGTTCTCTGGTAGCCATTTCAACGCCAAGGGTGATGACTGAAGCACAAAGGATTGTTTCTGTCATGGGATCACTCGTTCCCACCCTACGTGAGGACTCATGCGCGTCGATTGTGCGGTGTGTTCTGTTCCCGTTGTGCAAACAGTCAGATTGCAAAAGGGGTAAAGTTCATGAAGAGTTCTTGCAACTCTTCGTGTTGTTCATGGTTGCTGTCTCAGCGAGGTCCTCGACCTCTCTGTACTCTTGAGGTATCCCGAAGGCGGACCGAGATACTTGTAGCTAGTCAAAAGGAATATTATCCGCAAGGGGCAACACCGTAAGGTCCACACTCGGTGTTCGCATTGCTTTATCCATGCATTCTGCCACGTTGCTGTCCTTCAAAGAGAGTTTTGGGGGGGGGGGTCATAAACAGAGAACCTACATTTGGAGTCGGAAGTATCGCTGCAATACTTGCCCACTGTGCGACATGAGTGCTGTTCATCGATTCAAGGCGACATGGCTCCGAAGCACAAGCTCCACGGCTGTGACTGTCGGTTTGCCCGGCCAAGGCTAGTATAAAGCATGACCTTGAACTTTCCTTTTCTTATTGATGGCATTCTCAGGAGTGTCTCCGGGTATATACATACACGGGGTAGATACATGCTACCGCCGACGCATCCGTACCTCTATGGGATCCCCAGCCATTTGACGTGAAAATGTGTTCTCAGAGATGCAAAATTCGAGAGAATGGGCGCCCAATTCTGCTGCGGAATGTCTCATTTAGAGAACGTCGGACTTCACGGCAGCGGCTATCGAGGAATGGTCGCTTTCGCCCAGGACTGGATGCTGTCTCGAAGCAACCTCGGATTCTCTCACAGACCCGTCCTCGATATGGTTGTGTTGCCGTGACAGCAAGAATGACGACGACACCCAACCCTGCTCACGTGCCATCTCTCGGCCACGTACAATGTAAGAATTTCTTGCCATACGGCGAGACAACGTCAAGATAAGAATTATTTTGCAATTCCCTCTCATTCAATCAGACTCACATCGCGGCAGTCAAGGGTTGTTCGCCGCTGAGTACTGTGGTATTTAGTTAAGTGTCAACCAAGATACATACATATCGAACACTTTAAACTAAAAATCGAAAAACGCCTCATTTGGACAGAAAGGGGAGGAAGAATGGCAGCAGCAGCAGTACCATCAATAGCGACGTCTAACGGTTTGGCAGCACTATCAACGCTAAAATCATCACCAACGACAAGCCGAGGCAACTCACGCACGCGTTCTGACGCGTCGCAATGATGGCAAAGTGCGTCACCAACGACACCAAAACCATCCCAACCTACAGAATACCAGGGCATCGTCGAACGCCTCGAAACTTATCTGTCAAATGGACACACACGGCGCTACCTCCACAACAGCTCGCACCTCGCGGCTTTTCGTACAATGAGAGTGAGGACGACACTTGCTTCTGCCAGGTTTGTGGCCGCGGAATAAGAGCACAAAAGTTAGTGGACTCAGAAGAATGGACCAAGTGATGAGCTCCTCTACGCCCATACAGAAGACTCCGTCCTCACGGACACAATACATGACATGATCTACAACGCTATTTACATCTCCACAGGAAGCTGCTCCTCTCGTCCTCAGACACCAGAAGCCGTGCCCCCTACATCGTCAACACCATAATGCACGAGCATTGGCCGCCGTGGTGGCCGCCGCATATTCTTGCTGCTCTTTTGTTCTTGTGTGAATCCGAATACTCGCAAATGCCTCTAATGACCAGGTGCGGGAAGATGTCCATCAGCCTGGCCGCTTCCATCTCGAGGCAAAGAGCATTCCAATTTCGCAACTCTCAATACCCCTGAAATCCCTAAGCGGCTCTCAAAGGTCCACGATGAACACTTGGGCAGCCCAAATTGACCACTTGGATGCCAAAAGAGGCTCCTCAAGGACTCGAAGTCGACCCTGGGAGCCCAAATGCGCCCCTCTAAGATCCTGTAGTTGGGCACGGCGCGTTATCACGTAGACGGAAGCATCGAAGTTTCCAGGCAGCAGGCTTGGCCGAAACAAACGAGAGGGACAGCTAACTGTAGCCGACGCCCAGAGGCTTCTGCGAATTGGTACCAGGGCAGCGCTCCTTGTGGCTCGCCCAGTGCTCGAGCGCACTCCCTCGTGAGGCCTGCTCAATGCTCAGTCACGTGCCCGGTTAAAGCGGCCTCGCTCCCTTTCCTGAACGAAAATGGTTGAAAGAAAGGTACAGTTCGGGGGATATATAATAGATATATACTTGGTACACACCCACGAACTATGGGTCCTTAAGGGTCCTTTCGGTAACTCATCCCCGCCGCTTTACAATTCACAGCCGGAAAACCTTCCCAATCTGATTAAGCCGATTCACTGTGCACCACCTCGTGTCTCTAGCCCATCTGATGGTGATGGCCCGGGCCGATGACAATGTGGCTGTGGGTTGGTTGGGGCTGGAGAGGCTCGCGTAGCTCGTTCCTTTGGGGCTGTACTCGGTGCTCCATATCCGCCGTGAGGCTCGAGCGTGGGAAGCCGGACACCCCCGTAGCGCACGGCGTTTTGCACGAGTGTGCGCAACGCTCAATGTACGGCTGAAGTGCCGCCAGGTGTCGTCAAAATCAATGCCACTCGCTCCGATCTGGCTTTCTTCGCCTTCTTTCTGTTCTTCCAGCCTTGATTCTTCGTGCTGTGGGTGTGTCGTGGGTCAGAGCCCCAAAGCAGAGCTAACCATGGCACCTTTCCCCAGCGAAAGTCGGCCTCACGACGTGGTGTTGGACGAAAACGATGGCGATGAGGCTCTGACTGACTCTAGATTTGCGGCGGGCTCTCCAGAACTATCATTTTATTCCGACGCCCACAATCTGCGGGTTTGGAGCACCAACGGCAACGACGCGCACAAGGTGCTTCCGATCTCATCCACCAAGTTGGGACGAACAGCTGCCAGGAAGCGGACGGCCGACGAGAAGAAAAGCCTGTTTGCGGTTGCACAGTTAGATTCGACGCTTGCCTCCGCAGCTAAAATCTATTTTTTGGATGTGATTGCTCCCAAAGATCCTTTACGGTCAAGATTACGTCCGAGCACACACCACGACGACCATGAACCCAACAACCCAGTCCACATGGATGAACAGCGCCATCACCGTTCATGGGCAACGAGCCAAAGGGGTCATTTCGAGGACCTTGTGCGCCACGCCATTGAGAATCACGAAATAAACCCCAAGGCCAACGACGTCAACGACAACCATATAATACGTGATGAAGAACAAGACACGACGAGACAACGAACCGGCCAGCTTCCTCCTATTGTCGATAAACCCCTCTCTACCTCTACCAGTGACTTCCCGAGCGAAAGATCCCCGAAAGCAACTCACCGCGACCCCACCAAGGAACTCTCATCCAGGTACCGGACACTCGCGCGACAGCCAGCGTTTCTTTTCAACAATTATCCTCTCATGCAGGGCTTGCAAATCAATTCACCACAGCGCAACAGACGGGAAGTTGTGATTGAACTTGTCTATCGGGTTTTATCATGCCATAATCTGAGAAGATGCTTGTCGTGGCCAAGGATTGATCAAAACATAGATCGAACACCTCCAACCCCCACTGGTCCATTCCAGCATTACACTTCAGTGACTTCACCATGGCGGAGGAGGAGCTCTACACCTCTTTTAGGGGTCGAAGATGCCTGGGAGACAGAATTGCAACAGTCATTGAATTTGTATGTTTTGCAATCCAATGGAAGTACAATTATTAGTACCCGCGGAGATCTGTCCCCAATGGATGCCTCCACACCAACAACTTCCGAGGGTACAACGTCGACGGCGTCGTCAGCTCAGTCAACACCATCGAAGCGTCCTCACCATCGCTCAGGACGAGGCAAGAGCAATCGAGAAGACGATGACCATCCCTCAGACAATGACGAAGAAGATCATCCATCCAAGAAGGCACGCACTTCTTCAGAGAGTGGTTTACCCACAGAGAAACTTCTTGCTTGCCCTTACTGGAAGTACGACCCAGCTCGGTACTCTCCTGCCAACACCTCGGAGAAGAAGTATCGGGGCTGCTCGAGTGTTTATCTCAGAGACATCGCAAGGCTGAAGCAGCACCTTTACCGCGTTCACAAAATGCCCGATTATCATTGTCAGCGATGTTTGCAGATCTTTGAAAATGAGCCCAGCCTAGAAGAGCATGTTCGAGCCCCGGCAGAACTTGCATGTACATATCGGGAAAACATATCATCGGAACTGTTGTCTGAGAGGCAATGTGCCCAACTGAGAAAAAGGTGGACCGGCAAGACCACTGAAGAGGCGTGGAAGTGCATATGGTCCATCATTTTTCCTCGCCTGGAGCCACCCTCGAGCATATACGCTGAAGACACTCCCGCATCGATTCAGCCTGCTCAGATACCTGGATTTCTGGGCGAATTTCAGCGGCTCGCCCCATCCGTCCTGCATCAGATACTTATTGAAAGGACGGCTGAAACCGAGTCTGCCCAGATGAGGTCGTGGCTGCAGTCGGCTGATGCACAATCAATTCTCAGCGCCTCGATTCAGGAGCTGTTTACCCGCCTCCAGTGCGCCGAGAACAGTCAACCTACGCCACAGACACCCCCGATCACTACCACAACCTACTTCTACCCCGAACTTCCCGACTTTGGCGACCTGCTAAACTTCGATATATTTGACGAAGCCCCTACGGACCCAAATCCTGGTCCTTCAGAAGCCAGCACTGACGATTCCGAGGGCCCTCTCAAGGAAAAGCCAGAGAGCATAGATTCGATTTTGAACCGCAGTCATCCAGTTGATGACAGTTTCTTGCTCCCAAAACCGGCAGACACACCTAGCAAAATTCACATCCAAGTTAAGACTCCAACGCCAGTCAAAATTCCAACACCGAGCCCCCAAGCAATCCACCGCAACCGATCACCACCACGTAACGAAAAGGGCGAAATATTCTGCGATCACATCGACTGTCGGGGCAAACCCGTTCAGACGTTTCGGAGAGTCTGTGAGTGGAACAAACATATGGACAGACACGAAAGGCCTTACAAGTGCTACGAACCGGGCTGCGAGTCGCGAATAGGATTCACCTATACAGGCGGACTTCTGAGACACCAGCGCGAGATACATAAGATGCACCTCCCGACGAAGGAGCCAGTCTTCTGCCCCTTCCCCCAATGCCTCCGAAGTTCCGGAACAGGTTTTACAAGGAGGGAAAATCTCCAAGAGCACATTCGGCGAAGGCACTTGGATGAGCTATCTGAGAGTAGCTCTAGTACGACCGTTTCAACAGACGTTGTAAGACCTGTGGATGTTTTCAACGGTAGCGAAAACACTTGTGACCCTCGACAACTTTTCACGAACGTACCTGCGACACCGGTACCAGGAGCCTCCATCAATCCTACGGACTCGAGAGGAGATCCATCAGACAGTCAAGAGACACCTGTTTGGCATCCTCGGTGAAAGAGACTGGCTCTGCATCTTGGCCATTCCACACGGAGACCGATCAAGCCGCTAATCAGCAGTCATTGACCAGCTCCGAATGTCTGTAGACAGCTTAGACCACATGGATTCTTGTGCCAATTGGCCGTTAGGGTATCTGGTGCTTGCAGATTGCCGACCAGAGCCTAAGCACCCCAGCCAGCACGCCTTATCGCCCCCAATTTCCCCGTTTCTAAGGAACGATTGGCGCAATGCGTCCCCTGTTGCATGCCTTGAGGCGGTAGCCCATGACATCATCTTGCATTTGGCTTTTGTGGCTTTCAGGTCCATTTCCAAGTTTTCGAGACGCCACGGAGGAAGGACGATCGCATTGATAATCTCGATCTCTTCTACGCAGATTCAACGATGCCAGCTTCATCTTGTGTGAGTACGCTGTCTGCGTGGGTTGCAGTACTGCCGCTGCCAAAGGCACCGCCAACTTGTGGAAAGCCACAGACTCGCAGAGCTCTGGGATGGACCGCTTGCGTGAAGCCATCCACGGCGCGTCTCGAAGGTCGGGACGTAGCGACCCGGCTGCAGTAGCCACCGAAAACACATCACCGCAAGATGCTGCCAGGACAGTGGCGCAACCACCGATCGAGGAACCAGCGTCGAGCCATCCTCCGGCCTTACGAGACGAGCCTATTTCTGGCGTTAGACAATTGCCCGCTGCGAGAGAAGACAGTCTCTATCTCCCTAGCATTCGACTTCTTCGTCACAGAAGTACTGCCCCGAGGCCTGAAGCGAAAATTGGGGCAGTCCACGATTATGCCGCGAACCCTAGGGAAGCGGACCGGTCGGACAACGGCAGACTGGGAAACTTGTGGAACAAAACTCGTCAGTCGTTAGGTTTTGGGCGCGCAGAAAGGGATTCTATACAGTCTGAAAGGGACTACAATGCAGATATGGTCGATGCCCTCGACGCTTTGGGTACTTATCCTATCACTCTGGGTCCATCTAAGACTTTCTGTGCTCACCAGTCTCGTCAGATCCCGAAGTTCAAACTCTGATATCTCTCACCAACGTTCAAAACTCGCTTTTCGTTCCCGACCTGGGCAAATATGTGAATAGAAGACCGACCTTTTCACTCACGAGCTTTTTGCAAGATGTCGAACAGAAACTGAAGCCGGGAGAGAAAGACAAGCAGGGGCAGGAAAAGCCACCGAAGGTAGCACGCCCTGCACCGATATACCGCGCTCCTACCGGTGCCACAATCAACTCCCAGCTCAGTGAATCTCGGTATGCGGTGCTTCCCGAAGGAGCGTCATTGTCAGGGTGGACGTACCAAGAGCGACTGGAACTCAATGACCATGTTCGACATATGCTTCACTCACGCCGGTCGAAATTCAAAAGGTCCATGAAGGGGTTTATGCAATATGTTCGCCAACGTGAGCCTGTCTATCTCGACCGCAAGTCGTGCAACTGCTAACTTTGAACCATAGCCCTGGGCTTCTGCATCACGCTCTATGCAACATTGATCACGCTCTTTGGCTTGGCCTGGGTTCTCTTCCTCATCGGTACGCCATCAGAGCCCTTCCAAATCTATGTGCACTGACCAAATCCCCGGACACAGGCTGGATCAACGTCGGTGGGAAGCAACTGTATGTCATCAACGTGATTGACAATGTCCTCGTTGCACTCTTCGCCATCGTCGGCGACGGCCTCGCCCCTTTCAGGGCTGTTGACACGTACCATATGGTCTTCATCGCGCACTACCATCACCTCACCTGGTCGACCCGCGAGAAGCATAACATGCCCAAGCTGAAGAACCACAACGATCTGCCGACCGAGATGCCGCCGCCCGTGGTCCCCAAGCCTAAACCACGCCGCCGTGATCGAGTGCTGAACAAAGCCGCCGCGAAACTCCACCTGCGAAGACGATTCGGCGTGAAAGCTGACCTCGAAGACCCGGGCGAATACAGCGTACTGAGCCACAAGCAGCAGCGCCTCCTGGACTACCACGCCGCCAAGTTCAACAAATCGCACACGTTCTACAAGCCGCACGAGACGGAGACGCACCACGCGTTCCCCCTGCGCCTGCTGGTCGCCATCGTGGTTCTCCTGGACTGCCATTCCCTCCTGCAGATTGCCCTGGGCACCGTCACGTGGAGCATCGACTACCAGCGCCGCCCGTTTGCGTTGACGACGGTCATTCTGTGTTGTTCGATCACGTGCAACGCCACGGCCGGACTGCTGATTTGGATCGGCGATCGCAGAACGCGCAAGAATGATGTGTTGGAGCGCATCAATCGGCAGGAGTTGACGCAGGAGGCGATGGAGAAGATGGAGAAGAGGTACGCCAACGGGGATGGAGATAGTTGAGCAGCGGACTCTATGTATATGTATGTAACATATATCACCCCTGAATAATCATTCCTTCACGCCTATTCTACTGAAGAATGATCCGTCGCTTTACTCTTCGCTCCCTCATCCGCTCCCATCTCCTCTCTTCCCCTTATTCTCGCTCCCCTTCCACTCTCTCTTACTTCCCTTCGCCTTCGTCCTACATCTGCCGCGTTCCCTCGTCTCCCGCCTTGGTACCCTACTCCTTTGTACGTCAGCGACACTTAAATGTGGCTCCAGTCTTGCTCGCACCCACATGACAAACAAGCCACCCGATGCGAAACATCTACCCCGTACCAAGATGGCGCTCTTAACAAGATAGTCAAGTAGATCAAAATGATTGATAGACACAAGGGGAGGCCCGAAATGTAGGTTTGGACATCCTCGCACTCGCGAGACAACGGCTCTACAGCGGACCTTTGATTACGTCTGATACAAGCTCTCAATACTCCGCACTCGGATCCTAGGGCCTAAACTGGTCGTTTCTCCTGCACAAACGCCTCCAAGATCCCGTTGACCTCGTCCGCCCTCTCCAGCTGCAGCCAGTGCCCACCGTGCACCGTCTCGACTCTGAGATCCGGGACGAGGGGCCGCATTATCGCCGGGAAATCGACCGTGACGGTGATGAAGTATCCCGTCGAGGCGATCAGCAGGGTCGGGTGCGTCAAGGTGTGGGCGGGCGTGGGAATTTCTGTACTCCGTATAAGCGACGATGCAAAACAAGGTAGGTGACAGAGAATAAGTTTTCAGGCGAAGAGCTGGAATGGGGAGAGAAAGAAAGAGACAAGAGGGACAGAGGGAAGTGGCACCGAGTACATACCCTTTTCATCGTCTTCGTTGATGCCGCGCAGACTGGCCCTGTACCAGTTGGTCGCCGGGCCATAGCCACCTTTCTGCACGGAGAAGGCGTGCTGATACCGTTGACGGTCCTGTTTTAAACGTAAGCTAGATCTGGAACCCTCCGTGGCGTCAACAGGCTGGAAATTCTACTTCGGATGTCCGATACGCCGGCACGTCAGCGGTCCTGCCCTCGGCCAACCAGGTGCGGAACCCGCCTGGGGCGCCCTTGTATTTCTTGTTGATCTCGTCGTCGGCGGTGAAGAAGAGCGATTCCACGGATTCGGACTGTCAGCCAGCGTGGTTGGTCAATAATTTAGCCCAAGGTCAAGGTCAAGGACACTTGTTAGAGTTTGGAGAGGGGGAAACATACATGGTCATCCAGCAGGTTCGGAGCGTCCTCTTCGTCGAAGAATAGGAAGTACCCGAAGATCGAGAACCCGAGGCTGGTTTGCGTCGAGCTGTTGATCTGTTGTACCGTCGCGGTGGTGAGGCCATTGCCTGGGGCGCCGTACCCGTGGTCGATGAAGACATAGGCCGAAAAGCGCTCTGGATGATAGTTCGCCAGGCGCGATAGAAGGAAAGATCCCCTGTGTAAGCAGGGTAGTGATAGCATAATTAGCACGCCAACGGGACATACACCTTTCCGGCACCTCCTTTCGATTTAGGAACCACATAACTTTGACAGAAGACAGAATTGGATCGCAAAAACATACCAATCGTGCGCCACGCCCACCACCACCCCAACGCCCTCGGAGACCATAATCTCAACGATGTCCCCCGCCATACCTTTCCCGCTGTACATCTCCAACTCGTTCGGCCTCGACGTCTCCCCGAACCCGAGCAAGTCCGGGGCTAGGATTCCATAACCTTTGGTCGCGAAGAAGGAGATCTGGTGACGCCAGTCGTGCGCGGTGGAGGGGAAGCCGTGCAGGAAGAGAATGTATTGCGTGTTGGGCAACTTTGGCGGGATATGGATATAAGAGTAGGTGAGTGCCCGCGCGGTGGTGTAGGTCGAGCGAGGGTAGGCCATGATGTTTAACTGCATTTATCGGGGTGGAATGTGAATTATCATAATGAGGAGATTCTGAAGAAGCCAAAGAGGGGGATCTGACTGATATACATTTAGTCCGGCAGGTAAAGAGTCATTCCAGACAAGTACTGGCATGCCAGATAGGGTCGCTAAGACGATTCAAGGGCTCACTCGGCCTTCAGTTATTGGCTCCAGCGTAACATTGCCGCACGCCGACGGGATGGTAACGGCAGCTGGCCAAAGCCCCGATTGCTGGAGCCACATGCTCAAGTCATAACGAAGGATTGCTCTGCAGGGTCTGTTGAAGTGCGAGTAGAGGAGCGAGGTCCAGGAAGACATTACGAGGGAGAGAAGAATAGTTCCGGCGCAAGGCTACAAAAGAGACTAAACGCTACCACTTCGGCGGTCGTGATTGGCTGCAGCGTAAGTTGATACACGCTCAAGTTGGTCGGAGGACTGTCGCCCCGACATTTTTCTTGGCCACCGGATTTGACAGGTTTGCCGACGTCGATTACTGACCACGGGCACCTTGATACCATTGGCCATACATATTTGTTGTTGGCCCGCGGTCAATTTCGACTGTACTCGGTAGAGTTTTGTTGCCAGGAAATCAGCCTTGCCGCCTCGCCGCCTTGGCTTCCACCGGTCCGGCCGTTTCGAGTATAGTAGAGGGCGGAGCGCGCCGCCGCTTCGACGTCTTTAAAAACCCTATGCCCCTTCCGGACTAATGTCTAGTATCCGTAGATCAGTGCGAGTCGCACATCTACGGCGGAAGGCCGAGCACCCTCTCAGACATCGCCAAAAGGTAGGCAGAAAGCGAGGCAAGTGCCCTTTGACCCTACAATCATTCGCTGCCTCGCTAGCTTCGAAGTAGCAGTTGCATTCGGATGCATCGCCTTATCACCTTGGGGCCGACATGTTGCCTCAAGTCCTGCAGAGATCAACTGGGTTGCCCCGTTTGAGGGCTTGGATGGTGAACCGACCTGATGTCGCGTACCTAGCCCATCACTAGCCTTGCGGCGGCCCGTCATGTTGTCTTGGTTGTCCTCCTATTATTCCGGCATGATGAGGGGTCTGTGCAGGTGCGCTAGACGGAGGTTCAAGGCGAGAACGCGGTACGCCAGAGTCCTGACACTTCCCGCTCTAGCTTCGCCGACGATCCTCATGCGGGGAGTTCCAGATTAAAGGCGATGTCTGCTGCTGTCTGGCTAAAGAGGTGGGCTTCTCATTTACGTTGCCTCAATTTCGAGATCCTGCTGGGAACGCGCAGTCCATGAGGTAGTCGTACTGCTATCCTCGGTCAAAGAAGGCTCAGGCAGTTTCTCTACATGGCGGAGTCTTTCAGACGTTTCATTGTCCTCCTGGCTATCTCGACCTTGCTGCATCAATCTGTGGCGCAAAATGTCTCACTGACGGTCGATCCCAATGCCTTGGATCCTTTGCAGACATGTAACCGAGGCTATGGACGAAGTAAGCTCATCCCCAAGACATTGGTTGCAAATGGACTGACCAAACCCCAGTGGTCACTGTTGACAACAAAGTCTATATCTACGGGGGAGTAAGCATCATTTCGAACGGCACAACCAATACCTTGTGGATACTCAGTGAGCGGAGGCTCTCCCGCTGTCAAATTGCCTCCCGAACTGATCGCATTCCAGACCGCTACCTCCGCACTGTGGACTTCTCGACCACGCGCGATTTGTCCGATCCTTCTCTGATCACCGCCGAGCCTCTTCCCGATTTTGTGCCTACTTTTGATGAGGGTGCCTTCTGGGAAGATGGTCGGAAGCTCTACGTCGTGGCTGGTCTGCAGGGGTGCTGGTATCACCTCACGGAGCAGGGGTCGTTCGTGGACTCGGATTGGAGCCTTGCGGACCTGTCGGGGCAAAGCATCTACTATTATGATGTCGACTCGGGCCAGTGGTCCGTGGATACTGCACTGCAGAACTATTCGCAGACCGGTCTCCCGATGGACGGGCCCTTCTCGTGGAACTATTTCGGTTGGAACTCACGCCTCGCAACAGGCTACGTCCACAACGGCATCAGGGCCGCCGGACACGCGCGCTTGGACCCCAACACCGAGGTCTACATTCTCGACCCCGGAGTTCCTCAAATCGGGGAAAAGTTCATCGCGTCCTTCAGCACCAGTGACTGGACTTGGACCAACAAGACCATCTCGTCGGAGCTTGTAGAGCCGTGGAGTGAACGTGGCAACTTGGTGTTTCTCCCGGGAACTGAGTCCAACACCAGTGGACTGGCCGTCGCACTGGGGGGTGACACAAGACCTGTGAGTCCGCGCTGTCGTCAAGGATACTCTTCAACCCGATTGACCTCTTACAAACGCAGGAGACCCAATATTTGAGCTTGAGACGCGTACTAATGTACGACACGGGGGCAGACGAGTGGTTTGAGCAAGACACCACCGCCGAAGGGGGAACATATCCCGCGCCACGCGCCTCCTTCTGTGCTGTCGCCATGACCGCGGCGGACGGCAGCAGCCACAATATCTACGTATATGGTGGACTACAAGCAACTGGCGACATCCCGCTTGGCGATGTCTGGATCCTCACGCTTCCTGCCTTCCATTGGATTCCCGTCAGCACGAGCTCGGTCCCCCGGTCTGGGTCTGCCTGTGCCGTGGTGGCAGACAGGTATCTGGTCACATATGGTGGCCTGGAAAAGTCGGTCTCATGGCCGGTGCCGGCCAGATACGACTGGCCCTGCGATCAAGCGCAGTCCGGCCTTCGGCTCTTCGACCTTATACACCTAGATTGGACGTCGACCTATGAGGCACCGCCTCAGCAGTCCTCGGGGGCACCCAAATCGTCAACGACGTCGAATTTATATGCCATCCCCAGCCAGGTGTACGGCATCATCGGCGGGGGTGCGGGTGGCGGCGCAACCGTGACCGCACCCAGTGCGGGATTTGGGACGAACACTGCCCTCGCCTCGATATTTGCCAACGCCGTCCAAGTGTCAGGCTCTTCCAGCAGCACGGCCTCCGCTGTTACTCCGTCCGGCGGCGGCAGCAGCGGCACAGCTTCCGTGACCGCTTCGGCCACCAGCGCCGGCAGCACCGCCGGGTCACATTCAAGCCACTCCCACGCCGGGGCTATTGCCGGTAGTGTGGTGGGCGGTGTCGCCGGCCTTGTGATCATCCTTGTTGCCGGCCTATGGTTCCTCCGTCGGAGAAGAAGGAAGACTGGCACTCTTGACACCCATGAGGTGAGCAAGGGTCCCCATGAGGCTGACGGTATCAGCTTGCGGAAGGTCGATAGTACGGGCAAATACGAGGTTGACGGGAACGCGAGGCACGAAGCTGATGGAAGTGAAAGACATGAATTCGATGCGAGTGAAAGGCACGAAGCCGATGGAGCTGAAAGGTACGAAGCTGATGGTATGGAGACAGCGAGACTGGCGGGTCCTCTTACTCATGAGCTCGAGGCGCCTCTCAGATAAAATGAATGTTCGGAGTACTTTAGCATAATATAATTAATCGCACCCTCACCGTATAGAGAGGCTTGAAACCCCCGATGCTTCGAGTTCTTGCACTGAGGCTCCTTAAACTAGGAATACCTGTCCCTAATAGTATCGCTCTTCCTTGCTCATTCGCAAGGATATTTCCTAATAGATCGTGCCCTACGTTCCTCCTTTCTTTGGCTCTACGATCCTTGTTACACTCTAGTCAGACTAGTTGTTTACCTTTTGGCCGACTCAGTAGTGGGTGATGCAGGTGGTGCAAATGAACTCCACACTCCGCTCAGCCTCGTAGCCTTGTCACGTGTTAGAACCAAACACCGTCAGACAAGACCGGAATAAGAAAGCAGGCACAGGCAAAGGACAGGAGTCAAGTAGCTGTTAAGATTTGGTGGTTGGTGTTGGTGGCGGTTCAGAATGGTGGGTATCGTATATACATATGGCTTGATGCCCGAGCAGTATGTAGCTATCTATCAACCTCCCCCTCTCCTCCATCCATCTATTTTGATATCAAACCCCCTGTGCCGTGTACCCGGTCATTTTCCGGCGAGCTGCAATGGCAAGGGAGGTGTTCCTGATTTTACAAGACATTGAAACTCCTGGCCTCTGCTCATTGACTCGTAATCATCAAATCGTTCCATTTTATTTCACAAGGCCCAGCCCGCATATCACACATTATTAGACTGGACTGTACGTAAGCTAAGCTTTTGTTTTCATGTATATCCCTCATATCTCCCTCATGCCTCCCATTGCCATACCTGGACCAGGCCCAGGTCCGGGCGGTCCCATTGGTCCGCCGGGTAGAGCTGGTCCCATGGGAATGGGATAGGGACCATCACCACCGCCACCTACAGCGCTGGCTGGCGGGACACGAGCTGGCCCTCTCATCACCCCACCTCTCATCCCAGGCCCTCCGCCACGACCCCGTGTTGGGAGCCGGGGAGGTCCCATGGTACCGGGCAGCTCGAAGTCCGGGTTACCTGCCAGGAGCATGTCTTGCCTCGTCTGCTGATCTCGCCTCCTCATGGGACCCATGGTGCTGAACTCGCCACCGTTGCCGGGCCGCCAATTGGGATTGACCCCTCGCTGACTGACGGATGTAAAATTGCTGGTTTCGCTCTCCGCGGGAGATCGGGCACCGGGCAACTCCTCGTACGAGTTGGTTGGGGGGATCTCATTGTAGGAGTCGGGTCGATAATGGCCGGGCGGTCCTGGAGTCAGGAGTGGAGGAGGTCTCCGGTTCCGGTCTTCGAGTTGGGGATTTGGTGGCATTGGTGGTACTGGGTCAGAAGCGAACCGTGGGTCGACATCTTCGTAGTAGACATCACTCCCACCAGAGTTGACTCGCGGTCTCCGTGGTTGGCTGTTGTAACCCCCGACGTGACTGCCGCTTGTAGGGAGCTCGACAGGAGATTGGGCTTGTCTCACCGGTGACCTCGGGTATCCCAAATCATCGCCCGACATATTGTTCCAGTTAGCCCGTGGAGGTACATAGCTTGTCAGTCAGCATAATCGACTTGTCCATTGGCAGGTTCACTTACGGATCTTGACTCTGCGACCTCTGAGGTTTGAAGTCACGGACAGAGGTGCCAGCCATCTCAACGGGCTGAGTCATTGGCAATGGAGGCATTGCTGGTGGTGGAGAAGGTCGGTGGAGGGTCCCAGATGGGGATTGAACACGACTGCCATATGGTGACGTTCTATCTCTTGCTGGGGACTGCGCCCTAGCTCCGTATGGACCTTGCGACTCTTCTCCTTGAGTGTAGACAGAGGGACTCCTCACATCGTACCTCCGCTCATTGTCTTCGACATATTGTTGCGAAGGTACCATGGGTAGCGGGGGACCCATTGCCACTGGGTATTCGTCCGGTGGAGTATACCTCTCCGATACGCTGTCAGCTCCGTTGGGCGGGTATCCCGGGGGTGGTCGTCGTGCAGCACCGGCCATGATGGCTCCGGCCGCCATGGTCGGGGCACCGGGCGGAAATCCACCCCGACCACGCCCACCATATCCTCCTCTCATGTCAGTCGAGAATCCGCCTCGGCCAGGATAGCCTTGTGGAGGAGGTGGTCCTCTGGAACCGTAACCGCCCCCTCGCGGAGGGTAGCCACCCCGAGGCGGATAGGTGCCTCTGCCACGCTGCGAATAGCCTCGACCACCCGGCGGCGGCAGGCTGCGATCTCGATAAGGACTAGGAGGAGTCGGCCCATCCCCAGAGCTTCTGCGTTGCCCCGACATCATAGCTCCTTCTGGACCGGTCGGGAGCGGCGGTGGCGGGGGATTACCGAATTGATCTCGTGGTCCATTGTTCGGTGGTCGACTGCTAGCTCTTGACGGAGGTCCATAGTATCGATCCGACGCCCCATCTCGGGAGGGTGTCGCCAGGCTTGGCTCATTGGACAACGCTTGCGCTCGGAGGGGTTGGCGTTCTTCATCGGACTTTTGACTTGCATCAAAGGTCGCGAAGGTAGGGAGCCTGTCTGCGCCGGGTGAGCCATTGACCATAGGCATAGTTGGCTCTGCGGTGAATGTTTGGGCGACATTCTTGGATTCTTGTGCTTGTCGATTGTAGAAGTTCTCTCCACTCATTTCAGCATTCTCGGCAATTCTCTTCTTACGCGCTTTCCGAGAGACCAGAGTCCGCCTCATAGCGCAGGTCACGACACCTGAAGCCGCTATGAGGATGGTGGAAGCAAGGACAATCCATCCAGCCCATTGTAAATGTGGCACAAAAAGTAATATGTCGACCAGGAAAGCCAGTAAAGTGACCAGGAGCGTGGGCAGCAACAGAATCAGCAGGCCGAGGAGATAGCGCGCGGAATGAGAGGGGGAGTGCAGGTGAGCAGCCCCAGCCAGTGCAAGGCAGACCAGGTTACAAAAGGCCGCGACAGGGTGGACGATGAGGAGGGAGGATAGCGAGTGTCTGGTAGAGGACGAGAGATTGAAGTCGGTATCTCCGGTGGGGAAGAGGCCATCTTAAAGCGAGAGTCAGTGAACTGGTATTTAAGCAACGCGGGACTTCATCATGTGCTTGTTACCAGTTGTATATCCCACCCTGATGCCACTGCATTTTGTCGGAGTGCAGTAGCCGAAGACTCCAAAATTAACTCCTTGGTAGGTTGCGATGGGGATGCTGTGGATGACAGGCGTCGAAAGAACCGACAGCAGGAGGAAAACAAAGGATATGAGCAGCAAAACGGTCAGAGGAGTGGCGGGCCTCAGCATGATGTGAAATTGGAATAAGAGGGGGATGCTGCAGCTGTCTTTTGGTCTTTCAGAGAGTCCACGGCGCCAAAGCGCAACGTCGGGAAGGATGAGGGTTGCGCATTAAGGGTGACGGTGATGATGTTCTTGTGCAGTTGACTTCAGCGAGCGGAAGGAAAAGACAACCTCCCATACACCGATAGTACTGAATCCCGCGGTACAACGATGTGAAATGGAAAAAAGTGCAACGAAATACTACTACTACAGGATAGTAGATGGTCAACGAGTGAACGTGCAGTAGAGGAAGGTGTCACTGTGGTAGAGGTGTAGGACAGAAATGCGTTTGAGGCGCAGTCGTCGCATCACCAACTGGGAAAACCGGGCAGGTGCAGGATGCATGCACGTTCCTTGGAGGAGCTTGGAGAGGGTGGGAGGGTGGGAGAGTGGATAGGCGTGTGTGCGTGTGTGCGGGCGGTCGTGGGCCACTGGTTAGAGCCTAGACTAAGGGCCGCTTTAGCTGGGAGTGGAGGCGGGAAGAGCACGAGATTGGGCCCTGGGCCACCATGGCGGGCGGGTTCCCAAGTGATCTTCTGGAACCTGCACCCTCATGTCCGTCAGTTCTTACCGTCTCAGGCCTGGGCGCCGGAGTTTTAGGTGTGCCTGAGCCACTCACAGCACGCGGGATAACCTCCGTACAGGGCAACGAGACACTCTATCCACGGGTAGTACCTGGAGATAACAGCCCACCCATTAAGATCATTCAGATCTGGGCAGAGGGACCTGTCAATAACAATTCCGTGAAACATATCCGCATAAGGACCTTCTCGTCAAGCGCCCGCAGTGCATGCTCGTACACAGGTAATTAGCCCGCACAAGTAAGGGCCTCGTATTCCGTACTTTGGTGCCGTGCGTCGTCTCCTCCTCCGGGCTTTCTTTATTCCGATCTGCTGCCGTCGCTGCACCTCCTGCTCCTCCCCGCTGAAGGGAAGTATCGAGTTCGTAGTCTGCTCTCTGTATCTACGAGTGGACTACAGTTTGCGGCTTGTTGCTTGGACTGACAAACTCTAGTCCCCAGACTCATTCACAGTGTCCTCGACAACGATCCAATGGTTATCATGATGGTTGCGTTTATCACTTCCACAACCCTAGTAGGTATCTTTGCCACCTCGAATATGACCAGCCACCCCTGCCATCCTATGATTTCCCCTCAGCTTGCGCATGCCAATTCATCAAACCCAATGTCCACTTTGAAGGTATCTCGTACAGCTAATGGCTTCTGTTCAGGATTGCCTCCCGTCCTCCATGTCACTCCATATCTACCGAGAACCTCATACGCGGGTATGCATCAAATTCTGGCCGCGACATTGGATTTTGAGATAGGACCATTCGCCTCCTCTTTGGTACAAGTCCGTCACTCCACCCAACCAGGTCTCTCATAAGATACGCTCCCCTTTCTACTTGTACACAAGCGAGATGTGCAGGACCAATCCCACACCACTCCACCACTGGCCGAACGCTGACCAAAGCGCCGCCTTCACTTGCCATGTTCGGACTTGGACCCGGCACTACAGGGCTGACACCCGGAATTTCATAAACCTCATCCTCATTACTCTCCGAAAATGACTTTCGACGGTTCATGTTTTCATGGACCTCTATGATTGTCAGCAGCCGCTATGGACCACCGGACTGTCATTGCTCCAGACAGTGAACAGTCATCGTCTTCCCTTCGTCTCTCATGCAGCCAACTAACTCGATCCCGAAAAGGCTCGCCTCAGACGTACCTCCGTCCTTGGTCTCGGTAAATCAATCCAATCCCAGACAACGCAATCGCATCCACAACCAAGCCATCAAAAGAGCCAAGGCGAATATTGGGAAACGACGTGACCATATCTTTTCGACATCTTCTGGCGAGGATACTGATCCCAAGCGCGTTATCGATCCGCTACTGGGGTTGACCAGGGCCGGCATCGACCCCAATCTCACGGTTACGGCTATTGCGCCGTCACCGAGATTGACTGTAACATCCGGTGGGCTGCGTGGTGATCCGTTCTGTGCTTTCCCAATATCAGCGGATGGGGGAGTCCTTTCCGCTGTTGACTATTGTGAGCTTTGTGATAAATCTGGTCGGGGAGCAGTCGCTAATTCGTGGTTTGCGCAAAGTCCTCCAGCACTACGCACCGGTCCACATCAACCCCAGAAAGGAGCAGTTAGGTCCAGCGGATAGCCTGCTGCTGTCACGAAGGTACTTTGGCCTCGCGTTGGAAAATGCATCCATGTTTGAACTCATGGTGGCGCTTGCCCAAGCTTCGTACGACGCCCGGCGAGGAAACACTCGGGAACCGACGAGGGAAGTTTTGGTTCACTATGGGAAAGGCGTCGAAGCGCTGCGTCTGAAAATGGCGCGGAGCTCAGCCTGTGATGACGATGCCACGATTCTGGCGGTCATGGCGCTGCTGGGAATTGCCGTATGTCAACTCGCCTCCCACAACAGGACATATTGTAACTGATATCCCTGCCAAGTTGATTTACAATGACTTTGTGTCGTTTGAGACGCACTTGATCGGCTTACGCCACCTTGTTGAAATGCGAGGAGGGGTTGATTATCTGGGCTGGGACGGCTTCTTGAAGAATTCAATCACTGGGTAAGTCCGGGGGAAGATTGGGGATCTTCACCACGCAACGGGTCTTGCAGTTGCGCGTCAACAGAATTGACTGACAGATGTTAGCCTCGAGTCTCTCTGGGCGTACCACGAAAACAAAAAGTTGAGAATTTCTACAACCGAAGCCAGTATCAAGCTCCAATATCCAAGGCATCCATTTCCTCCCGATCTCTGCACCTTGATTGCCAAGCTTCCCGATGGATTTCGAGAAGTTGCCTTGTCCGGTAGCCTCTGCGTCCAGATCATCACGATGTTATCATATGTGTCGGAATGGGTCAAGCAACTGCAGGGCCCCCGGAAGAAGGGCGTTCTACCACTGGGGGATCCAAACGGCACATATATGAAGCAGACGCAGACGTGTCTCGAACTGGTGCCTCTTCGCGGGCTGAACACGCTCGAGAGGGTTCTTTGTTCGGCGACCGCGGCCGTCACGACAGAGACATTCAGGAAATCAAAGCAACAGAATCCGGTCCATCGGCGGCTGGTCGAATCACTCTCAGAAATGCTTGCTCGATATAACCTCCGCGACTTGCCGCCCGAATGTACCATATGGATGGCACTGGTCATAGCGGGCCCTCCACATCCAGCCACTGAAGGAGCCACCAGCAAGGCGACATCGGCGAACAACAACCAACCACATAGTCCACGAAACATACTCCTGGATAGGATACTCGAGGATTCATCCAGTGCTAGAAATTGGAAGTGGGTCAAGAAGTCAATCACGAAGTTCTTCTGGAGCGAGGACTTAGTCGAAACATGGCGACAGACGTGGGAATTAGGGGTATTGCGATATACCGAGAAGCTCAAAGAAAGACAAAAATAAGAGGCGCACTGAACAGTACTTTCCATAGAGGTAGGTATGTGAAGGTTGGAATTAGGACCCAGACCCTATCAATACTTGATTTTAACGGACGAAAACTATGGCCAATCAATGATAAAGGTCAACTATTGCGGGAAACGACTCATGGCCCTACGAGCAGTCGAGGAAACTCCGTCGTCCCTCGGAGGTGATCCAGGGGACCTCTGCAAGTCATGCGCACTCGTGCCACTTGCGATGAAAAAGCCATCCCCGCCACGGCCCCCGTGGCCCCTTTTTAGTTAAGGATGTCGTAGCTAGGCATGCTAAAGTCGCGCGTCGAGGCCCGGATTGGCCAAGGCGCCCGAGCCGGGCGGGACGACGTTGATGCTTGATTCGCCTGAACAGCAGCCACCAGTGCGCGCAGATGCCACCCACAGCCACCCACAGCCACCTATGGCGTCCTACGACGTCATATCGCCTGGGACTTCACAACCTTCCCCCAGATCATCGAGAAGAACTTGGGTCTGTCGTCGATCGATGCATCCTCCTCCACCTGTTTAACAAGCCACGACACCAACGATCCTTTCCAAGACGCGGTCTGACGCTAGACAATTCCATGTATGCTGAATGGGATTTTCCCTTTCATCCTTTCTTACCTTCTTCTCGTCTCACACAACCACTCTTCATCAGTCATCACTATTCAACCCCTTGCATTCAAGCACACTTGTATAGGCCAAACGCGCTGCCATGAAACACCAACAAAGAATACCTTAACCATTCCTCAACTCTCGCCCCTCTCCCCTCTCTCTTCCTCTAATATCCCCCAAGTCTCGATTCCTACTGCATTCCTCCTTAGTCCATTGGCTCTGCAGGTACCTGCTCAGGATGAACGATCCAGGCCTTGATGAACCCATAGCCGACGCCTCTGCGATTCTCAAGGAAAATGTCGAAGACCGCCCCCCTGCATCTCACCACAATCCCCAAACATCATCCCCTTTCCAACGCCGAGATGAATCCCCAGAACAGACCTACGACAAAATGTCGGAAGAAGAGCAAGAGCGGAACTTTCTTATGCCAGCGAGGTGGTGGTATGCTTCGACAGGCGTCCCCCTCGTGGCGGGTACTTTTGGCCCAATGGCGAACGCATTCAGTATCTGTGCGCTGGTGGAGAACTGGAGGGTCGAAATTCCCCCGGGAGGGACAGAGGAGCATGGAATTGACATTAAAGACCCAGCTTGGTAAGTCATGCTCGCACGATGCGGCCCTCCCCAGTATTGCCGAAGGAAAGGAAAGACAAATCCTACACAGTACTAAGGAATATCTGGTGTAGGCTTATCGCCGTCAACGCCGTCTCCCTGGCCTTCGCCCTTGTTGCCAACATGTCCCTCCTCCTCAACATGGCGCGCCGTGTCCCCTTCCGAATCGCCCAACCCATCACCATACTCGGCTTCTGGATCGCCTCGGTGCTCCTGATCGGCTTGGTTGCCGTCGCATCCTCCGACTTTGACGCTCCTGGTGTCAAAAGCCAGGCTCTCTCCCAGGCATATTACTACGCCATCTTCGCGGCGGGATTATACCAGATAATTTCATACTTAATGTGTTTTACAGTGTACGGGGCGTACAAAGGGCATTACAGTAAAGAGTTCAAACTTACGGTGGCGCAGAGGACGTTGATGTTGCAGACCATTATGTTCTTGCTGTATCAACTCTTGGGGGCGTTAGTGTACTCACACATTGAAGGATGGAAGTTCCTGGATGCAGTGTATTGGGCGGAATTCACTTCTCTGACAATTGGTATTGGTGATGATTATACACCAAAGACCCACCTGGGGAGAGGACTGCTGTTTCCCTTTGCGATGGGCGGCATCATCATTTTGGGTTTGGTGGTCGGGTCTATTCGGTCATTGATTCTGGAGAGGGGGAAAAAGAAGATGGCAGCCCGATTGACGGAGAAGACCCGCGTGCGATTGCTCAAGGAGATCGAGAGGGTCGGTAAGAAGAAGAGCCTCTTGAGACGCAAGGGGGCGCTGGGGCTCGAGAAAAACACCACCAAGGCATTGACCGTGGATCCAGGGGATGGGGAGATATCCGAGCTGGAGAGGAGACAGGCCGAGTTCGAGGCAATGCGGAAAGTCCAGGAGTACGCTGCCACAGAGCGCAAGTACATGAGTTTGCTTATATCGACATTTGCTTTTGCTTTCTTGGTAGGTGCAGCATTTGTCTCCCGCAGGAACCTCGCTGACCACCGGTAGTGGACGATTGGGGCTTTAGTCTTCGAACATGCCGAAAGGAACCAGGACTGGTCGTATTTCGGATCACTCTACTTTTCATACACGACGCTATTGACCATCGGATACGGGGATTTCCAGCCCATGTCTAACAGTGGAAAGCCATTTTTTGTCTTTTGGACTCTGCTCGCCGTCCCTACCTTGACGATTCTCATCTCCGACATGGGAGACACCGTGGTCAAGGCCGTCAAAGACGTCACCATCTGGCTGGGGGAGATCACTGTGCTTCCCAGCAGTGAAGATACTATAGCAAATCGGCTCAAGCATGGCGTGTACAAGGCCACTCTTGGACAACTGGACCCTCGATCTTCAGGTTCCCGAGATGTGGAAAAGGGCTCAGAGACCGGGGGTGGATCTGGGTACCAGGAACTGCATCCTGGCCTTGCACGCCTCTTCCGCAATGGTGTGAGGAAACGCAAGAAGGGTGAAAAAGACAACGACACCAAAGATCGCCTGGCTGCCGACTTCGAGGAGGAGGAGAAACAGGAAGAGTCGGATGCGAGAGACAAGGGCGACCGTGGGCAAGAAGGTAAGAGGCGTCCATATCCAGGTATCATGGTTCAAGTGGCTCACTTTGGTTCCGACAGATGTCCATCACTATCGCCGCTTGCTGATCTCTCAAATTCGAAGGGTGTATGCAGATGCGTCGGCAGCAACGCCCAAAAAGTACAGCTATGATGAGTGGCAATACTTTCTCAAATTGCTGGGCGAGGATGAGGCAGATCCCTCATATCACCGCCGAGCTCCGACCCATGGCGAAATGGCAAAGGAAGCCCGCGAGGCTAAGGAGAACAACAACGAGGGTGGCAACCTCGACATCGGGAGGAAGGGAGCGGCGTTTGATGGGGAGAGGCAGGAGGACCAGGACGTTCAGGTCGCCAAATGGAGCTGGATAGGTGCACAAAGTCCATTGATGGGTGACAAGGAAGAAGCTGAATGGTTGCTGGAACGACTCTTCGAGCGTCTGGAAGCAAGTCTTCGTTCCGACACAACGCAAACGGAGAAGGCGAAGCATTACACCAGGGATCTCGAAGAGCAGAAACGCCGAGAGGAGGACGGCGCGGGCAGTGAGAGAACAATGTCCCAGGATCGAGACCCCGGCGTTCTGGACCATCCTTGAAGGCGTCACGAGGCTCTCGGCCACCAGAGGCGTTGACCCTCGTTAGACATTGGAGCGGCGCGGATCTCGTTGAGCGGGCATCTTCAGCGGGTGTCTTTGTCGAACTCGCCATTGTAACAAAGTGTAGCAAGCAGCAACGTCGATTATACTAGCCAGCTTCGAGAAATGTGATCGGATAATGTCGATCTCGGAAAATGGTATCCAACTCTTCCCAAGCGCCTGAGGCATTCCATTTCTCCGGGGCGGTTGCATTTCGCCGACATGCAGGGGAGCAAATCGTCAGGCTTGATCGACCTCGGCTTTGGAGGCTGCGGAAATGCTTGTGGCTTTCTCGGTGGCGTTGCGGGGAAATACGAGGACGAGAGAACCTTGGACGAGTCTTGTCTAGAGGACGGGTGGACGGTGGATGCGAGGAGCAAGTGAAGACATCCGGCGTGTCTATCTGGGTAGTCGAGAGACGTGGACAGGGTGCGAACTAAGGAGCTGGTGATGCATAGGTACCAAGGTAGGTACATATGTAGATAGAACAACCAGTGAGTACCTAGGGCATGAGGTGAGGTGAGCTGGACGAGATCCTCGCAGCCAAATACCACCACCACTCCCCCTCAACAGGCCGTCATGTGTCAGTCTCTCCTTGCACCACTCCATCTCTTCCTCTTACTGCCACCACTGCTTCTAGACCCGCAACCGGAGTATTGCTCGTCGTTTTCTCGGAATCACATTGTCCACGTCATGATGTGGCCCTTCCACTCCCCCGCAACTCGACGAATTAGGTCTGAGCCACTGCTTAGAGCTGTTGCATCTCCTCGTCTATCTCCAACCAGGTAAAACCTGGACCACAAGCACCCAACGAGATGCTCCCTGCTAAGACCCAATGCAGTTGCCGCAGATACTTCTAGGCCTTACTGAAGCTTTAGGGATCCTCTATCCCGGATGATTCTCTGTCATCAATCTCGACTAAGATCCGTGATCCTCGTTACGAGAATTGACCACCGCATCCACACCAGATCCACCACCTCCCACGAAGCTCCTCTTTCCCCCACACTTACCCAGACTCCTGTATTACCAGAATGGAACCTTTCCGCCATTCACGGCGCTTCCAACTGATTTGGCTGGCGTCTTCAGTCCGCCGAGGGGGTTCCTGCTCCACGCGGATCACCGCGTTTTGGAAGGCCTTCCATCCGGACCACGACCCGCCGTCGTTCACGGGGATGCCATCATCGCTAGCATTCCTGAGCTTGTCTGAGTCTTCCTAATCCATTTTCACACCCGCCACTCCTTTGGCCCGCTTGCAACCCCTCACTCTCGGACGTTCACCAGGCTCCGGATCCCGGATGCTGATCGACACACATCATGTCTATCTGGGGTTAATCGGGGGTGGCAAGGGGACGCGGGGTATGTCAACAAGAGATACAAAAAGCTCGCGGCCACCGCCCGCAGATGCTGTGCCGCCAGTCCTCTGCATCTCTTCGTCTTCGTCCCGACCTCAATCGCTGAACACCGCTCATTGGAGACTGCCCTTACCCGAATCCTCTGACAGTCATGGGTTCTCATCAGATCGAGGAGGTTGATGTCCTGCTTGTTGGAGCTGGCTTTGCCTCTTTCACTTTGTTGAACCGGTGAGTGCTATATTCGATCGTCCATCGTGTGCCTAGAGGCTGACTGTTACCGAAAAGCCTGCGAAAACTCGGCTACAGCGTTCGTATCTTCGAGAAAGGATCTGCCAGCGGCGGTATCTGGTACTGGAACTGCTATCCCGGTGCCCGCGTGGATACCGATACGCCCATCTACCAGCTCTTTGATAAGGAGCTGTGGGAAGATTTCACCTTCAAGGAGCGATACCCAGGCTGGCAAGATCTCCGCCGCTATTTTGAACACGTCGAGAAGAAATGGAATGTTCGTGACTACACCTCGTTCAACAAGCATGTGGATAGCGCCATCTTTGACGAAGGTCGCCAACAGTGGTTGGTTGAGTGCTCGGACGGAACCGAAATTTACGCCAAGTGGTTCATCCCCTGCATCGGGTTCGCCAGCAAACGCTATACGCCTCCGTTCCCCGGGCTCGGCAACTTCAAGGGCGACATCTACCATACCGCCGTGTGGCCTCAGCACGGCGTGAATTTGAAGGGCAAGCGAGTTGCTGAAATCGGCACTGGTGCATCTGGAATCCAAGTCATCCAGGAAATTGGCCCGGTGGTAAAGGAGTTGACTGTCTACCAGAGAACACCCAACATGTGCCTACCCATGAACCAGCGCCTGCTCGACCCCAAGGAAGAGGAGGAGAAAAAGAAGAATGGCTGGTATGAGACGGAAATGGAGAAGACCCGCAACACCTTTGCCGGATTCACCTACGACTTTATGGAGAAAAACACCTTTGACGACACGCCCGAGGAGCGCGAAAAGGTGTACCACAACCTCATGGTCGAGGAAGGCGGTTTCAAGTTCTGGCTTGCCACGTACAAGGACATGCTGTTCGACCTCAAGGCCAATGAACCCGCCTACCAGTTCTGGCGCCAGCAGGTCTTGAAACGCGTCAAGGATCCCGAGAAACAGAGGCTCCTGGCCCCTGAGGTGCCTCCACATCCATGGGGCACTAAGCGCCCGTCTCTTGAACAGAGGTTCTACGAAGTGGTTGATCAACCCAACGTGAAGATCATTGATGTCAACGAGAATCCCATTGAAGAAGTCACCGCCACTGGTCTCAAAACCAAACAGGGTCTTGTTGAGGTGGACGTCATCATCCTGGCCACCGGCTTCGACTCGGTCACGGGCTCGCTGGCTCAACTCAACATCCAGGGCACCAAGGGTGGCACAATTGCTGATCACTGGAAAGATGGCACCAAGACGGCCATGGGTATTGCCATGCCCGAATTCCCCAACATGTTCTTTTTGTACGGACCTCAGGCACCCACTGCCTTTAGTTCAGGCCCGACCTGCACGCAGTTCCAAGCTGAGTGGGTTGAGAAGACGTTCAAGGAGATCAAGGACAAGGGCATCACTAGGCTTGAAGCCACTCCCGAGTCTGAGGAAGACTGGTGCAAGAGGATGAACGAGAAGTGGGATGCGACTCTGTTCCCCATGGCCAAGAGTTGGTACCAGGGCGCCAACATCCCAGGCCGAAAAGTCGAGCCACTGAACTGGTAAGTGATGATCCATCTGACCCGCCGTTTCTTGGGAGAAGACTGGTTAACAGCTCTGCAGGTCCGGCGGCATGGTTGAGTACGTCAACACTTTGAACCGCAGTCTAGAGAATGATATGCAGGGCTGGAAATACTCCACCGCCACGGCATGAGTGGTCTCCCAAAGGTCAAGGATCAAACTTGTGGCCTGCGACGTGACCACGTTGTAAAATGATTGTGATGGACAGCGAGATACCCCCTAGAGTGGGACGGCAGCGTGTGGTGCAGGCGTCATGGCTCGTTGGACTAGATTGAAGAGCGGCGTCCGTATACTCGAGACGTGGAGGATCCAGCAGTGTTTCGTCGAGGGAAGATCAAGGCGCATAGGTCTCTGTGGAGCACTGCACACAGCAAACAGTGAACAGCAAGCCAAGTTGTCATGTACTTGACCTTACGATGGATGGTGTTGTCTGGTCGAACCCGATTCCTTAGTGAATATCTGGTCTTCTTCACAATGTGCTTTCCAGACTCAGAGATGCATTCGTAGTAGAACTGGAATCCAGCTGTCTCTCGCTTGTTCGCCTTAAGGGATCACATACATTGTCAAAAGAGTGCGAACGTGGTAGCAGATATCGAGCCTCTAATATTTCTTTCCTTGGTCTTTACACCCAACTTCAGTTGTTCACCACTCCCCCGCTTTGTACCGCTCCTCACATGATCCTCACACAGGAACCATGGCCGCAGCAGGGGAGCCGCTCTGCTCGACATGCCGCAGTGTCGACTGGATGGACGCCGGGCTGCCCCGAGTCGTCCACACCGACGCGCCAGAGCTGTTTACCACCAGCACCGAAGTGCGGCTCCTGGACGGAACCGTCGCGCCCGCTGCGGCCGCCAGGCTAGTCGAGTCGGCGCTGTTCCTGGTTTCCCTGGGGACGGTGCAAGAGCTGCGGGCCCGGAGTGCGCAATGTCCCTGTTGCGCTTTCTGCCACCAGCTGCTTGAGCGCCGCTTTGAGGCCGCGGATATTGACAGGGCTGCTGGCGAGAGGGTTCCCGTGCACGTCTACACGCGCAAGTATGGCGCTGTTGTTGTCGGGGACCGCCATGGGAGAGATGGACAAGAACAAGAGGGACAAGGAGAAGGCAGCCCCCGCGCGACGCACTTGATGTGCTTCAGTCTCTCGTTCCATCCGCATTTCCACCACGGCGAGAGCGCGTCCTTTGCGTTGTTGGGTCGTCGCCAGCAGATGCGTGGGAAGGAGACCGTGCCGTCCTTCGTCGGGCGCTTGGTGTCGCCGCGCTTTGATCTAGCGCAGGTCAGGGGCTGGCTTGAGACTTGCGAGCTGCAGCATTCCCCCGCGCGCACGGCCGAGAGTTTCCTCTCGCGCAGCGGCAAGACGACGGAGCTGCGAGTGGTGGACGTGTCGCAGCGGTGCCTCAAGACGCTCAGCATCCAAGACATCGACGGCGGGTACGCCGCGTTGAGCTACGTCTGGGGCGTCGCGGAGCAGGATGTCCGCCTGACGACGGCGAATCTGGCCGCGTACTCGAGACCCGGGGGCATCCCCAGGCTGTCCCAGACGGTCGAGGATGCGATGCAGGTGGCGCGGGCGGTGGGCATCCGGTACTTCTGGGCGAACGTCATCTCGATCCTCCAGGACGACGACGAGGACAAGGCCCAGAACATCTTCGACATGGACGTCATCTACACGTACTCGCGCCTGACCGTCGCCGCGGTGGCGGGCACGAACTGCCACGAGGGCCTGCCCGGCGTCAGCTCCGACCGGCTCCCTCTGCTCCACACCAGCACCGCGCAGTTTGGTCTGGTCGAGATCCCGCACCAGCCAGAACGATCCCCTGCGTCGCTGTCCGCGAGCGGTGGCGGATGGCCCAGCCGCGCCTGGACGCTCCAGGAGTTCCTCCTGTCCAGACAGACCTTGCTCTTCTGCGACCAGCAGGTCATCTGGGTGTGCCGGGCGGCCGACTGGGCCGAAGGGCTGGACGTGGCCGAGGAGAGGTTCCGGTTCGCAAAGTACGACGGCCTGAACCGGCCTCGGCTCGAGTCCTCCCTCTTCGCGGAAGAACAGAGCAGCGACGCAATAGGGGTCATAGACGATGGCTCTGCTGCCCATCCCGGCCTTGAGGAGCAGCAGCCGCGCCCGGCGGACCTCTCGGACGCCGCCACCCTGGTCGAATGCTACACCAGACGCAAGCTGTCATACGAGAGCGACATCAAGAACGCGCTCGAGGGACTCATGTGGTATATCTCGTCTATGACCCCCGGGTCGTCCTTCGTCTGGGGTCTGCCGGAGCCGCACTTCGAGGCCTTCCTCTGCTGGGGCGTGCGTGGCGGACCCTCCGCGACCCGCGGGGTGGTGAAGCGCCGGCGGGCCTTTGCTGAGGCCCCCTCGTGGTCGTGGATGGCGTGGCTGGGCCAGGTCGTCTTCCCGCGCTTTGCCTCACGCGCCGCCCACGGCCACGGCTGGAGATCCTGCGTCAAGTGCTTCCGGTACCCGACCTACCTCCACCGGCAGGGCCGGGCGTGGAACGACATCCCCAGCGGGTACGACGCGGGCGCCACGGTCCTGGCCCGCCCCTACGACATGTGGACAAGCGGCCTCCCGCTGCGAGACGAGTCGGCCGGCCTCGTGTTCTGGGCGCTGTGCGCGAGCGCGCTCGTCGATGCGGCGTCCCTCGAGATCCACTACGAACGACACGCGTCGAGCATCCGCGTCCCAGCCCGGCAGAAGAGGCTGCGGGTCCAGGACCTGTGCGTCTCCGAGGACGTGGCGGAGAGGATCGCCCAGGCTGGCCACGACGCGGCGTCGGTCGCTGTGATTCTCGTCGCGGTGGCCGTGGAGGGCGCGAGGCTGCCTAGCAGTCAAGACATCCTCGCGGCATCAGACCGGAACTCTCAACTGAAAGACGAGGAAAGGGGAGAGAGTGATGAGGACCCTCCCGGTGTGGTCTTTGAGATCTGGGATCGCGCCGTGCACTGCTTGGTGCTTTCGCGCGGTGACGAAGACGGCCATTTCTGCCGCGAGGGCACGCTCTCGATCAAGATGGACGACTGGCTTCGGCTCGAGAAGGAGAGGGAGCTCGTCGTGCTGGATTGACCCGAGTGTTCATAATCATCCTGCTGGATGTATCGTGGTATTTTCTCGCTTTTGCTTGCTGGGGGAAGGGAGTCAAGCGAGAGACATGCTAGATGCAGATATCACAAGCTCTGTGATTGCCATTGTCTATAGATTTATCATAAACGCCCCCGCCTACATACCTCTATACTACCCCCGTTTACCGGATAGCCCTCGTTCCCACGTCAAGTACGTTGGGTTTCCTTGTCGCACTTCACCCAATGTTTGAAAATCTGGGATGGTAACTGCTAGGCAGGGTGCGTCAAGGCGTAGCGACTAGCGTGTTTGCGGATGATGAATTTGCACCATGATAAGACAATCATTGGCAATTCGTCAAGGCCAAGATCAAAGCGGTCAACGCAACGTGACTGGTAGCGGTACAGAAGAAGAACCTGCTCCTGCGTTGGGTTCTCATCTCACATTCAAGGCCCGGGTTTTTGTCCCCAAACAGTGTACCTTTTAGGACGGTTAGCTTCTGCATTGGCATCAAACATCAGTGTCGGGCAAAAGTCATCACTTGCGTCTTGACTTTTTGACCGCCGTCCTCCTCGAGCCACGGATAGAAAACTCACATGTCGTATATACTGTGGATAGCTGGATTTTTAAAGTCGTTGCGAACCTCCATCAGCAGGATGTCCAGATCTTGTCGACTCCAGCGTAGAAAGTCGCAGAACAGTCGGGCGTTAAGGCCCGTGAGCCCTTCGTGAAGCTGGATGAAACTGAGAAGGCCTATTCGTTTCTGCGGATAGAGGGAAAAACAGAAGATATGAAGTAAGTAAACCCATGCCTCAGCAACCACGAAACTGCAGAGAATCTAGGCGAAATCGAAAAGACACAATAGCCGTCACTCACCAGCCTCTTGTTCTTGGGCCAGGTCCCCCACAGGCACGGGACTGCGGACGACCTATAAATGTATACACACCGAGTCAGGGAAGGGACAGGAAACAAACCACTTGGGAGAGAATATGAAAGCCGACTAACATTCACATTCACGAACCCTGCATCCCTCATCCAGCCCTCGAGTCTTTTGCCGGGTCTTAAAGTGCGACCCAAATCTTCCATGCCTTGAGCAGCGATCTGGATCCAACGTGAGATGGCGTCCTCTTCGGCCAGAGTGCCGTCCTGGCTGTAGTAGTCGATGTCGAGATCGGCAAATTCGGCCCATGCTCCTGGCTTGAGATTCCTGCGGGATCAAACATGGAGTCAGAGTAAGTTATAGAGACTCCAAAGCTTCGAGGTCTTCGGGGAAAGCAATGGGTCGCAGTGATGAATTACTCACTCAAATGTCCGATGCATGAGTTGCGGCCAATCTTTGATGGCACCTGCCATGTACCTGCAGTGGATGTAATCAAAGGGAGCACTGATCGTCCCCTCATCCTCTATATCTGCAATCTCGAACCTCGTGTTCGGAGGCACCCATTCGGGAGCTGAAGCGCTGATGTCGACCCGATGATTTCTGCCTGGGGATACGTGTCGCCCATGGCTATGGTCCAAGTTCCGGTCCCAAAGCCAATATCGAGGACCCTGAGCCCGAGGTTGCCGATGGGCGCCAGATGCAGCCGGCGTTTGTTGATGAGGAAGAACATTTCATCCATCAGGTCAAGGCGTTTGAGCTCCTCCTGTCTTGTCTTGAGACGCTGAGTTCACGGGTCTTATGGTGGGACAGACTCACTTCGTCGTTCGGTCGGTGATATTCTAAGGCAAGGTGAATGGCCTTGATCCACCAGGCCGTCTTCGAAAGGAGATACACATACCTCCATCTCTGTAGCGCTGATATTGCCTGCCATGGGAATAGACGGGTTGCAGTAAGCTTGAACGCAGTGAAGCGGTGGATGCGTTGTCTCTGTCTCATGGGATGGTCAAATCAAAATGCTGTGAGATTGCATATTGCCAGAGGGCAAAGAAAAGGTTTCTGTGCGTGTCATTGGGAACTTACCAATCCCCGACTCCCTCGTCTTCTTCAGCAGCGATCACAGGCTGTTCATTCACCTCGTCTGCTACAGGATCTTCTTGGTCTGCCATAGTAAATCCTCTGTGTGGTGGTGCCGCAGTCGACAGTTGGCTGACCTCGCAAACATAGATCAAAGTGACCTCGAGAGAAATGAGAGAAGACGGCAGGATGGAGTACCGTCTCTCTACCATCTCTTGAAAGTGACCACTTCTTGCTTGGCCCAGTGACCACCCCCCTGCCTGAACTCCCTTCCAATATTGCGAAGGTTCAAGCCATGGAGCCGCGGGGGCCGGGTGAACGACGACATCGGAAGGACGAGCCTAAGGCCCATGCAGTCATCCTGCCATGCAAAAGAGAAGATCGCCATGCCATGGCCTCCGAGGGACGAGGATCGGCTGGTGGTTGATGGCGTCTGCGGTCAATGAACCATGCTGCCCAGGGAGGTCCTCGTGGGCCGCAAGCCACCGCAGCTGCGCACATGGTTGTTGGTTGCTTGGAACCACATAAGCACAGACCGCGCTGATTCCCCGAGAACTACTGTCGAACGGCGTCGAGGGAGCGACGAACAGCCCTATTGGTTCGGCGACGTAGCGATGCCTGGCGATTGGTAAGATTGCAGGGCTGGATGGGCTGGTTGGGCTGGTCAAAAATACTCGGTACATACCCGTTGGACATGTCCAGCTTACAATGTGAAGCCAGGCCTCGAGGACTCATCCATCACAATGGCTGCGTCTCGGCTAATTTGGCCACGTCACATCCTCCACGCCCTGGTCATGAAAGAGGTGGGAAAACGTTGGGCCCCGCCGTCCTCAGCGGTTCGAGCTGTGATCAGTTGTCAAGATCCTCGAAACCCACGCGCGTAAGCGCAGCTCAAGCAACCGCTCACTGTAGTAGGAGTCGATCTCCCATTCCTGCAACCCCATCGCGCTCATGGCCGACAAAATGGACCTGGAGATTGTGATCGTTGGTGCCGGTGCGACAGGATTGCTGGTCGCGCAGGGATTGAAACTGGTATGTGCTGCCGGTCGGGAGGTGGACGTTGGCAGTAGCATGCTAATGAGACCCTCCACCCTCAGAACGGCATCAAGGCCACCGTCTACGAACGCGAGGAAGAGTCTACATATCACACTCGGCCTCGAGAATGGGGAATGACCCTGCACTTCGGCCAAGAGTACCTGGCCAAATGCATCCCGCCCGAACTCATGGCTCGTCTGGGTGAGGCGTACTGTGATACGTACTACACGGGCAAGCACACCTCCTGGCCCATGTTCAATGGCCAGACGGGCGAGAAGTTCTTCGACATGCAAGGGTTCAATCCTCTGCGCGTGTCGCGGCGCAAACTCCGCGCCCTGCTGAGCGACGGCATCGACGTGCGATATGGCCGCAAGATCGTCTCGGTGTCCCAATCCAACGGGTCCGCAACCGCGACCTTCGCTGACGGCAGCACGGCCACCGGCGACCTTATTGTCGGCTGTGAGGGTGTCCATTCCTGCGTACGTGAAGCGCTTGTCGGCAAAGACCAAGCCGCCAACACCCCCATCGATATACAGATGTTCAACACCTGCTGGACCCTCCCTGCCGACGTTGCCCTACTGCAGCGCAAGGCCCACCCCATATTCCGCATCGGCTACCACCCGATGGGCATGAGCTGGGTGACGGCGATCCAAGACGTCAAAGACCCGAACGACCCATCCACGTTCCTCTTCCAACAGTGCCTCTCGTGGCCCGGCAGACCACACGCTGAAGACTTCCCGGACCAACAATCCAAGATCGACTTCATCAAGTCCAAGGCTGAAGCCTACGCCGAACCTTGGAAGAGCGCGGGCCGCAACGTGCCCCTCGACCTACAGCTGCAAGTCGACGCGGTCACGATGTGGAGCCCGGATATGGACTGGTCGACCTCTCCGCTATGGCCGCACGTCACGCTGGCTGGGGACGCCGCGCACAATATGCCCCCGTTCCGCGGGCAAGGGCTAAACAACGCGTTCCAAGACGCCGAGAAGCTCGTGTCGGAACTGCGCGAGGCGCAAAAGGGGGCCAAGACGCTGGAGCAGGCCGTGAGGGCGTACGAGGAAGAAATGAAGACACGCAGCCTGAAGGAGATCGAGATCAGTCTGATGCAGAGTCGCATGGTGCATAACTGGGAGACTCTGATGGGCGCCCCCATGATTAAGGCCGGCATGAATGCGTACAGAGAGGAAGTCAATGGCCACATAGAAACGGCCACCGGCGGCGAGGTGGACAGCGTGAAGTAACTGCTTGATTGACACGGATTAATGGTCGAGGGGAATAGATGCGATGTCTCCTTGCCGTCGTGCGGAAAGCGGTTCGGTATATACTTGAGATATTGGAGCGGTAGAGCATATATAGCGAGTATATACTTTAGAACTGATGACTGGTAGGGCTTCCTCCCGTGTAGAGCGACCTCCACAAGCCCCTCACCACTTTCTAGAAGCGGATCTCAGCGTGGGCAGGGCCTCGCACTCGAGTAACAGAGAGCGAAACGGCAGCTCAAAAGAGGGGGAGGGGGCGCGTCTACGCGACCCCAAAATCCGCGAGGAACGCCCAGAACATCTTCTCGCGCCACCCTCGCTTCTTCCAGTCGTTGGCAGTGAGGGGGTACAGGTCAGCCACGCCCCTCGCCGTGGCGTCGTGGGCGTAGATGAACAGCACGTTGTCGTCCCCGTCGGCCTTTTGCGCCTTCTCGATCGTCTCGATCGCCTGCGGGATCGAGAGGCCCATGGCCGGGTCGAAGAAGGGCTTGGTCGGCGGCCTCCCGCGCTGCTGCTGGACGGCCTCGAACACGGCTCCCGGGCAGGGTGAGTGCATTGCCCTCGCCACCGAGTGCACGTGAATCTGCTTCGGCAGGGGCATGTACGTGGACGGCCGGATCTCGCCGCCGTGGTGGCACAGGTCGCCGCCCATGAAGATGAACGTGTCGGGCTCGTGAGTCGTGCGCGCCAGTCCGCAGACGTGTCCGACCGCGTGACCCGGCGTGTCGAGGAGGTAAAAGGATCCGTCGCCGAAGAAATCTTGGGCTCGAAAGTCGCCAATCTGGAGGGTGCCGGGCTCGGTGAATGTCACTTCTCGGAGTTCTCGTCCCCTGGTTTTGATGAGCGGGTTTAGATGTGGTCAAAAACAGCTTCACACATGCCTCTAGGGACGCAGGTGGAAGCCAAAAGAGCGACGCAGGTGCGTCCTTTCCTCTGCCCAAGCTGGATGGACTTACTTGAAATCCGACTCCCGCACCGGAGAGTCGGGCTTGCCAGGATAACCAGGCATGAAAGCCTCCTTGAAGCCGGGACCTACCACCACTTCCGTCGAGGGAGGGAACGTGGACGGATCACCCAGGTGATCCCAATGCCAGTGACTAGACACCTCCACCGAAGAATCAACCATGTCTTCACAAAACATCCAGACGGAGATAACATCGGCCACAGCTCGTCGGCAAAAGGTGTACGCTCTCGTGGCAGAGCAAAAGGAGTTACTCACCTCCAGACGATGCTCCCGACACCCTTCAGATCCACGCCGTTCTCCTCCAAGATCTGACTCGTATTCTTCTCGGCAGAAATCTCCCATCCTCTGGTGCTCAGCGCCTCGCTCACGGCCGGCGCGAAATTCTTCCAGTCGGGCGGCACGCCCAGGTCGAAGAGCGCCTTCTTGCCCGTGGTGCTGGACTCGACCAAGAACGACCACGACGGCAACTCGGGCATGGTTTCGAAGCCTGACAGCGGTGGTTCCATCAGATACGACACGGCTATGCGCCCGATGCGCGAGGTGGTGTCGATGATCGAGACGGTAGCTGTGGCGCCCGAGGGGACGGGAAAGAGATTGTGGGAAGTAGAGGTGGATGCCGCCATATTGGATGATTGCAGCTGAGGCTGTGCTTTGATCGATTTGTCCTGGAACGCGTGAGACCTTTGTACAAGTGGGATGATACGAGACTCCGCTACTCGGGTATATCTGAGAGGAGAAGAGGTGGGACAGAGGAACTGCTGAGGATCGAGCAAGCATTGCCATGTTTTGATGCGGGGTGAAGCAAGAGCAGAAGCGGGGAATTGCGTCCCTTATCGACGCAGCCTTGTGACCCGCGAGCTCAGCCTTGCCATGACCACCCGTACCCAGGACGTATGATGATGATCGCTTTCGAGACAACCTTCTCACTAGCCCGATCAATTCCCCAGCTCGTCCAGGGCCAGCTGCAGAGCTGCCTTGGCTTCTCCCCTCGACCTTTCGATAATCTCTTGTGCCGAATCAACCGCACGCACCAGCCCTACGGCACTTCCTACATACGCCGTCATTCTTCCGTCCTCTCCCCAACCAATCGACCCATTCTTCAATTGTTCTTGAAATATCTGCTTGTTCTGCTTTAACTCCATACCTGCTAGGTCATCTCTCACGCTTCCATTGATGATTGCACGTCCGTCGTAGCGTGGCGGCCAATCATCCCTCCCCTGGAGTCTATCGAACAGATCCGTGCGGATGGTGCTTTGGCCGCCGTCCGATACTCGCAGCACGTCCTCTTGGTATCCCTTCTTGATTTCGGCCTCGTTGCTGGCGAGGAAACGGGTGCCCATCACGGCACCTGCTGCAACGCCCGTCGCTAGGACAGCAGCAACTCCTCGACCGTCCGCAACTCCACCAGCGCCGACGAGTGGAATTTCAGATCCCAGTTCTTGCAGGGCGTCCGCTACCTCTGGAAGCAGTGATACAATTCCTGCACCTTTCCTGAGACCGTGCCCACCAGCATCAATCCCCTGCACGACCAGCACATCCGGCGCATGGGTGCTTTTCGCTGCAGCAACAGCTTCGGCGACAGACCCAATCTGGATCCATATCTTCGTGGACGGTGACTCTCTCCGTATTCTCAGTGTCCACTGATCTAACTCAGATTGGCCAGATGCCGGAACAAATAACCACGCTGCGGCAGGCCTGTGTTTGCGTACAGCCGCGGCAGCAACTTCGAGATCACCGTCGAAAAGCTGAAAACCTACTCCAATGGGAAGGCAGTCAATATCCGAAGCATTCGCCGAGATAGAGTCGTGGGCAGGGATGGGCGTCTGCTGCAAGAGGCTCCGCGCCTTCTCAAGCTTGGAATCCAAGTCCGTAGGCCGCACGCCCGGGCCGATGAAGCCTAGACCTCCTGCGCGGGATGTTGCAACAGCGAGGTCCGGACCAGCGAAGACGCGCATAGGCGCGGAGATGATGATGGGGGTTTTGAGGAAGGTGTAAGTTGCCTTGAGGTGTTGAACCGCCCGTGAAGCAGCCATGATGATAGTGACCCGTTAGATGTGGAGATGTCATACAGCGTTTAGATGCTTGCTCTCACCCCAGTCGATGCTCCTTGCGTGCGATCCACGTTGCATAGCGGGAGTATGCTCTTGATATCCGTCATTCTGTAAGCGCAATCGCTTAGGTGGACCGAAGGTAGGCCTAAACAATCAGAGTTTCCTGAGGACATCGAAACACGCCTTTTCCGCGGTGGCAGTATGTTCGCACAGGAGCGGATGTTCGAGTCATCGACACTGGGGCAAATTTGGTGATGGACGTATTGTATCATGAGAGATCGAGTTTTGATGACAAAGCGGCGGGGCTCAAAAAAGCAGCAAGATGGAAATACTCCAGCCTTGTCCACAGTAATTCCGCGGAGAGGCCGACAGTCTTGTGTTCATTCCTTCGAACCCTTCGAAACAGCTGCATCAGTTGTCGTGTCCGATCAGAGGTTGAGTGATGCAGGTGACCCAGTAATGATGTTTTGACGAGAAAACACAACCGTGATATCCTCAGCATGAGCGTTCTGGACAGCAGACTCGGGCTTATTATTCATCAGGCGATCCGGAATCCCTTACAAGACGGTCCAAGAAACCTTGAAACCCCATCAATCCCAGCCAAACGGCTTCTTCGGTTCTGATCGTGCGACTGCCCTGGCCAGGTAACAGATTTACCCACACGTCGAACAATTCCTTGACCTTCTCCCCAACAAGACCCATTTCTCGACAATTTCTGTCATTCTTGGCTGCGGTTTCCAGGCCTGCGACGCCACCAAAGACCAGGAGTACGTGTTTATAGCCAGTTGGTTTGACCATGGATTGTTCGGACAACACATTTTCCAATGGCTGGCCTCTTTCGGAAGTCCCAATCGAAATGTCGTAGCCTCCGTCATAAGGGCATTCAGTAAACACGTCTGTGAGAGAATTGCATTGTCGTACCGCATAACCCCAAAAATACCCCTTTTCCTCCCGCGGAGCGTTGGGTGAGACGGCTTCAGCGATTTTGGAGGCTTCATCTTGTAGATGGACAGTCACTCGTGTATTCGGTGGGATCTCTGCCCCAGATAGCAGTAAAAATCCGGGCAGGCCGACATCGACCAAGGTCCCCTTGCCGTCCGCAAGGGCAGTGGTGGTGATGCCTTCGCGATACTCACACCATTCGTGTGCGCGTAAATGGTGCGGCATATCAAGACTTGGAAGTGTACCTGCAGTCCGAAGATTGGGATGCATAGGGAATAAAGCCTTGCGGAGGTGAGGTGGCGTTTCCAAGTACGAGAGAAGGTGAGCTAGAAAATGGTCAGGGTGAGAAAAAGCCGTGTATTCGTCTTCTCTGATTGTCGGTCGTTGTTGCTGAGTTTCAACATCCTCGTCGTCAAAGATGATGACTTCATCCACGCAAAATACCGCCAGAGCCCTCGCAATTTGGCCAGCTAGAAAGGTCTTTTGGTCATGAGATTTGGCATTGCTAATGATGCTTCCTGGTATGGCAACAGACAGCGTGTGCGACCGGCCGCCCGTGGGGTGGAACACTGCGGAGGGTTTAGAGGTGTCGACTTCTTGTCCATCGACACGATTGTCTCGCTGATGATTCTCGAGCGTTGCTGTCGACTTGTTACCGGATTTACTCTCTCCTGGCTCGCGTTTTCGTTTCTACAGGGATTTAGCATAGTTGGTAATGGCATATATGGGAAGCAGAGTTTTCCGTACCTTTTCTTTAGGCATACTGTACAACAGCCCTTGAGGCCTGATCAACTTGCAAGTGCCTCAGTTCCGCTCCGTGGCACGTCCCCTGGACAGCGGTGAGATAAGAATGAAGCTAACAATGGGCTGACGGCGTCGATGCTACCTCTCGCAAACGTAGATTTGGTCTGGAACACTCAGCCTCACTGGAAAAAGTAGTGCCAAGAATAGATGCCCATCGACCCCCGGTGATTGGTGGAAAGGCAACGCCCCGAGAGAAAAGGGACAGAATTGCCCGTGTCCAGAAAAGGACCAGGAATGAGATCCAAATGCACGCGAAAAGGAGCCTCAAGGTTTCCACTCCGCTCGAGTCCACCGCCAATTCGTGTTTTGATCAATGGTGGCGCGTTCGACCTCCTCGTTGTAACAAGTCGACCCCGTTAAATCTGTGACACCCTTTCCTTTACTGCATTCGCCTCTTCATCCTGAATCCTCGACCGTCTCACCTGCGCTGATCTCGACATCACCTATCCTCGTCATCTTCGCATTACTTACACAACCATGAAGATCGGACGGCGGCGCGCCCAACTACTCCTATTCCTCTTCTCCGCCGTCGTTCTTTGCGAGGCCTCGGCCGCTGCTGAACCAGGCGAATTCTCTTCAGGCACATTGGGAGAAGTTGTCGTTGCTTCAGGAGGAAGTGCTGGGAAGACATATCCTGTGGGCACAGAACATGCCCCAGTGGATGGGAAAGATGGAATGCCACATGAAGGCCCCTTTGTTGAGACAAATGCAGAGAGAACGAGGAAGAAGACGCAGAGCACTGGCGATGAGGACGAGATGCCGGTAGCAAGTACAAAGTTCAAGGAGTCTTACAAGGACCTCTCTGCAGATGGCGATCTGCCCCAGACAAATGATGCCGTCATGGACGAACGCGTCAAGTCAAATCCCGTTGAGGGGACTAGAGGCGTCGAAGGAGGCATATCTGGGAAGTCCAAAGATTTTAAAATCACCGAAAAGAGGCCCGATCCTCCCAAAGACGCAAGGCCTATCCCGCACAGCGAAGTTCTGGGAATGAAAGATGCAAGCGGCGGAGAAGCACTTCCTGCTGTGGATGAGGAGACGAAGAAGGTCCTGACGGTATGGAAAAGATATAAGCCATCTGGTAATGGTACAGAATTAACACTCATCGAGCAGGTCCCAGAAGATCTCCCCGACAAACCTCACGATATTCCCCATCCCGAGAACCCATCCTCTCCCAAAGACACCATCCTATCTTCCGAAAGCACTACTGGCCAACAAACGTCTGGTAAACCCAAGGATCACGAGCCTGCCGTCATCTCACCCATGCACTCTCTCCTGCTCTCTTTCACCATGATCATCTTCTCCGAGATTGGCGACAAGACGTTCCTTGTCGCCGCTCTCATGGCCATGCGCCACCCTAGAGTGGTGGTTTTTACAGCCGCGTTTTCCGCCCTCGTTACCATGACTGTTCTATCCGCCATACTGGGACACGCTGTTCCAACATTAATCCCCAAGACTCTCACGAACTTTGCGGCCGCCGGGTTATTCTTGGTGTTCGGTGTGAAAATGCTTGTGGAAGCCCGCTCAATGTCTCCGGATGAAGGCGTCAGTGAAGAGATGAAGGAAGTGGAATTGGAATTAGAAGAGAAGGAACATCAGCAGGCGAGAAGGATGTCGAGGCATCGAAGAAGATCATCTGCTATCTCACCTTACGCTCTCGAAGCGGGCCGCGGCCCCGGGGGAAGAAAGAACACAGATTCACGACTCCCCTCTCCGCCCGAATCTCCCGCATCGTCACGCGATGTGTCGCCGGTGCGCCAATCATCCCTTCAAAACATCTTGGGCGGAATCAACAATCTCTGTTCACTCCTCCTTTCCCCGGCGTGGGTGCAGACTTTCGTCATGACCTTCCTCGGAGAATGGGGTGACCGGTCTCAGATCGCAACGATTGCAATGGCGGCGGGTCAGGACTACTGGTGGGTTACGGCCGGGGCACTCGTCGGGCATGCTATTTGTACAGGAGCCGCCGTGTTGGGAGGCCGGGCCATCGCTGGGAAGGTCAGCTTGAGGACGGGTAAGTTATACTGCATATGTCTACCGGAGAGTCGATAGTTTGCTGACTGGTGAATGAACAGTTACCATGGGCGGAGCAATTGCATTTTTGGTCTTTGGAGTGATCTATCTGCTCGAGGCCGTGTATTAATATCCACACCCGATTATCTCCACGTGCGACATGTTCTGGATTCACATACCAGAGTGCAGGTTTCTCCAGGGACTTTCCGAGGGCAGGCCTGGACGGTAGTGAGAGGGCGACAGGGTCTCACATAACAAAGGTTCCAAGGTTGAATCAGAAAGAGGACCGTAGCGTGGCCCTCCACACGCACGCACATGCCATCGGGACAGTCTGTCGGAGCCTCAGGGGGACACGTGCTGCATGCCGGTTTTTGGGTGTCTCCGTTGACCAACGGACAGCATATTCTGAGTTGTGTCTGCGTGCTGATTGCTTTTAGCCTGGTTATTATGGATGGCCTTTAGTATTATTCCTTCTGGACCTGATAGGTTCGGAACGAAATACCTATTTTGTATCATATGGTGCAGTCATTGGTTTGACACATCGGTGCAACAGCAATCACTCGGTATTCCTTTGACTGCAAAGCTGACATGATGGCTGTCCTCCTCGCTAAGCGGATGAAACAACGTTTCAAGTGATCGACCACGCCTCGCTCTGCTTTTCTTCCCTCTCTCCCCCTTCTTCCCCTTCCGGCACGTCGGATCGATTAGCCTCATGGAAAGATGGCCGTGAGGCTGAATGGACAACTCGCCATTGGAGCTGACGAGTGGAGCGCGTCATCGAAGGGAGGGGCTTCTCTCAAGTTCAGCTGCAGGGTTGAACACAAGCTCAAGCCTCCTACGATATGGACTCGGAAGCTAGCACAACCTGTGCCAGCTACTTACAAGAACCATGATGTCAAGCAAAAGATTCGCGGCCACCAGGGCTGGAGGCGGCGCCGGCGGTGGTGACGATACAGTCCCTTTGCGCAAACACCTTGCATGGTTGGCGACGGCGAACTTCTTCACTAGACACTTGACTCTCCCACCTGAGACCACACCATCCTTTTGCCTTCCACCTACTTGACATCAATACTGCACGCCTGCCATGGCTGCTCTCAGCCTCACGGGCCACGGGCCATGACTCCGCCGATGGAGGGGTTGGTGGTCAAACCAGAGCTCCCGGGCGATATGCCGCAAGACGGCTCAGATGTAGGAGAATCAGGCGGCGTGAAACAGAAGGCCGAGATCCCCACGAAGGCGAACACACATGAACTGGAAGGCAGAGCTCCTTTGAACGATAGTCGTACCACCCGCGCCGAGTTGGAAGGGTGACCTTCGCCTCTTCTCGATACTGGAGCATTCGATTTCCGGAGAGGAAGCTCATTCTCCGCGTGATTGGAAGGAGAGTCTAGCCCACCACTGATCAAGAACATCTCCTTGCGTGAATTGTAGCCAAGCCAGCCCGCACCTAGAGTGGCCTCTTCCTTCCGTCGATATAGCTGAAAAGGGACACAAGAACGCAACGAATAATGGAAAAAGAAATTCATTCATCTTTCGTATGGAGTCGTGGAATGGATCGATCCTATGGCAACTCTGAACCAACTTTGTCTCACAGCGACCACCTCCTTGGATGGAACAACACAAGCCTCTGTGCTCTCTCGCTGTCAACTGCTGGATAGGATACCCAAGCCCCCCAAATCCAAGAACTCTGGGGTCATACTGGACTTTTCTGTTTGAAAATGCCATACCAAAAGGCTCATCCGCAATGTCCATGACCTGAGCCTGTCTCCCTTGATTCCTGGTTTGAATCCTGAACATGAATGACGGTGTTGAGCTTTCTGCACCAAAAGTAACCTCACTCTCCAGATCCCGCCCGTTCCCATAGCCATGCACATCCCACCAAAAAAAAACCTCAGAATTTTACACATATCCCGAAAGGAAAGAGCTGAACACAGTTCGGCACGCGATGCTCGACAAAGGCCAGTGGATGAAAGCAGAGAGGGCATCCAACCCGACTCGCTGCCTTGCATACCCGGCAATTTTGATGGACCGTTCAGCGGGCAGACGAGATGAGAGGCCGCTCAATTTCTCTGCTTAGGCCGGGCGAGCATGTTCAAGCGGCTAAGACTCAAAATGCCTCGACCACTCTTGCGATCTTTTGCATTCTGCTTCGCCATCTCACGCGCGGAACTCTGTCTTGGCTTTTTGATCGGACTCATCGTCTTTCCCGTCATCATCTTGTCCGAAAGGTCTCCTATTGCTGGGTCAGTCCGTACCCGCTTTCCACCTCGCTTCTCACCCTCGTCTTGCTCTTGTTCATCACCAATATTGGAGCTCTCTTCCCACCCACCGGGGACACTGGGCATGACTGATATCCGCCGATTCTCTTTGCTAGATTCTTCGTCCGTGCTCTGGCGATCATCGGAGACTGTCGACGCGCGTCGGCGTTTCTTGCCTGGCAATCCGTGTGGTACGGTCTTGACATGCGCGTCTTCGAACGGTTGGACCAAGTCTGTAACACCAGAGGAACGGACCCGCCGAATAGTCGACGGCGAAGGGTTTGAAAAGTTCCTATTGCTAGGAGACCGAATAATTTTGTGCGCATGGGTGGTCGGATCGGCTTTGTTGACTGTAGTGTTAACAGATGTTAAGGTTGCAGGGACACTGGATCGAGAAGGATGGTGCAAAGTTGTGAAGATGGACTTGAACTCTTTTGACTCGCGGCGGTTATGTTCCCTGGCCTTTTCATTGAATGCATTATCGACCTTGGGAAGAGCGGCTGGGCTCGAGGATGGGACTGGTAACGTAGGGTATTCGATCTCGCTTGATGCATCTTCTGATGCGTCTTCCCATACATCATCGTCTTCGACCATATAGGCAGCTGGATCGTAGGGCACGACCGGTGGCAGTGCCTTCCCAGGGGTCAGGTGTGGCAATTTAGCGGGGCTAGGACTTCCGGCGGCCAATTTGACAGCATACCTAGACTTGACACTAGGGGTAAAGTCGACTTTCTTGTGGGAGCCATTGGTAGAGGTGGCAGTGTTAGGCCGGGTAGGTGTTGCTTGCCTATCATCGATCAATGGCGCCATGTCGGTCTTGCGTCCAGGGCGGAGAATAGATTTCAGACCGGAAAATTTTGGAAGCCTGGACGAAAAGGACGATGCACCAGTCGTCGCAGCACTCTCGGCAATAGCCTTTGACTGCCGCGCAGTGTTGGCACTTGATGATGAATGCTCCTCGCGTGGCAATGGAGGGAGCGGTCTTTCGGCCTGTAAGCTTCCCTTTTGCTGTAGCCCGGATGAAGGTTTGGTGCTGCATTCTCCATGTGAGGTAGAAGGTCTCCCATTAGGCACAGTTGATGCAGCTCGCAGTGACTTCACTGAAGTGGTGCGGGTCAGTGCATGTACTTTGTGCGGCGTGGCAATTGGAATTTGACTTATTGTCGCTTTGGCCAGAGACGCTTTGGTAGGTGACAGGAGGCTGCTTGAAACTGGGCGTGGTAAGGTGGAGGGACGTATTGAAGAGGGCTGCTCTGAGGGTCGACTTGCTGATACGTCATGTAGTTCGGAGCGTCGGGCACGCTTCACAGGCGTACCAGTCTCGACGCGCTCCGCTTGCGTCGGTATGGACTTGAATGGACTGACTGAGGTGGGTCGACCAAGGAATGGAGGCGGCTTTCGACCTGGGGTTCCCTTCCCAGCAGTCCGAGGTCGTTCGGTTTCGTCGAGACCGGCCTTGGAGCCGCTTCTCTTCAGCGATTGAGCTGTGGGCTGAGCAAAGCCTGGCTTCGCTCGGAAAGCAGATGGGTGATTGGCAATTGAGTCCATCTTCTTGAATTGAGCCATATGGATGTCGCTGAATCTTCCTGCTTTTCCCCGAGGTTTCGCAATTTTCCTTCCAGTGGCAATTGTGCCGCCGAAGATTTCTTCGGCCTCTGCATCCTTCTGCTTCTGTGTTTCCCTCTCGACTTGCATCTGAGCCTTGATCCTCGCCGCCTCTTCCCGAACATTGTCCATGAGCTTTTGTGCCTCACTGCTCAATTGGGATTCTGAACCAAAGTTGAAGTCAAAGGCGGTTGAAGACAAGCTTGCCGGTGTGTCAAAACGCGCTTTGGACGGAGTGTTCTGAGCACTTGCAATGGAGCGGGGTGGCTGGATCGGCACATCGACAAACCCCAATTTGAAGCCGGAATCTGGGGCTTTGGTGGTAGTCTGGTGAACAAGATGAGGATGCATTTCGCCGCGGTCGGCTTGTGGTTCAGTCCTAGGGGTCTTCAGTCCGGACAACTTGGAAAGCTGTGATTTGATCATGGCCGCCGACGTAGGGGTTGCAAGCACGTTGTCGATGGACTGGGGCTCGCCGACTTCTGGAGTCTCATCTCTTTCTACTAGAGATTCAAGCTGCATCGTGGAGATCCTCTTGCGAGGAGAGGCATGCTGTAAGCAACATCATTAGCTCCAAGCCATGGGAAATACCTTGACTGCATTGCAGTGGACTGTGATGAAGAATTGGTTCTTTGCAGATTGGCCAAACATTACCTGTTGCTGGGCCGCCTTGCTCAATCGAGCCGAGCGACGGCGAGGAGTGGCCATGGTTGAATTTCCTCCCCCCAAGCCTAGAGAATATGAAGAAGAGAGGTATTGCAATGTGAGCCACAAAGATGTGTGGGATTTCGAAGCCGATCCAGGCGGTGTGGTCTATTCGGTGTGGAGGATTTGTGATGGGCAGATTCGATTGTTTGGTGGAGAGAAGCTTGGACACTTTCTTCTTACGTCAGAAAGGTAAACAACGGGCGCAGCCTCATGTCACCAGCCTCTCGGCGACTCGGGCGGACGCCACGTCCAAAACGCGCAGTCACATGATACGGTGGCACCACTGAGCCTCATTTAGCCACACCTCGCGTCTTGCGACTTCAGGCCCAAGTCTGAAACATGCGGCTCCTTCGACCTTCGACCATTCATCCTTCCCGAGTTATTTTTCCCCTCAGCTGCTTTGGTGGCTTCTTATCTTGTCTGCCCGACTCGTAATATATCTTCATGAGCAGAGGTTGACCAACCTCCTCGTTCTGCTCCCTAGGGTATCCTCTCCTCCCCAGGACAGTGAGTTGTAGGATTTGATGGCACCACGAGATGGTCCTTCCCATGCTGCTCAGGGGCTTTTATTGTTTCCTTACCACAGTATCTCGCAATTGCTCAATATATAGTCTCGTGCTGCGTGCAACTGACTGGTCTAGACCGACTTTATTGCCTGCCACAAGAACTTGGGATTTGGAAGGCCTCTTATGAGGCTGAGTGAGCTTGACGGACTAGCCGCTGCATGGGTTCCGACCGTTGACCCTAAATGAGGGCTGCTCCAGAACAGTGCCTCTGGCGGCCTCACCACTTCATCTGAGACGGATCGCTCTTTGAGCTTGCACCACTGACAATGTGAGGTTTGCCATCTCTGCCTCCGAGGTGTTACGAACCAATTGCTGTTGTGGCCCCATCCTCCTAGCCTCGTCAACCCTCTCTAGTCACGCTAGGGCTGACGCGGGAAATGAAGGATTGACCCAGGGATCAGCAATTAAAACTACTCGAACTGGCACAAATCCCAGCGACAGCTTGCGCTCGTTTGGTTCTCATCAGTCTTTCTGCTGTTTCCTGCTTCGGCGTGCATTTTTGCCTTTCAAGTCTCCTTTGTTGATCATTCTGTCTACATTTGCTCGGGCAGCTGGCTGTCGGGATGGATACCATTCGTGGCTCCATGAGCCATCGTTTTATGCTTCTAGGTCTTCTCGCATTAACTCAACTCGATATTGCTCGCGCTGGGGTCTCCCTCGATCCCGTCAAGAACTTTTGCAGGAGGATTGGACACAGCTGTTAGTACTTGAAAATAGAGCGCGCGATTCTGAGCCATACTAAAACGCTCTCAGCTGTCTACAAGAATGGCACCCTCTATATCAATGGCGGTCTCGAAACTTATGTGGACTTCGGTGCAGACGGACAACAAGACTTGAGTACCATTACTTCGGGCATCAGTGGGTCAATGCATTCCTACGGGATATATCTGTTTCGCTGACGGTTATCTTTCACAAGATGAAAATCTGATCTCCGTCGATATGACCGCCTCTTGGGACTGGAAAACGAATGTGTCCATTTCCCAAAACGCCAGACATGAAAGTGGTAGCGTTTCAGGCATGCAGTGGCCTGTCAATGTTCACGATGGCTCCCTCTTTGGAGGAATGGATTCTTCCACTACTCTTTATATGTTTGGCGGGACGACGTCGAGCTTTAATCAGTCTTTCCCTTATTTCGAGATTCCGCCTACCACTCAATACGGTCTCTGGACCTATGACATGGATGCCGACGTCTGGGCGGCTGTCGACACCTCCGGATTCTTGGACACGATACCGTCATGGGGAGCGAACGCCGAGGCTCCAGACCAGGGACTTGCTTTCTACGTGGGTGGCCAGATTGATAGTGGAACAGCAAATACCACTCAATTTTTGGGTGAGGATACCGTTGGTGTTGGTGGAATGGTGATTCTCGACACAACGAGTAACAACATGAAGAACGTCACTGTCGACGATTCCGTTAAGAGCAACCGACAAGGCGCTGGGATGGTGTACGTTGACAACTTTGGCGACGCCGGGGTGCTTGTGCTCCTTGGTGGAGAAACACAGGCAGACGGCCTCCTTCCCATGGACGAGATCTGGGTCTTCGATGTCAGCTCCGCAGACTTGAGTGATAATCCGTCTTCGGGCAAAAACATGTGGTACCAACAAACGGCGACAGGCGACGTTCCCACTACCGGACGCACGGATTTCTGTTTGGTCGCTGCACCGGCTCAGGATAACAGCAGCTCGAGCATTTATCTCTATGGTGGTACCTCTAACGGTACGATCTTCGACGACGTCTACGTTCTCAGTCTTCCCTCCTTCACCTGGGTCAAAGTATATACTGGGCAGGACGCTCGGTGGAGCGTGACATGCCATTTCATTCCCCCTCGGCAGATGATCACAGTCGGAGGAGGCGGAAGTAAGTATTCCAAGGTGATGCAGTGTGGGTAGGCGGCTAACGGCGTTTTACAGAAAGCAGCAACATCTCTTCCGATTGCGATTGGGAACAGAAGAGCTTGGCCGTGCTTGATCTCAGCACTATTGGATGGTCTAGCGTTTTCGACGCTGCAGCACCACTTTATGATGTGCCTGATGATGTCGTCACGGCTATTGGAGGGGGGTGAGTGATGGTGCAAACCTAGCAATTAGCATAATGAACTAACTGAGACGCCCAGACCAGCAGGCAATGCCACCAAGAGCCAGCCGGACGGAGGATGGGCCGAGTCGGGGCTCAGCGAGCTCTTCACCATCAGGAAGACAGCGACAACTACTCCCGCACCGAAAAGCAGCACAACTGTGACGCTTTCACCCACTCCCACTCCCACCGAGGTCCAAGATAATAAGAGCAGCGGCTTGTCTGGCGGTGCAATTGCAGGGATTGCGATTGCAGCGGTCGCTGGTGTGGCCATTGTCTGCGGCGCGATCTTCTTCTGGCTTCGTTCTCGTCGTCAACACAGACAAAACGTGGGCATGGAGATACCCGAGAAAGATTCGCTCCCATCATACAGCACCGCCGCTTCTCAAAACACACCGGAACTTGGTGGCACTCCCCAGGCTGCAGAAATGCCTGCGAAGATCAGCCCTGGTCCACCGAATCCCGCGGTTCAGGAGCCAGTGGAAAAGGACGCAGGGACCGTCCAAGGCCCTCATCCATCATTGAGACAAAATGGACCGGCAGAAATGGAGTAAAAATCTAGAGGTTTGGCGCCCATGTTTCGATGTTTGTGATTAGATTGATGTGCCAGTTAGCGATGCCCTTCTAATGAAATGGTTTGTATATTGGCGGCATAGGTACATAGTATATAGGAGTTTCCGTCGATTTAGGTTGACACCTGCTTGTAGGTGTTAATGCCTATAACTAGTCGGACTTGGATCGGATCCCCTTTTTTTCCTGCTCCGGCCTCCGACTCGATAGTTTTTCCACTGCTGTGGATGACGCAAAGTTTGTTCCCACTGACGTCTACTCACCATCCCCCTCGTTTCGGACATTCAATCCTCTCCACAGCACCACAGCCTTTGTCCAGTCAAGCCCGAATCAGTGTCGTCCCATTCAATATGACACAGGGGTATTCGGACATGCGCCGGACGATCACTGCTCCAACTCTGCAGATGGCCTCCCCATCGTGATCGTGATCCCGCCTCTATGAAGATCGCCAGGCAAGGCTGTCGTGACGTCGAAGTCACAAAGTGTAACTGGCAATGGAATGCTGCCTATGGCATCATTGTGCACGCGCACACGGGAACAACGCATTATGCCACTGTCGATCAATTCGACAGCATACTTGGTGTTCATATACCATTGTATCTCACCTCGCCCCTCGTGAACCCTCGAATACTCTTGTGTAAAGTGGATCTGGATTGCTTTACTCAACCGTGACAGACAGGATGGCTTCTCGATCACCGACGCTTCGTGCCTCATCCGACCCTTTCGGTCCAGACCAAGAAAAGGACCTTCGCAGTCTCGATAATCCACCGCCTCGAGGTGATGGACACCCTGATATTGACCCTTCGGCGGAGAAGCGACGTTCTTCACTGGGATCCGCGTGGCGGCGTCAAAGCGAGTATCAAGAGACAGATCCTTTTGGTGATGACGACGAAGAAGGGGGAGTCAAGTATCGGACTTTGGAGTGGTGGTGAGTACACCAGCGATTCCGCATCCCATGAACGTTCATAGGCTGATATCTACGTGCGTCAGGCAATGTAGCATGAGTGAGTGCCTCTCATCGGCTTTAACAGATCCACCTTCGACCTGACATGATGGTTTTTTCCTCAGTTATGATTGCCGAAACGATCTCTTTGGGGATTCTGTCTTTGCCGTCAGTCCTGGCGACAATTGGTATGGTACCAGGCGCCGTTCTCATCGTCGGGCTTGGTGTTGTGGCAACGTACTCGGGATATGTCATTGGACAATTCAAGGCGGCACATCCTTGGGTAGGCAGATTCTTCCATTCTAGAGCAGCTTCCAGAAGCGCATGCTTATGTCGTTTCATCTAGGTCCACAATATGGCTGACGCTGGCTATGTTCTCTTCAAGCCAATGGGACCACGCGCAGCTGCCATCGGTCGCGAATTCTTGGGTGCTGCACAAACCATCTTCCTTATTTTTAGCATGGCGAGTCACATCCTGACTTGGACCATCTGCTTGAACACACTGACTGACGGGGCCGCCTGCACGATTGTATGGGGCATCGTCGGGTTGATTCTCTTCTGGGTCTTCGACATCCCTCGAACTCTGCTGAAAGTGTCATGGCTTTCCTGTGTGAGCTTTTTTAGCATTACGACCGCGGTGATCGTCACCATGGCAGGTACAGGAGCCAGGGATCCTTCGCATGGCCATTTCCACGCCACCCAGACTGCAACCTTTGCCACGGCGTTTCTCAGCGTCACCAACATTGTGTTTGCATACGCGGGTCATGTAGCTTTCTTCAGTTTCATCTCAGAGATGAAGAATCCGCACGACTTCCCCAAGGCCTTGGTCTTGCTGCAGGTCACCGATACCAGCATGTATTTTCTGGTCGCGATGGTGGTTTATGCCTATGGTGGAGATCAGGTTGATTCACCGGCCTTGGGATCCGCTGGGACACTGGTTGGAAAAGTCGCTTGGGGCCTGGCGATTCCGACAATTATCATTGCCGGCGTCATTTATGGCCACGTCGCCTCCAAGTATGTCTATGTGCGTCTCTTCCGAGGAACGAAGCACATGTCCAAGAGGACCATGCTTGCCGTGGGTAGCTGGCTCGGCATCACATTGACCGCGTGGGTGATCGCGTGGATCATTGCCGAATCAATCCCCAACTTCAACGATCTGCTGGCTCTGATTTCGAGTCTATTCGCCGCCTGGTTCACCTATGGCATTTCCGGCATCTTCTGGCTGTTCCTCAACTATGGCCAATATACCAGAAATTGGAGGAAGATGACCTTGGCCGTGGTCAACATCTTGTTGTTCTCTCTGGGAGCCGGCATCTGCGGCATGGGGCTGTACGCCAGCGGCTATGCCATCAGTAACGAGCCAGGTGGGAGCAGCTGGACATGCAAGAGCAATGCACAATGAGCCGAGAATCGTGAGATTGAACGTGTACATGAGAAAGATAACCTTGTCAACACTTCTGCACCTTGTATCATTATCGAAAGTGTACAACATCAATGAAAGCAATCTGAAAATGGCATGGTCATGAAACTGCATCTTTGTCCAGAGTGGTTGTTCACAGATTTGCCACAGTCCATAGTTATTGTCGCAATTTCAGAAGCCCCTGTGCAAACACATGGTGAAGCGACGGGGTTTCTCTGATTAGACATAGCTTCGTGAATTGTGCCTGGTGCCTGATTCTCGTCAAAGGTGAATCTTGTAGGCTTGGTTGCCTTTGGAGGACAGGACTTCTACAACACAGCTGTTCCTCAACGCCGAAGACATTGACCTCAGAGGCTGTTCTCTTCTTCTGCCTCATCACGATTCCCCCATCCACGAAACACTTGACCCTCTCACTGGCTGTTCCAAGGCTGATCAGCGCACTTTGCAGTGTCATGTGCAAGAGAAACAAGTGATCCTCCGACCGACCATTCGTTCGACGAAACTCACGGGGCCACCAAGCGAAGAGGCGAAGAGGCAAGCGAGGCTTGATAAGGATGTCCTTGGGCTCTCGGAGGCCAGTGGTGGGCGCAGGAGGCTCAAGGCCAAAGCCTCAAGGGGCAACTGCGCCTAACGGCCCTATGGAAAACACCAACACCCACGCCAGCAGGCGCCAAAGTGGGAGGACCACGAGGAGTGGTGAGGGCCGACGAGGCAATCTTCTAGACCCCGGCACCCAGCCCGGAATTAATCACAGTCCCACCAAAACCTGCAAAATTTCTAGATATTTCGACCAGGACATGCCTGAGAGCAACGACGACGACAGCGAGAGCCATCAACACGACAAATTCCTGCGGTCTGCCAGTCCTCGTAGCCACCCTCGAGATTTCCTTCCAACCGGCAAACTGAAGTCCCCAGCCCGTTCGACGTCGTACACGACACCCCTCCCACTATTCACCGAGGAGTCAAAGCCCAAATCAGGCCAGGCGGCTCCTGCACCGTTGACTGAGCAGAACCTACGGACCCTCCTACGATCCCTGAACGCAGCAGACTCCAAGAGACAAGAGCCTGGCCGGCGGAGAGGTGTGTCTGAAGCAGCAGAGGGTGTTCCCGAAACAAGCATCAACGACAAACTTAGTCCTCCTCCCGCTGCCGGTGTCACTCGCACCGCGGGCACAACAGGCTCAGGCCGTGCTGCCTTTGCCTCAGCCCCACCCGCAGTCGCCCTTCCTACTACTGGCCCAAATCCAACATCCATGCGGAAGTCAAAATCGCCCAAGAAGCAGGACAAAGACAAGGAAAAGAAAAAGTTCAGAAATAACTCCGACCTGGACACCCATCCGCTGAATCTCCCTCCTGACCAACTCCGTCAACATCTGGCGCAAATGGCCAGGCAAGAGGCCGAGTCGGCCGGCAGGATGTCGCTAGATCGAGAATTTCCAGACACAAACAACCATGATTCCTCCATGTCCAACGGCACCGCAGGCTCGTCGCAGCCCGCCACCCCTTCCAAAGAAATTCCCGGCGCCTTCTCCGACCAGGCCAACAGTGATGCGACGTCCAACGGCACCAACGGCCACCACGATGAGCGCAGTCCCACGCCTCCTCCACACCGAGTCCCTCCGGCGCCCAAAGTCGACGCCGAGGCCTGCAAGGCCGCTGGGAATAAATTCTTCAAGGCCAAGGACTATGAACGCGCCATCGTGGAGTACACAAAAGGTACGTGTGCACTCATCAATGGTTGAAGTTTCAAGATCAGGCTGGCTGACAAATACACAGCGGTCGACGCAGAGCCCTCGAATCCCACGTATCTGTCAAACCGAGCCGCAGCCTACATCTCCGCCAACAAATACAGCCAGGCTCTAGGGGACTCTCTCCAGGCCAGCCGTTTAGATCCCAAGAATGATAAGATTTTACACCGTCTTGCCCGAATCTACACCTCCCTAGGACGGCCGCAAGATGCCCTGGATACTTATGCTAAAATCCCGAATGCGTCAGCCACGGACACTGCTTTGGCTCGAAAGGCCCTGCAGTCGATTGAAATGGCAGAGAAGCAAATCGATGCAGAGGACGGAAATGGAAATATGGCTCTTTGGAGCATTGAACAGGCGCGTCAGACGCTAGGATCGGGCACACCCACGCCGAGGAGGTGGCAGCTTCTCAAGGCCAAGGCAAATTTGAAAATCGGATCCGCGAATGCGCTGGGGGAGGTTCAGGGTATTGCGCAGAATCTGATGCGCGAGAACCCCATGGATGCCGAAGCCATTGTACTCGCAGGTCGAGCATTTTACCTCAAGGACGACAAGCCGAGACAAGGGAAGAGCGATTATGAACGAGCCGAAGATTATTTCCGACAAGCCCTGGCACTAGATCCTGACAACTCGGACGCACGGAACTGGTTGCGAACAATGAAGAAGCTAGACAGAGCCCGGACATCCGCCAATGACATGTTCAAGCGTGGCAAATACTCGGACGCCGTCGATGCTTACACGGAAGCTCTCACCATTGATTCCACCAACAAGGTCACAAATGCCAAGCTCTTGGGGAATCGTGCTCTAGCCCGGATCAAAATCAAGGAGTACGATGAAGCCAAAGCCGACTGCGATCAGGCCCTCAAACTTGACCCAAGCTACACCAAGGCCCGCAGAACCCGGGCCAAAGCCACAGGGGAAAGCGGCGACTGGGAACAAGCCGTCAAGGATCTGAAATCCCTGTCCGAAGACAACCCCTCTGACGCCGATCTGGCCAAAGAACTCCGCAACGCCGAACTCGAACTCAAGAAATCCAAGCGAAAAGACTACTACAAGATCCTAGGCGTGGACAAGGACGCGGGTGACAAGGAGATTGAGAGAGCCTACAAGAAGAAAGCAGCTGTGTTACATCCAGACAAGACACAAGGGGATAAGCAGAAGGAAGAGGAGTTCAAAGATTGTCTTGAGGCCAAGGAGACGTTGCTCGATCCCCAGAAGAGGCAGATATATGATTCGGGAGCTGATCTGATGGAGCCGGGCATGGGCATGGGTGGATTCCCCGGTGGCATGGGAGGCTTCCCTGGTGGTTTCGGAGGCATGGGTGGATACCCCGGGGGTGGATTTGGAGGTATGGGTGGAGGTGGTGGTGTGCAGATCGATCCGGAGATGCTGTTTAACATGATGAACGGAATGGGTGGTGGAGGACCTGGCGGTGGTGGCTTTAGATTCAGTTCCGGTGGAGGACGAGGGGGATACTCACCGTTTGGTTGAGATTATCTCCAGCCAGAGCCTTGAGATGGAAGGGGGCCACTTATCTCCGGCGCTGAGGTGGGTGCGAGGACGTCGACGAGATCCTCATTCCAAGGTGGCCCGGGGAAGGAAAACAAAGAGCGGAAAGAAATACGATGCCACCGTTACCGGCGGAAGCGAAACAGCAAGGACAAGAAGCCAGCAGTGCGAGCCAGACACAGCTTCAAGCCAGATTCCATATCCAGCTCCGGCCAGCCAGTGCAGTACATAACTGGTCCATACCCAAATGCATTGAAGCCTGAGAGGGATCAAGGACAAGACCGAAATCTTTCAGCCTGGCGCCATATGCTCCGCAAGGTGGTGAGAGCCGCTGGAAGCTGCAGCCGTGCCGTTCTACCCAGCAGCACGAGAGGCGCAGCGTTGGGCGGACTTAGGAGGTTCAGGCGACGGTGTCGGATTAGCATTTACATAGCGTCACGGTGCATTGAATAGAGGCCGCGGCCGCTGCGGCCCTTCAGGATCATACGGTCAATGGTTTTCTTGTTTGTCGATGGGCTTTTGGGACTTTTACTTCTCGTCCCGCAATCCCGGTTTTTCTATTCTGTGGGCGCCTATGGCTGGCGATTCGACAAGGCTGAGGATGAAGATGACACCGGATGAGTGAGCTCTGCGGGGGTGAGGACGGGCTGGATGGAGCCACGAGGACCAAGGCAGAAACAGATACAAGGACATCAAGACTTGAGGCGTTTTCGTGATCACCGCCATCGTTGTCGTTGTTGTTAGCATGGTCGCCGAGATCTCCTTGTCCACACTCTTCCCAATGCTTGGTTGTGTGGTGCTGCTTCACCTGCTGGACCGGCTTCTCACGTTTCTTTTATGGCCACTCTAGAACAAGTCTCGGTCTCAATAACTGGCAGGGAGACGTGAGGCTAGGAGAACCGAAAAGAGGTAGACTAGTGGTGACGGGAGCCCGACACCTGTGGATCGAGCATGTTTATCGTGTCGAGCATATGGTACTGGTACAGTGGTCTACGTGAAACACTCTGCCGCTTTTCATAGTCATTCGGAGGCACATTCGGCGGTTCTGGATAGTCAAACAATCAATCGTCATCTTCGTCGTCGTCATCCTCTTGCACATTCCTTCTTCCACCGCCTCAACCCTACTCTCTTCCGGACGTGTTGGGTCGGGGCCCCTGTCCGCCCCGTCTCGACGGGCCCGGGGGCCCTTCTTCGACCACCTCCTCATCCTCTCCATTGTCCTCAGCATCTGGACCACCACCTTTCCGACTCTGCTCCACCACACCACCCTTTCCGACCTTGACGCCGAGACTCCGCGAAAGTTTGGCGTTGAGTTCGTTCTCCTCGATCTTGACCAGGCGGGCAGCTTCTTCGCCGCCGGCCTCTTGGTTTCCGTCCACGTCTTCGTCGCGCCGTCTCCGCTCGTTATTTTGCCGAGAGCCTCGAGATAGAGGCACTGCTCCATACCCGTAAACAGTCCTCACCAACCCAGTCACGCCTTCTACCCCGACCTCAATCTTGCCTCTCGGCCCCGGCGTCCACTCGATTATTTCCTCGCCACTAGACGTATCCCTTCGCTTCTCGATATATCCCTCCTTCATCATCCTCTGGAGGAGCTTCTCTTTGTTCCCCAGGGGCGTATAGGTGTCGGCGTTCACGCGCTTGAGATAGCGTTCGAGCTTCTGGTCCGTGATTGCGTTGTTGTTTAGGTAGATCAGGGAGAGAATGAATGTGTACAGGGCCGTGTAGCTGGATTCGACGTCTACATTGGGGGCACGTGTAGGTTGTGCGATGAGAGGGTTCTGCTTTAATTCGGGCGGGAGGGTGGAGACGAGGATCCACGACTTGGTGGAATTGTTCGAGGAGGACTTGGTCTGCGTGGCTTGTGTCCGGCGATCCTTCAGAGTGGTTTTCTCCTTGGAGGGGAGCTCCGTCAACTGCATCCCGAAAACATCCTTCAACACGCGCTGGGCTCCCTCGAAGACAGCCTTGAAGGAAGTCCGACCTCCACTGGTGTTGGCATCCTTGAATATCTTCTGGGAAATGTCGCTTCGCCGCAGCGGGGTGCGGGAATATTCTGTCGCCAGGGCTAGACGGACAAGTTTCTTGATGAGGATCCTCTCTGTGGATTGACCTGCTGCGGAGGGGGAAGCGGGTGCGGAGGAGGCTGAGGAGGCGGTGTCCGAGTCTGTAGGGGTAGTTGGACGACGTCTGCGAGGTGGCTCTGGTTCTGGTTCTGGTTCTGGTTCGGACTGGTCACGAGAGATTGCGTCTGAGCGACGCTTGAGACGTTGGGGCATGGCGATCGAGACGGCGAGGTGGTGAGCACGAGACCGAGGCGTTGAGTGAGTCAATGGGCAGTGGAGGCCACACAATGCCTTTCGTCAAACCCACGCGTTAAGTGGGAAAGAAGTAGCAGACGCGTCTAGCATCGCAGAATATGGCACTAGTTCTAGAATAGACTAGTTCAACGGTACACAGGGACTGACATCATGTGTTCCGTGCTAGCGGCTCATATTAATCCTCCTCTAGCGCTAGGGCCAGGGCCAGCCTTACATCGGGAAACATCCTTGTTCTTCCTTTGGCGTTGGAGACAGTGGCTGGTACATGCAATAAGAGTCATGCCCAGGCAGACTCAGCATGACAATCCAATGGCACCGTTGATATCAAGCTTGAAGGATTCTTGGGGCAGAGACCCGCCATAGGCGATCGGGGAATTGGGGAACCAGCAGGCAACTGGCCTCTCAGCCCCCGTGGTACAGCCTCATGCACTCCGCCAATGATGCCTGGGCATATGGGTGCCTGCCAAAGCCCACCCGCTGGTGCCAACAACCATCAAATGACTCAAGCCTCATTCCTTTGGCGACTTACGACTCACAACCTGTCTAAGAAACAAGGCAATAATGCTTAAAAGACTGTCTCCGGCGCAGTGTCGTCTGTCTCTCGTGCCTAACAGTCCTCTCCATCATCCCCTCTAGTGCTTGGAGACGTTGCGCCGTGCCCGCCAGCCTCATGCGTCTCAGCCTGATATAGCCCAGCCATACCCCCGCCTCAACATTCACTCCATGGCCTGTTCACTCGTCTGGCGCCTCTTCCGCCATCGACCCTTCACACGGCTTCACTCTGCCCACCCCTCCACCCCACCTCGGGCGCCTGCCTCACCCTCGTCCAGTGCTCTTGGCACCGGGCCTGCTGCTTCTAACTTGAACGCAGAAAATTACACTGATGCCTTAGCCTCGGATCCCGTCTCATTCTCAGATGACGTTGACCAGGACCTCCTCATTCTAAACACCATGGCGGGCCAGGGTTCACCACTTATCGCCCTCCGCAGCACCGTCTTCGATCCAGATCACTCCTTCGGCGACATCGACCCTCCATTCTCCGGCTCGGAGGGATATCTCGGCCTCAAGGTAGTTCGACAAGGCGTGGGTTCAGATGGGCACACGTTCTATGACTGGGTCTACGCCTTCTCGACTGCTGCCAACGCATCCTATGCCCTTCTGGACCACCCTCATGTCACCGTTGCCGGCAATCGATACAACCTTTTCCCTTACGATGGAGACTCTACCGAACCTCATTCCGACCTCTTTGAGCCCGTCCGCACACGAAACTCCACGTCACTTCCTCCACCTCCACCAGCAGACATCTCCCCTCCCCGGAAGCGTCTCAAGAAATCGACACCGCCGGACAACAAGATCGTCTGCAAAATCTGCTTTGGCATCATTGATGGAGCCTATTCCACGCCTTGTCGACGATGCAAAGAAGCTACATGTTACGAGTGCCTGAAGACCCATTTTGAAACGGCCATGAAATATATCGACAGCATGCCCGTCATGTGCTGCGCCACCGTCATGCATCACGAAGTCGCACGCGGAATCCTCCCTGCGGCAGAAGTCGAAAAGTACAAGCAAAAGTACGACGAGTTTAACACGGTTGATCCTCTGTATTGCCCTGTGCCAACTTGCTCGGCTTTTATTCCTCCTCGAATGTTCAAGCAAACCGATAGGAAGGTTACATGTCACGTTTGCAAGACTGCCATTTGCACAAAGTGCAGAGAGATCGCCAAAGACGAACACGTTTGCGCCGAAGATGGTTCTCGGCAATTTATTCTCAAGACATACGAATACAAAATCTGCCCCAAGTGTGGAACTGGTGTCATGAAAATGTATGGATGTCCTCACGTAAGATGCCAATGTGGCGCACATTGGTGTTGGGACTGCCAAAGACCAATGAATGCTTGCTACCAGAAACCATGTCGTGCTGCCAGAGGTGATGGTGTCCATTCGGACGGAGGAGATCAAGAGCCCGATTCTGAGGAAGAAGAGTATGGAAATGACGCTTCCGTGGCTGGTCCAGTGCCAAGTGAGGTTGATCATAGTACGCAAGTGCAGATGCAGGCCTCACAAGATCCGGTCCTTCTCCCCAGTGCCATCGAAACGCGCGATGAGACTCAAGAAACAACGGCGAACCCGACTGCAACCAGTGAATCGGCAGAGGTTGAAACCAGCCAGAGCACCGAGATTGCGACGGATGCCGCAGAGACGACGGCCCAGCCTACAGTCGATCTAATTGCTCCTGAGGCAACCGCAAATACGCGGCCTGAGAATCTAGATGATCCGGACGAAATCGATTGGGAAGGCGTAAGTCTGGATTTTGGGGACGAACCAACTGATGAGGCATGGGATACGTGGGGATGTCGACACCAATTCAGTGAATTTGGGAAGGACCGCATCCCCGAGTTCTGGCTGGTTGATATGAATCCTGCTGGGGACCGAAGCTTGGAAGTGGAATGCATGGGTTGTTTCAACAAGGTTAAAGTCGCGGACGGTGAGGCCAAGAAAACAGGATTCAAGGAGAAGTGGTGCCATCGGGTGTCTTCTCGTACGACGGAGCCGCCAACGACTGAGGCTGGGGCGTCGAGTGATCGTCGAACCAAAAAATCTGCCAGAAATCCAGATACCTCGTTCGAATGTCGCCTTTGTGGGATTATCTACTGCGGTCTATGCAAGAAGGCGGCGAGGAAGAGGATTTCTCACGAGCGCGTGGCTCCCGATTCAGAACCCCATTGAGGAGACAACGATTGATTCCTAATGATGGTCAGGATCGCTTTGTTGTCAACTGGTGATGGCGGGTGCGTTGACTCGGTCCAAAGTCGTATGGTGCTCATTGGCATGTATGATTAATTCTTCTCAGATCGCGAGCTGCAGGAGTTGGGATATGAGATGTCAGTTGAGATCGTGTTTGGAGGGCGAGTCACTGAGCTGGTTGTTACTGGGTCCCAAGTAGATCAGAGCAGAAGCTAAACTCGACTGATGGAAGAGATCAGCAGTTGTGAATAATGAACAATAAATTTGAGTGACATGCTCTCTGTCTTCTTCGAGTCGCATTGTCCTGGATTCGCATCCCCCTTTTCTCGTTGCCGGTCAATAGCCGACATGTCTCAAACTACCGTAACCTAGTCGCCGTGTCCTGCTGTGCGACTAGAGAGGCAGACAGTCAGGCAAATAGGGGCTCGAGGACCACAATCCCTTTCCAGCAGAGTGTATGGTAGCATTCAACAAGAGAAGAACCCGTGAAAGAGACTTGTGAAGATCAAGGACTTTGTACGGGGGCACGGAGAACTGGAGAACTGAAAAGAGCCGTGCATCGCAGGCAAGAAGAACATTCGAGCCCGGCGAGTATGATGAAAGAAATATAGGGGAACAGCCGTAATCACGCGCATACATCATCCATCCATCCATCCATCCATCCATCCATCCGGGGAGCCCAGCTCCCGCACTATCTCAGAAGGAAAATGACAAACATTACATATCACCATAGTCTTCACGCCCGTTGGGTCCATATAACAAACACCCAGATTAGTTGAATAGTATCACACACGTCCTTAAGAACCCAAAACGCTCCAGCCAGCCAGTAAGCCACACACGCCGCATCATTCCACTGAACCAGGAGCCAAGGAAAGGAAAACAACACAACACGCCCGCCGTTGCTCGGTGCTTTAAAGATTCCCACCCATTCACCCGGGGACTCACCCTTCGTCGCGTAAGCTAGTGCTTCTTGAGCACCAAGACCAAGTACCCCAGGACCCGGTACGCAAAGATGATGGCGAACATGATGCCGATCCACTCGCCAATGACGCCCGAGGACCAGGAGTACTTGTACGCCTCGAGCACCGCGGTGCCGCGGATCTTGCCCTCCGCCTCCAGGTCTGAGGGGTACATGCACTGGAAGCCGTCGGCGGATTTGGCGCAGTCCCAGATCGTGGAGCGGAATTGGTTGGCCATCATGCCTTGGAAGACATAGGCTTGGTAGTCGATGTAGTGGAAGACGTCTGTAGCGGGGACACATGGAGGGGAATGGTCAGCCACATGCACGTTTGATCACGAACACAAATAATCATGGGGGAGAAGGACACAGGGTAACGAGAATGGGCACGAGGAAATGGGAGAGAAGAGGCGACCCGACGAAGATAATGTGGCTGAGTAAGTGAGAAAAGGAGCAGGGGGAGACTTACACTTCCAGAACGGATTCAGCTTGCCCATGGGGACCATGAACCCATCCACACACATCCACAGTCCATTTGCGAACGCCGTGATGGCCAGCGCAACGACGAAGATGGGGAAAAGAGACGACACCAGGACCACCAGGCCTTCGGCGGCGAGGAGGTCCAAAAACAGCCACAGCACCCACATCCAGAAGCCGCCGGCGGTCGGGTTGAAGTGGCCCAGCCAGTAGGTGATGATGGAGAACATGATCGCGATGAGAAACAGCCAGGGGACGCCGATGAGGGTGTTCGCGATGACGAAGGGCAGCGGGCCGTACAGGCCGTTGTGCCGTTCCTTGTTGAAGGTGTGGAGGTCCTCGATGATGGAGGGCACGTACGCGACGGCCATGAAGGACATGAAGGCGCCGCCGAAGAAGATGGCGTTGGTGAAGGGCTGGATCGAGGCCTGCGAGAACGAAAGGCGCAGCCACACGGTGCCCATCATGATGGCCAGGCCAAAGTACATGGCCACCCGGGTCCCGTAGGCGATGATGTCGCGGTACGACTTGATGAAGTTGCGGTGCAGGAGGACCCAGGAGACGGCGACGACGTTCTTGGACGACCTCCGCGCCGAGGCCACGGGCGTGCCCACGGTGCCCAGTGCGTCCGCGCCGCTGTTGGCCGCCTCCAGTGCTTTGCACTCGTCGGAGGACGTCCATGAATCTTGGATGTAACGGAGGTTGCCCTCGGCGGCGCCCGCGCTGTGGCTGAAGTCGCTGTTGACCAGGTCGAGCAGGAACTCGGCCGGGTTGATGTGCAGCGGCACGGGGCGGTCGATGCGCTCGAAGTAGCTCTGGATATTGGACACGGGGCCGAAATAGCACGTGCGGCCTTCGGACAGGAGCATCAGCTGGTCGAACAGCTGGAATGTCGTCGTCGACGGCTGATGGATCGACGCGATGACGATCAGGTTGTGCTGCTTGGCCACCAGCTTGATGTACTTCATGCACTCGAAGCTGGCCGCCGAGTCGAGGCCACTGGTGGGCTCGTCCAGGAAGACCACTCGCGGCGAGGTGACGAGCTGGCTGGCGACGCTCAGTCTGCGCTTCTGGCCTCCGCTGAGGCCCTTGCGCAGGGGGGTGCCGACAATGGTGTCCGCTTGACGTTGGAGCCCAAACGACTCGATAAGCTCGTCGACCCTCGCGAGCCGCTCCTTCTTGGATATACGCCCGTTGACGGAGAGCCTGGCGGCAAAGTCAATGGTCTCTCGCAGTGTCAAGATGCCGATCATCGCGTCCTCTTGTTCCACGTAGGTAGAGACTTGTTGCACAGCAGACGCGTTGGTGAGCCGTCCGTTTACCATGATCTTCCCCTGGATCTCGCCCTTCATCGCCGACGTGCGGTGAGCAAGCACGTTCAGGAGGGTGGTTTTGCCGCTGCCGCTGGGACCCATGAGCGCGAGGACGCTCCCTGCCTTGACCGAGCCACAGCTGGAGGTCAAGATCTGCAGAGGCTGCTTTGTTTTCCTGTCCTTGACCACAACCCCGACATCTGACCACGAGAAGGTCGAGACTGCGCTGTTTGTCAGATGGCGGCTCAACTCGAGGCCCTTTTCCAAATCCTTTGTCATGTCACTAGGGTCTTTAGAGGAGTCGGAGGACGGGGGGAGGTCTTTTGGGGTGGCCATGGTGACTTGGGCCCTTTGTCCAATATGCTTCAGGGGGAGGCGTCGGTATCAGACGATGCTCAAGGAAATGGGAGACAGTAAAGAGTTAGAAAACGGGACAGGACAGAACTGCATTGGGGGAAGCCCGAGACAGAAGGCATTTCAACAACGTCTTATACAAGCTCAATCTCAATCACCTTCCTTCAGACACAGACCCCGAAGTAGTAGTAGTATACACAACGCATCGAGGTACCCAAAGCCCGCACAAAGTTCGCACCAGCTCAGGTATTCCTCAGCCCTCAGAGGACTAATCACGATTTTGACCCCTTACCAGCCTTGGTAGTGGTCAACAACCTACCTTGCCTCGTATTTTTGCACAGCCCTATATTGATAGGAGACTGTGCTGGACAACCCAGGGCCAAGCAAAGCACCAGATGCTCGGAAATGTTCTGCGATACTCCGCGAGGCTGGCTGAGATGGTCGGATCGCCCGACCGTCCGGTCACCACAGAGCCCAAGCCCGATACCCGACCTTGATTCATTCAGGGAAAGCGCACAGACACACAGTCAAACAGGATAAAGCATCATATCGGGGACTATCATGGAACAGCCCTATCTAGACAAGAGCGCTCAGCTCCACAACTCGTGGCAGTCGTCTTTTCGGGGATCTGGACGGCGGCATCCTGCCAAATCGTTTCGCATCCTTATTTCTCAGCCCCAGAACGCCCCCTTGCTTTTGTGCGGGATTGCCATCTCTTGGTATCAGGCCATTTTCTTGTCAGATCCGTTTCACATCGGGCAGAGGGGTCAGCTTTCGGGAACGTCGGGTTTCACGACTTTTGCCGGCGTGGCACGAGTCTGACACAAAAAGTAGGGGAGGGAGCAACGCCGCGGGTTCTTCGCCTGAGTATGCAGGTGGTCAAGAATAGAGCGGACTACGGCCGGACGTGCCATGGTAGATATCTGTGGAAGCCGATCTGCAAGACCAACACAACATGGTCTCAATCGGAGGGCATTGAATGATGATGCAGGTAGATATCGAGCCATGAGCATGCTGGAGGTGAATTGGAAGAGAGGTGACGGTGAGGTGAAAAGGCGAAATCATTTTGGTCAGACAGATTCTGCAGCTGCCATTTCCCTGTTTTCTGTGTGCGCACGTGCTACGCGCTAGGTCCCAACGGCTTAGATGCCGGGGCTAAGAATTGTCGCCATAGTTTCCGTCTCCGACACGAGGGGTGGCGCCCCCGTCTCCACCAAGTCCCCGACATCCTCCTCCTCCCACCACCGCTGGTTCCCTGAGTCAGCCCATCGTGGCCATATCCCAAACTCCCAAGCTCTCAGCAACCAGCACCAGTGCCCCCCGGGGACCAACAAAGAGCGCAAAAGCACGCAGATCTAGGGCCTATCAAGCACAGTAACCATTGCCTATTGCCATTCAATCCCAGCCACAAATACCGCAGGCGAGCCGGAGGCCACATAATCAGCACGGTTCCTGTAACCCATCACCCCCCCCCCTTTCTCCTTACGGAATATTAGACCGCCATTCATCTACATTGCCATCTCAGGCGAGACCGAAAATGTCCACCGAGGATGCTACTAATGCCAATCCGGCCCCCAGTAAAGGCCGATCGAAGCATCCAAGCCTTCTCGCGTGCATTCCATGCAGGAAGAGCCATCTCAAATGTGATGGCAAGAAGCCGCTATGCAGCAGGTGCTCCGAGAAAAACGGGGACTGTATCTGGATTAATTCCCGAAGAGGATACCGAGAATATCGCAAAAACCAATCAAGTCCTGAAGACAAGACTGACCAGAGGCCGAACAATGATACCATCTTCCACGAATCCAAGCCGGACGTGTCTCAGGAGGCCTATCCTGTCTTTAACGAGGCTGATACTACCAAGCTGAGAGCTATGACCTACGCCGAACTCTTTCAGCCCACCATGGATCCAGCCTTCCCAGCTCTTCCTCTCGAGTTGCAAACCGTACCATCCGCCAAAGAACAGCTGCCAAGTCCCAGCAACAGCGATTCCACCATGTCCATCTCGAGAGAGATGCTACCTATTCCCGGCGACCGGGCCTTGATAGAGAGCACCGACTTGATCGATCTGTTCTACAGGCATTTCTATCCTTCCCACCCCTTCATCGTGCCGCGCAAGCTCTATCTCCAGAATCCTGCCATCCTGCCTGCACCGCTCAAGGCATGCATGCGATGGCTGGCAAGCCATTACATCCCTCAAGCCAACCACACCGCGCTGGAGAATGCTGCAAAGGCCATCTTCTCGCCCGAAGTGCCTGACGATGGCTTCAAGGTGCAAGGCCTCCTTATCTACGCCATGACCTGCTTCGCTCGATTCGGCCAAGGAGAAGGATCCATGGCCCTGGACAAAGCCATCGAGATCACACTCCGCATCGGTCTCAACCGGCAGAGCTATGCTTTACAGCAGTCACCCAACGACTCAACAATGCAAGAGTCATGGCGCAGAACATGGTGGACACTTCTTTTGATCGAAGGCTTGGTCGTGGTCATTGGGGGTCAATCATCCCCCTTCCGACTGTACTCGACCTACACGGATGTGGCTCTACCTGGCCACGATGAAGACTACAACGAACTTCGATCGCCTCCGATCACTCGCACAATTGCAGACCTCCGAAACAGGACCTTTTCAGAAGACACTTTCGAATACTCGTCTTTTGCCTACTGCATTGAAGCGGCGTATATCCTCGGCTCTGTGCTTGCTTTGAGCCCAGACACATTTGCGGTGACAGATCCTCAAGTAGAAGGGATCGATGCTGCCATTTCGAACCTCTTACTATCACTCCCCATGGACAAGCGAGAAGTGGTCCGTAACGATGGAACCATTGACGAATGCCTTCTCATCGCCCATCTGGTCATTCACTGGGCTGCCATCTGCCTGCACCGTCCACGCTCGACCTTGACCTTCATTCGTAACCACTATCGCACGACATGTACAAAAGCAGAGGCTGCTGGTCTCCCTGCACTGGCTTACACCTCCCATACAGCCAAAGCTTTGCGAGCAGCCAATGCCATCACCAATCTGGCGTCCATCCAGACAGATGTCAAGATGTGCTCGCCGGTGCTGATGTGCGGCTTGACCACTGCTGCAACAGTACACTTGCCGGCATATGCCATCGTGGATACTCCAGACCAAGCTGTGGCAATCAAGGAACGGCTTCAACTCAGCATTTCGGCCCTTGGCTCATTCGGTGAGGTTTGGCCACGGGCCACCATTGCCAAAGGACAGGTGGCAAAATTTGCCCGCGAGGTCTTGACAAAGCCGAACGTTTACGTCGACAGCACAGTTCCTGGGATGATCCCACGTGTGTCGGAACCTGTTCCTCAGCTAGAGTACCAGATGCCCTTCAACAACGAATCGTGGATGGACAACCTGATCCAAGCGGAACAAGACATTGAGGCCCCGTCATGTCCCGTTTTTGACACCTTCGCTATGGCTCAAACTCAAGGTCCCTGAGCGCAACTTCAGAGTATATTGTGTGTATATAGTTTTATTGCTTTCTATATTGGGTCTATTTGGAGGGAAACCCATCAAGTTTTCTTTCTTGGAGCAGGCATGCTCCGTCCTTGAAACCGGGCTCAATGACCACTGCCCCAAGATTCAGCAACATTGACGGTGAGGATTGGAATAATGGGATGCTGGATATGAGCCAGGCGGAGGAGTTTGTTGGGTATTTGGGCGGTTCACGAATTACGACCACTTCTTCAGATTTATCCTTCTTTACATGATCATTTATATATCAGGGGATAGAACATGACAGCCAGAATAGAGGCTGTTCAGATCTGTTTTTCTTCCTATCTTGATGCCGCTCAGGACTCCTCGGGAGCAACTTGGGAATCAACTTTCGCCCAGGGCCGTTCACGGCAGTCTCAATGCCTATGCGAGCGGTGTGCAATCTGTGTCTCGTCATTGTCTCTTGGTCACAGAATTGATTTGACATCTCTGTCCATGACAAGTTCTACACGGTAACTGGTCTCGTTCCAGCAGGGTCAGGACTTTCATATTGAGCAGGAAGACCCTTATTCCGAAGTTCCTCGGCACATCGTTGAACACGGCACTTGTTGGATATCTCTAGAGGGCGAAGGCCACCCCCTTCTCCGATATCTCTCATAGCTTGTTACAGTGGAACTCTTGTTAGGATGATGATTGCCATGAGAAGCATAAATTCGTTATCGCCTTTTGTAGTCCGTCGCAAACACCAGTAAGCGGCTACAGTATACACTCAATTATTCTCACTCAACACAAAGGTGAACCCGGCCCCGTCACTGGTCCCGCCCACACAAGTGCTGCTGTACGTCCCTGTCGGACAGACTGCTTGTGCCGCTCTCACACACCCTTCCCATCTTCCCTTGCTCACGTTGATCGTGGCGCCCTGGGCTGCATTCACGGCTGTCAATGTAAACTTCGAGGTTCCCGAGGCCCCCACTGTCGTTGATGGGTCGCCGCCACAAAACTCTATTGACCCGGCGATACCGCCGCAGATGGACAGAATGGCGACGTTGGTATCGTGCGTATTGAGAACCGCCGTGGGATCTATGCAAGTCGTTCCGGTCACGGCTTCAGGGTTGACGGACGTGTTGGCTGGGTCGCGAGGGCGGATTGGGTAGCTGAAGTCGCCGGTCGTGCCGGTCGGCGGCTCCGGGTGGTCATCCCACCACAAGGGAGACGCTGTCGTGTGGACGATGAAGAGGAGGAATGTAAACGAGAGAATCTGAAGGAGCAATTGCATGGTGGCTGAACCGAGCGAGGCGGATCGGGTATCGCAGAGAGATTTTAACGGTGTGAATATCAAACGTTCACCAGGGCTTATTGCAGAGAGTTCTGTGCACGACGGTGCCATGTACTCGTTCATATATGTTTATATACCACTGTAACCAGCCACCAGGCTCCTGCCGCGGTCATCTCGGCTAGAACCTGATTGATCTCACCCCCCTTCGATCCTCTAATGACTTGCAGACAGCGGGACAAAACTCATCTCCTTGAGGGAAAATACCTCACAAGCTCGAAAGAGACAAGTGCTTTCCTGTCCAGTACCGTGGCGGCCGCATCGGAGACTCCAGGGTGATGGCTTCAGCGACGTCAGACAACCGGCATCTGTTGAAGCGTGTCAGACTCGTGGTTGATGTGGTAAATGTCACAGAAGAGTTTGACGAGTTTCTAGCACGAAGCCTCATAGGCTGAATTTGGCTTAGTGCCATGATGCCAATTACGGATCAACATCGGAGTAAATGCGGTGGACCATATACCCAGAAGCCGCGTAAGTAAACTGCGTCTGAACTGATGTGCCCTTTCGGTGACGAGTGCCCTACGCCCACCTGCGACCTCTCGACTATATACCAACCGCAATACTTGGCCCATCGTCCCTGCTCCGTGACCAGGCCCAAAGCCCTTGTACTGGCCCAAGGGAGAGACAGAGCCATGCGGTATCGCCCTGCTCAATGAATGACGCCAAGCTATGAATCACCGACATCCATTCCTCTCGAGCAGCTACCACCTCTCGCAGCGTGTTGCCCTGCTATTTTCTGCCAAAAAAGAAACCCCTCACACCCTCGGTGATGACGATGTCCACACGAATTTGGGGGAAGGTTCGAGTACCTGGGGCGGGTGCTTGCCAATATCAGGGACAGACTTGGGTTGAGGTAGACATGGTGGTCGTCGATTCAACAAATGGCTGAGGATCCAGGACTTGGTGCTGGCGGATATGGAAGCTTTTGTGTTGAAGTTGTTGGCCGGGGGCTGAACAGCTTTTTCTTCTTAGCCCAGACCTCTGTCAACGATCCAACGATGGCTCCGCCGACAATGCCCAGCAGCCTGTCAAAGGTTTGTTCCCCGACGAAGTCTACGGTGAGACCTCGGCGGACAGCTCTGAAGAGTCCTCTTTCGCCTTCAGCAGTGGCATCCTCATTGTTGGGTGCTTGGACTCCGTTGTACTGTGGTTGTTTGCAGGAATGTCAGAAGCTGCTTCGGTCTCGAACAAGTCTTGGGTTCTGACTTCTGGGATCAAGGCCAGCTCAAATCCTCCCTGCGACCTTTGCTATGGGGGCACTGAAAAGATCGGCTTTCGTTTTGCACCTTGCCGGGAAATTCCATTGGCATTTCCGCATTTCGATGCGCTTTGCATCCGCAGATTTCGCCCCAGTCTGCGGGACGAATATGGCATGCTCAGTAAAGGAGGTAGCGGCATCAAGGTGCAACATCCTGAGCTCTGCGGGAAGAGGCTCCACAGTTTATATGCTTGAATATGTCCTTAACGGTAGGTTATGATACTTAATGATGCGTACGCGTACATTGACCCCTAGCTGTTTCAAGGTATTACCCCAGTCGAATATGGAGTGCCTTGTCAGCGCAGTCTTGTGGTTTCGGTTTACACCCTAGCCGTCAGGCAATACCCATTGTAAAGCTGCACGGGAAACTTTGTCCATTCACACTCCTCACCAGTATCCAGCATCATGCATTTAGCTCCGAAAAAGAATCCTTTCGGCAATATTTTCTTTACTCGAGCTGTTCCACCCGAACAGGGGAATGCGATTGCCTGGACTTCGCTAACTGGAACAGGCATGTATCATATGTGCTTCTCTTTGCCTTTCTTAGACTCAGCCTGACACTTCGCGTCATAGGATCCTGTCTAGCAATGCTCATCCGTCCAAACTCGTTCGAAGCTCGACCAAGGTCAAACTTCTTCGTCGTCATGATTGCGATCTTCCTGCTGCGCCTCTTGTCCTTAACTGTCGGGTTGTCCAGAATCCGTCATCTCAATATAAGCGCAATCTTTCTGGGTATCAGACAGACTGTTCTGTCTATCCAATGCCATCACTGCCCATTGGTGTGATCGAGTAAATATGACACCAAGGCTTCTACAAGAAGTCCTCAAGTCCACGAACGGGATCCCAGAGTTCAGCAATGATAAATCACATGCTCACATCCGTTGGACAGAGATGCTACCCGATGACCTGCGTGACTATGAGCGGCATACGTCAATGCAGAAGAACGAGCACCTGGTCAATCCTAGGCGCGAGTTTCTCCTGAGACAATACAACAAGTTCCGACGTTGGGCCAGTATTGCGGCGGGGATCACGAGTGTCATTTCAGCGCTACTGTCGGCCTTTATGGAATCAATCATGATCTACACCATTTACAAATTCTACACCACCAAAACCCTCTTCGTCGAAGGTCGGCCTTGGGGGCCGTGGGCGAGAGACAGCGTCCTCTGGCCGACTTTCATGCTAGCCGTCGCCTCCATCGTCACCTCTCTCTTGGCGTTGACAGCACTGGTTGCTCTTTGGTGCCGAGCCAAGCATAAGGCAGCGTTTTTCAGCCTTCTGTATGCTGCCGTGCATATCGTGGCATGGGTGGTCGTTTCGGTGTTATACAGGGTCGAGAAGACAGAGAAGGATCTTTGGGGCTGGAGTTGCACCGACAAAGCCAGAGCAATTCAACAACAACTTGGGAGTCGTAAGCTGAACTTTGAAAGCCTGTGCAGGCTTCAGGTGAGTCTTCTTGTCAGACCCTAAGCCTATGTCACTCTGTCTCAATTCCCGCAAGTGGTTGCTACAGGTAATCAATGTCTGACGCTGGATCTACACAGGCATCCTCTTGGGAAGTCTCAGTCGCCGAGGTCGTCATCAAGATACTTACGACTAGTGTCTCCTGGTACTTCAGTAGCAGGCAGGAAGGGCTGAAGACCGAGATTGTTGGCGAGATCGGCTCGGCAGTCTTCAATCAGGTCACAGGTTGAGCCACTTGATGAGCATATCCGGGCTCATTTCCAAGCATATGAGTGCCATCCGGCGAAAAGAGTGTCCATTGTGATCGCTTGGAGAGAGATGTCGTAATGCTTAGAAAGATTGTGAAATTGAATGCAGCTGTGTCGTTAAGGTGTCCCCTGCCTCGAGAAATAATGGACCAATTCATTGTCGTTTACTGCAGTGGTTCTTTTATTCCGCATTGGTGTGATTCCCAGTTGTGCTCATGGGCCGATAACGTTATGGTTCGAGAACCCGGTCGGGGCAAATACGATGCCGACGAGAACAAATCTCGAAGCGCCAAGTCCGCTGCTTCGTATACCGTGCAGCTGAGCGAACACTGAAGACAGAGAGGGAAACAACCCCTCCTCCGAAAACGAAACGAAACGTCATGGTGCAGAGGATGGGAACGAGTGTACATAAAGAGCGACCCAGTTGCCCTCCAGTGCTCAATGGTTCGCCAACAGTCTGATCCTCCCGAAAAAGGAACCGACAACCCTCCAGTCATGACTCTCAAACTCTGGACATCGACGCTCTCATGGAACTGTCTGCGGCCCGAGCTCGTGCTGGCCGAGAAAGGGATCGGAGACGTCGAAAGAATCACGGCCGACCTCATCGGGGGGAAACACAAGGCAAGCAGTCACTGCACTCAAACCGAAGGTCGCGCGTTGCTAACAGGGCAATCGACAGACTGAAGACTTCCGTGCGAAGTCCATCTTCGGGAGGGTCCCACTGGTAGAGGACGGCGATGTCGCGATCTTCGAGTCTCGCGCAATTGCCCGCTATCTGTGCCTGAAGTACGCGGACGTGGGCCCGAGACTGATGCCCGAGAGTACCGACGTTAAAGTCAATGGCGTCTGGGAGATGCGGTTGACCCTCGAGGCGATCGAGTTCGATAGCCATGTCGCGCCTGTCATTGGCGAGACACTCATTCGCCCGTATGCCTCTCCTTTGCCATCACTTCCGTCCTCCCACCACCCCAAAGCACCACGCATTGTGATCGATTGATTGACACGACCGCAACAGCGCATTAGGAAAGGCCACAGATGAAGCCGTCGTCGCAAGACACAAGCCGAAACTGCTTGACTGTCTGGACGTGCTCGACAAGGCGCTGTCGAAGACGCCGTACATGGGAGGAACCGAGTACAGCCTCGTCGACATCTTCTACATGCCATGCATGTTCACCGTCAGCAAATGTCTTGATGTTTTCGAGGGGAGACCGAATCTAAGGAGGTGGTGGGAAACTGTCAGTGCCCGAGAGGCGTGGAAGGAGGTTGTCAAGCCGCTTGACGATGGATATAGTCAAGTTGTCCCAGGGTGGAACAAATGAGCATCGGCGAGAAGATAGAAGAGACGGCGTGGTGGTGGCGAGCGAGCGATCGGAATGCTCTCATGGATTCCCAACGCCACCGCTAGCTTGGTAGTAGTCTGGAGAAGCTGTCTCGACTACTTTTCTTGTCTGTGGATGTTGGTGGGAGGAGTCCCCCGGGCTATGGTCGAAATTCATTGGCGACGGTACCTTCTTATTCTTCTCGCCTTGTCTGGGCGGGCCAAGAGATGACAATACACTCAAAGGCACATTCTAGATGGTCAAGCAGATGTCCTTAGCCATGAGCCGGTATGCTGCGGAACAACTGGATATCCCCCGATCTCGGTTCTACCACTGCGGTGGCATCCACACAGCCTCTTCCCGCATCGGGGAATTTCCAGCCCTGGCCAGGCTCTGACACTCCGCCAACCGAGAAAGTAATCAGCCGATGCAAGGACACTATTACGCGACTGGGCGCTGACTTAACCAAATTGATTATCATGAGTACACTTCTTCGCCGAGCAATGTCCATCGCGCTTTACGTACCATCAAAAGCATCCAGCTCCTCTACAAACAGCGTGTCGGCCAACCAGGACCCAAAGACCACACAACAACGCCTGATCTCCCACACGGATGAGGACCACTTGCTATTTTCTCTTTTCAAACCTGCCTCCTTCGCTTTCCGGCGATTTCTGACCGGTTACGTAGAGACAGACTATGCTTATGACATCTGCCAAAGCCACATCCTTGAGTGATTCTCGCGGTGCCGACTCCCTTCTACAGCATGTTGCTTAGAAACCCACCCAAGGACGAATTCGGCCAGTGGAAAGCCGGCGTGATACGTTTGGTGCGTGGTCGAGAACGCGATGGGATGGGTATATAAGGACGCAGACGAAGCCTGGCGGTAAAGCGGTGCAGGAATACAACCAGCAAGCAGAGCCATCAAGCCACAAAGTTCAATATCTGTCCAGATCACTATATTGACGATACCGTATCGTACGAATCTCAAGGGAGTTTAACAGACCAGGCACTCTTTTGAGACATGACACCCTCGGAGCATTTCAAGAACGTCGTCGTCTTCGGAGTATGTCTCTCGCCTTGAAAGTCTCTCTGTCTCTTCTATGCTAATGACAGCTGGTGCACAGGCCGGGGGCACAAACATCGGCCACCACGTGGTCAAGGCGCTGGCATCCAAGCCGGACCTGTTCAACGTGTCCATCATCGCGCGGCGATCGTCCAAGTCGACCTTCCCGGCCGGTGTGACGGTGCACTACGTCGACGACGACCTGCCGCACGAGCAGCTCGTCGACGCCCTGCGCGGCCAGGACGCGGTCGTCTCGGCCATCGGCTTCGGCGCCATCGCCGTCGAGGAGAAGCTCGTCGACGCCGCGGTCGAGGCCCGGGTCAAGCGCTTCCTGCCCTCCGAGTACGGCGTCAACAACACCAACCCTGCCGCGCGGGCCCTGTGTCCGGTTTTTGACGCCAAGGGGGCCATCATCGAGTACCTGAAGCAGAAGGAGTCGAGTGGGTTGTCGTGGACGGCGGTGCCGACGGGCCTGTGGCTGGACTGGTAAGAGAGCTTCCTCTCCCTCTCTCGTGTGTATGTGCGTGAGTGAGTGTGTTTGCTAACGACAACCTCCCCTCATCACACAGGACACTCGACCCCTCCATCGCCTTCGCCGACATCCACCTCCAAACCCGCACCGCCCACCTGTGGCAAAACGGCACGCACAAGCTCTCCTGGTCCACCCTCCCCTGGGCGGCCGAGGGCATCGCGCAGATCCTGCTCGCCCCGCCCGCCCGGACCGCCAACAAGGTGATCCCCCTGCACGGCGCGTCGGCGTCGCAGAACGATATCCTCGCCGCGCTCGAGCGACTGCAGCTCTCCAAGGGCTCCAAATACGCAACCACGCACTTCGCCGACCCGGCGGAACTGATCCCCCAGACCCAGCGGGCGTGGCGCGAGAGCAACAACAACGACACGGCCGCGGCGCTGTTGTTGGTCAAGGCCGGCTTCTTCCTCGACGGGTACGGGAGCGACTTCGTCGGCGAGGGCATCACGCCCGTCGGCAACGAGTTTCTGGAGTTGCCGCCCTTGGACTTTGAGGGGGTGATCGCGGAGGCTGTCAGGCGGTGGGCGTGAATGTTTGAACTGAACTATGGAACTGGAACTATAACATGTTCAAAATGGCCGGCGCCTTTCATGGGTAGACTTCTTGGATAGATTCAAGGGTTGCGGTGCATGTGGCCTTGTCTGAGGATGGGGTAAATATAGTCGACGAGCAAACTCTGTGGGATTCACCCTTGTCTATGTTTTCTTCATGTAGTCCTCTCTTGCCAGATGGCGAATGGTGTGTTAAGAGACACCAAATATAGTGTGCCTCGACCACTCCTGCCAGACAGGGATACATGCAGCACGTCCGAGTCAAGATAATCTTTACACCCCAAGCCCCCAACAAGAACCAGCGCAGCGGCTACTCCTCTCCCTATGCATTTCCGGACGGACAAGACACTCACTATTGCCCCATCTCCCAACTTTGCCGTACCTCTCACCGGGTTCAGTGCGCGACCTTCTCTTCATGCAGCACGGTGCCGGCGCGCTTGACCTCGGCCTCGGCGGCGATCTCGTGCAGCCGGTTCTCCAGGTCGTGGCTGGCGTAGCTGTCGCGGCTGGCGCCGACGACGACCCACGGCGCGTGCTCGAACAGGTAGTTCATCTCTTCTAGCGGCCGGCGCGCCGTCTCCGGCAGCAGCAGCCAGAAGAAGATGGCGTTGGTGAAGTTGCAGATAATGAAGAGGTAGTAGAAGCGGTAGCCGATGTTGGTCATGGCGATGGGGGTGACTTGGCCCTGCGAAATGGAGACAATTGTTAGCTTTTGGTTGGGGAGGAGGGCGGAAGGGGATGTGGGAAATATGGGAAAGGGGAACGTACAATCATCGTGTTGAAGGCGAAGCTGGTCATGGTGGCGATGCTCACGCCTTTGCTTCGACTGTGGAGGCTTTGTTAGCATCATCAACCCGAATGAATGGCGGGATCGCACGAGCGTATCTCATGCGGCGGGCACTCACGTCCTCGTGTCAAACACCTCGGCCGGGATGATCCAGGACAGTGGCCCGCACGTCGCGCTGAAGGAGAAGTTGTACAGCCAGGTCATGATAATAAACCCCCACTGGGCACCCGTGTTGGTTGAAACGCCCGGAGGAAACTTTGCCAGCAGGATGGTGGCAACGATGAAGGTCACCATGTTCCCGAGGTTGCCGTAGATCAACGGCCAGCGACGACCAGTGTGGTCGATGAAGAGAATGCATAGGAACTGCGCGACCAGGGCGATGATGCTGTTGATGCCCTGGTACTTGAGCGTGTTGTCGCCCGAGATGCCTGCGCGCCATTGTTTAGTCTGAGATATTATCCTTGTGAGGACGGGAGACAATACCGATCTGCCCGTAAATTTCGACCGAGAAGTACTGGATCGCCGAGACGCCGGTCATCTGGATGCTGGCCTGCAAGGCGCAGCAGAGGAACAGCCGGCGGAAGGCGGATCGAGACCGGAAGAGTTCGAGATACGACTTCGCTTCGTATTGGTGCTCGTGGGCGATGGACGTCTGGACTTGCTCGTATTCGGCAATGACCCAGGGATCCTTCTCGTCGCCGTGGGCATGGAGTTGGGCCAAGACCTTCAACGCCTTGTCCGGCTGGTCGTGGTCCATGAGCCATCTGTAGGAGGTAGTGGTTAGCAAGAGGGAGGAGGATACTGCTGATAAAGGCCATACCTGGGAGACTCTGGGAACAGGAATATCAAGAAGCCAAGGAAGACGGCTGGGATAACCTGCAGACCAAGAGGAACCCGCCATTGGGCGCTGTCGTTTTTGATGTGGACAAACTGTAGAGTCCAGATTAGTCGTGCCACCGCGAATGAAGCATTACCAAAGATTGTTGAGGGAGTGAGGCGGACATACCGTCGCCCACGAGATCCACGAGGCCACAAGCGCACCCACACCGAGCATGAACTGCTGCAGGGCCGTGATGCGCCCTCGAATGCTGGGATGGGCCAGCTCGGCCTGGTAGAGAGGAACGATCATGACGAGGAAGCCCACCCCCAGCCCGGCAAGGAAGCGGCCTGACCAGAGGTAGCTGATGTTCTGTGCCCCCGTCTGCAGCCCGCCACCGAGGCAAAAGATCACGGCTCCCAGGACAATGGTCCATCGACGGCCGAGATAGTCACCACTGGGTCCCGCCAGAGCCGCGCCGAAGAACGCCCCGGTTGTGAACATGGAGACGACCAGGCCTGTTTGCGTATCATCTGCCGCAAACTTGGCCTTGAAGGTGCTGCTGGCCACGACCTCTGCGATGACACCCAGGTCGTAGCCGTACAGGTATGAGCCAAGCGAGGCGAAGACGCCGACGAGGAACTGATACCATTTTGGAGGGAGAGCCATGATGGGCGACTTTGTCGAGAGGCCACAGAGAAGTTGATTGGGATGAGAAAGTAGTGTCTGCACAGACCTGCGAGAATGGCCTTGACCTCGAAGACAGGAGAGAATTCAAATAGATCGACGGAGTGACCACGAGCAATATATGAATGTGGATCCCTCGCACAGGCTCAACCCCGTTACTCTTTGCAGGATGAAAATGGCCGGAGCAGGTCTTCAGCGCGTGATACTTCGCATGATCCCGCAGTTTTACCCAGTCGAGACAACGAGAATCCAATCCCCCGCCACCAACCCGCAGATGTGTGCGTTCTAGCGAGCCCAGCAGAACATGGGATTGCGGAGATGCGTGACAACATCCACACCGCACGGCTACCACGGTTGATCCTCGCCTTCGCTGGTGATTCTCTGCAATGCCGAAGTGTTTCGTTCAAGCTTTGTGCCGGGCTATCTCCTCCTGGTGCCCCTCTGGGTGCCCTGTTTGTGGGGGGAATGAAGCTCCGGTGGGAAGGAGGCGAATCTCCCAGAAAGGCAGTTCCCCGGTGGGATGCTGAGGTCGCTCTGCACGCGCCCGTCGATTGGCTCCGCGGATGTTTTCCTGGGTGAATGTCGTTGCTCTGCGCCGGTGACGGGTAAAATGGAACATTGCTCGCGTGGAAACCAAGACTGTCCGTCGTCAAGATATCCTCCTGCTGGATACGAGTGTTTCTCTCGCCCGCTGTTTCGCCATATGCAGCTCGACCGGCGGACTTCTGCCGGCCACTGTGGCTTTTTCTCATGCAGGCGTTGATGCCACTAGGATTGAAAGAGCCAACAAGGATCCTCTAGGCCGACCAAGTCCAATTCTAAGGCCTGGGACAGTGGGTTCGCAGTCACATGATACCTGACCTCATTCTTGCATTTATGGAGGACTGGGTGCCCGTGGTGTGTAGATGGTAGACACTTGAACAGTTGACATTTGGCTCAGAGGTGTACCTCCTGGGACACAACAGCTCTACTCCGTACAGACCCAGCAACACAGCAACCCGTGGCTCATATGGCAACCCCTTCAATAACGGTGTTCCCGGCTCGCAAGGTCTCCAGGATCAACCGGAACATCTATTCAGGCTTCACGGAGCATATGGGCCGCTGCATCTACGGCGGCATCTATGACCCAACAAACCCCAACCAGGACCTGGTCGACGCCGACGGGTTTCGAAAAGACGTGATTGACGCCCTGAAGCCGCTCGACATCCCCGTGTTTCGATACCCAGGAGGCAATTTCTGCGCCACGTACCACTGGCAGGACGGGGTAGGGCCGAGAGACCAGCGGCCCTCGCGACCGGAGCTGGCGTGGGACAATGTCGAGACGAACCACTTCGGCACCGACGAGTTCATGGCGTGGTGCAGGGCCGTGCACGCCGAGCCCTACCTGTGTCTGAACTTCGGCACCGGCACGCTCGATGAGGCCATGGCGTGGGTCGAGTACTGCAACGGCACCAAGGACACGTACTACGCGAACCTGCGTCGGAAGAACGGTCACGACGAGCCCTACAAGGTCCGGTACTGGGCGCTGGGCAACGAGATGTGGGGGTCCTGGCAGGTCAACCAGATGACGCAGGAGGCGTACGCGGAGCGAGCGCTGCAGTGGGCGAAGGCGCTGAAGCTGCTCGATCCCACCATCCAGCTGGTCCTCTGCGGCAAGGAGGGCGCCACCTCCTGGGACTACCACACGCTGAAGCACTGCCTGCAGCCGGCCGGGCGGAGCGACCTGGGCGAGGACCGCGTGCCGCTGATCGACATGCACAGCATCCACCTGTACACGGCGAGCGACGAGCACTACGAGAACGTGACGGCGCCGCTGGCCGCGGAGCGCAGCATCGAGGTCTGCGCGGGGCTGATCGACCTGGCCTTGGTCGAGAACGGCATCCCACCGGCCCAGAAGAGGCCGACCATCTGCTTCGACGAGTGGAACGTGTGGCTGCCCACGCGCGCCGTGGGCAGCCGCGGCGCCGAGGAGACGTACACCCTCTCCGACGCGCTGGCCGTGGCCGTGTGGCTGAACGTGCTGGTCCGCAAGTCCAGGGACGTGGGCATGGCGTGCATCGCGCAGAGCGTCAACGTCATCAGCCCCCTGATGACCACCGAGCACGGCCTCGTCCGGCAGACAACGTGGTGGCCGTACGAGCTGTTCTGCCGCTTCATGAAGGGCCACCAGGTCGCCGTGCACGTCGAGTGTGACGCCTACGCGGGCCCCACGAAGCCGGGCTGGGTCAGGGCGCTCAAACCGACTCCCTGGCTGGATGTCAGTGCGACGCTCGACGACGACGGCTGGGTCAACGTTTGCGTGGTCAACATTCACGCAGAGCACGATCTGAAGACGGCTCTCGGAGGCGTGGAGGCGTCTCAAGGCGAAGTCTACACCGTCACGGGGCCAAATCTCAAGGTCACAAACATGGCCGGCAAAGAGGAGGTCGGGTTGCAGAAGTCGGAATGGGATCCAAACAAGTCCTCGACCTTCGTCTTCCCCAAAAGCTCCATCACTATGTTGAGATGGAAAACCTTGTAGCGCGGAGGAAACGTCGCCAGCAGGTAATGTACAACCCCTTACGCCGAAACTATGTTTGGTCGTCGATATAGAATAGAAGGGACTATAGACGGTGGTTACAGATTAAACCCCGAGGAACTCGTACCCCAGTTGAAAAGTCTCTGTGCCTGTGCGTAGACTGAATACCTTGCCTCTACCCACGGTAGCGTCTCCAATTTCAACTGGCTTTCCTGAGCTCGGCCAATTTCATCAAAATGTCGTAGTATTCTCGACTGACGCCCCAGCAAGCCAGCCTTGTCCTCAACAGTTTTGCTCCTTCCAACACGACCTTCTGCGGTGCCTTGCAGATATCTCCCACATTCGTCATGTGCCCTGACATGGTGTGCCCGTTTCGCACAAAGTGTTGCACCATCTCATCGTCACAGGGACGGTCCAAGTGAATGAACTCGGGTTGCTCATCTGACGACGAAGTGTCTTCCTCAGTATCTGAGTCCGAGCTGGGCGCCGGAGGTGACCTCGAGCCAGCCGTCGTGCCTTCCAACACCACAGACACGGATTTGTTGTCCGAGGAACGTAGATCAACATGCGAGCCGGGAGATGCAGAATGCGGCGGGATCGAGGGGCCGGCAGCTTTCCCTGGCTGTCCGTTGGCCTTGCTGATGAATTTGATCGGACGTTCTTTCCTCTCCATGCGAGATGGCTGAATGGGGGCGCCCGCGTCCGGCCCACTTGGACCACCCTCGGGTTTCTGGCTGGCGGCAGCAGCGTCGCGCTCAAAAGCAGCCGATTTATAGGAACCATAGGTCCAGAGCACAAGGCTAGCCAGGTAGACAGCAATCGGCTCGAAGAAGCTCATGGCGGAATACCGACGAACGTACCAGAAGACGGAGCCAGCATGCACCATGGCAAGACGAGCCTTGTGTTGGTCTTCTCGCAGCCACCGCCACGTTATCTTGCGAATTTGAGGCAGCTTGACGCTGTTGCGTGGTTGGTAGCTGCCGTCATGCACGTAGAATGATGCCTTTGGAGAATGCCCCACCTTACCGATCAAGGAGAACAGTAAGTCTTGTATCTCCTGAAAGGGTGTAAGGAGGACGATACGCGCGAGGTGAAGATGGAGGATGACCCCATGTTCCAGGCCCGAAGCCTTCGCAACAATGCTCGAGGCTTGCCAATGAAGGACGTCAAGGCAATCGCAGGCACTGTTCCGCCAGTTGGCGTACAGCGGATACAGTGGGAGCCAGAAATTGTCCTTTGACGGCGTGTTCAAGAAGCCTCGAGCTTTGCCTGTTGGGACCCATTCACTCAGTGGCTGTTTGATGTGTGTGCCCACCTCCCACGTTCGTTGATAAAGAGCGTGCATCAGCAGGGTCTGCGATAATTCACTGTACTCCGGATCGACTTGTTTCTTGCTGTAGAGTGTCTCGAGAGCTCCGCAGAGGGACGGTGTCTCCGCCAGTTCTTGGATTCTGTCTGCCCAGACCTCGGGGCTTGACGCATTCCAAGCTGATTCGGAACAAGGGAGAGGAGTCCTCGCATCGTCCATGTTACAGAGTGGACGTGCATTCGCCATATATCCCAGGCAACAATCCAGCAACCAAGCCATATAACCCACGCGCCGCAATGACTCGATCCTGATCCATTTTGGCCAGAATTGCAGGAGATCTTCGACACCATCGCCATTGCCCTCGCCACCTAGTAAATCGCCCTTCGTAGATAGCTGCAATACGCCAGATTCTAGACACCACCGGGAGAGATCTGCATGATAGCGATGCGACAGGGCCCTCAACTGCTCGCGCTCCGACTGAACCAATCCGACGAGGTTCAAGATGCGAGCCTGGGCCAACGGGAGATCCAGGCCAGCATCTGGTTCCCCATCTGCGTAACTGTCAACAGCGCGGCGCAGGAATTCCTGGAAGGCTTCTCGAACTTCCGAACCGTACGAGGATTTTGCGAAGGAACTACCAATTGTCGCAACAGCAAGGACCACTATCCAGTCAGATTGGGGCCCAAAGGAAGCTTGGTGTAGCAGAGGAAAATTCTTGTGGAAGTTCTCGAAATAAAGGTCGATGCAGGTATTGACCACTTCGAAAGGTGGAAAGTCGAAGCCCCGAAACGGGGTTGGCGACGTCGTCTCCACGCACAGATTTCGGAAACGACTCGAAATCAATTCGTAGGTAGCCCCAGGACAGTATTCCGTCGTGCTATTCGTCAGCATCGAAGTCCAGGAGTCTTCGGCATCTGGAAACGCATATCCGGTACTCCGTTTCCGTGGTTGGGTAAAAATATCGAGTAGAAGGGAATTTTTCCTTTTCTTGCGCTTCAAGTCTGAACTGGTGGAGCTCCCGTGGACTGACTTGGGCATGTGTATGCCGTCACTCGTTGAGGATGCGGGACTTTGTTCGACAGCCACGAACGGGGCTCGAATCCCATGAGTTTCGGATGGTTCGTGCGTCACATCTTCACTGGCCGAATAGATATGTCCGGGTGGGTTGATCGAGAAGTCCACCGCGTAGTCGGCGTCCAGATTGCTGGGCAGAGTGGGGAGGATGAAAGAGAAGTCCTGCTCGAGCTCTGCGTCGTATGGGGACGGGTAAATGCTGGGAGGAATCCAGTTGAGAGGTTCATCAAACGTGCTATACTCGAAGGCCGCAGTAGGCTCAACAAATCCAGTACTGAACTGAGGGGCCAGGTAATCATTCCCAAAATGATCGTTCTGTAGCATCTGAGCTGTTCCTGGATTGATTGCACCAAGGCTCGAGCTCGGCTGTCCATCTTGACTTACCGAGTGGTCTGCCAGTTCGTAGTTTGATGATACAGACGCTTGTACATTGTGAGAGGAGCTCGGAAATGCTGGTGAGGTGGATAATGTGTCTACACTCATCCGTGGATTTGAGGAGAGCTGGTCTCGACCATCGGCTGCGAAGACCAACTCGTTGAAGTTTCCCAATATCTGCTGCTTAGTGGCCTCGTCGTCCTTGGTCTTCGCTGTATCGGTCGACAATGACGTCTTTCGACGTTTGTTGGGATAGATGCACTCGAGCTGGCGCAGGTTGCACCTGCCACATGGGAGTCCGCCTGAGCACCTAGATCGGGCTGTTGCACAGGCGTGGCAAGCTCTGAATGTTCCCGTAGTGACACGGTGAACAGGCCCCCGATCCTCGGTGGAATGATGATTTTTCTCGTGCCGAAGGAGGGTGTCAGAACGCGCGAAAGTCTTGCCGCACGACTTACATGCTGCAGATCGTTCCGTCGACTTTCCTCCTGGCTTCTCCCTCATATCTGCGACAAGCCTGCATGGGGTGCGACGATCGGGTATGTTGTCGTCCAGCAGAGAGGTGAGAAACTTGGAAAGATCGAGTTGAAGTCCAGACCTCGGCGGAGCTGCCCGAACTGGCAAAGGCTGGAGATTAGCAGCGTGAACCCGTTGCGGCCAGTGGCACTAGTATCGCTAGTGGCTCTCGTGGGTGCTGAAGAGCGACCGACCTTTGTCATTTTCAATTACGAAATGAAATGCGGGGGAAGGAGCGACCTGGGGAATGCGATGCACGTGATCCATGCTGCACGCCTATGATTACGAGATACCACTGCGTGTCATTCAAATATGCCCAAGTCGACCTCTAGTTAATGGCCAATTTCATGGATGCAAAAGGCCAGCGCCCAGGGAGATTTGCATGGCGAAAAGAACCACTGGGAGCTCCACAAGTGGCGCTGCCTTGTCGGCTCGGGCCCTGGCTGGGGGCTCTAATGGGGGCTCTAATGGGGGCCTAACGCTTCAAGCTCGTTTCAGCCAACCGAGAATGCCTATCGTCTCTCGCAGACCTGCAGGACGCGATGTTCCTGGCCCCATTTTGCCAGCCTGATCAAAAACATTAAAAAGTGGTGATGCCCCTTCGCCATGGACGTGTTCTTCCTGATTCCCCTGGGCCTAGAAGATGGCAGATCCAGTTCGAGGGCAGAAAGCTGTCTATGTCGTGGAATCGAGAGTCGACAATGGCCCCCTGTTGAACACAGGCTCTGACAACGGCAGTGCGCCGTCTCAAGATCCCAGGCACTCCAGAAGTGCGCGGCGGCTGTCTTCTTTAGGAGTTATTGGAGAAGGCTTGCTAGATTTGCTCATCGCCATCTGCTGCGCCTATTTCATTGTCTTCGCCGCTCTTGTCTATAGTAGGCGCAACCAGCCTCTCGATCGACCAGGAAATCGGGACTTGCTTGAAGCGGCTAAATATGTAAGTGTGACCTTCGCTGCTGTTCTGTTGTTTGCCATCCAGGTCCTCATCACGGCCCGCGGCTATTGCTAAAGAGGTCCAGACTCCCACCATCTTCCCCATCTTATTTTCTGCAGTCGTGGCCAAATTTCTCAGAGCCATTGCAGCGATCAAACTCGAGAATGGCACCTCTGTACTCGCACTCGAATATCTCCTGCAGAGCCGTACCGTCTTCAGCACATTCACAGCTCCAATTACGTTGAAGACCATTAACGCTCTGACCCCCTTTCTCTTCCTCCTCTGGGCACTCTCGCCTCTGGGAGGCCAAGCCGGGCTACGTGTTATATCTACCCAAGAATCCTTTTCGAACTCGACCCAGAACTTTACGTATCTCGCCTTTGTATCGGAATTCAGCAACGAAGGCGTCAATTCGGCCTCGGCGGAACCGCTCATCCCGATTAATGCTCTCTTCACCGCTGCTATCATCGGCTCGGCGAACACAAAGGCTCTGCCTCAAGACCAATTCAGCAACGTCAAAATACCCATCTACGAAAGTCTATCTCCCGAGGATGGCTCAGATTGGAGATCCGTGCCGGATTCTAGTGACGTCGAATGGAGTTCTCTCACCGGACTGCCCATTCAAAACCTCCCTTCAGTGGGAGTGTCGCGCTTTACAATGAACACTGGCTATATGGTCACAAGCTGCAACGTATCAGGCCACAATTGGTCTGACGGATACAGACAGAGTCTTGAGCAATTTCCAGGCTGGAGTGGTGCGAACTACGCCCTCACTCCAAACAGCTTCAACACATTTGCTGTAACTAACTTTACTTTCCGGTCCCTTGACTTATACAGCGACACTTCGTCCGAGGGGGAAGTTCTCACCGTTGCAAACTGCACCGTAGGCATGAGTTACGTGGAGGTGCAAATCAAATGCGACGGTCAAACCTGTCAAAGCGTTGCAGTCCGACCCTCCAAAAATCCTGCCTCCCACCAACCCAACCACAGCTACAGTTCCCTCAGTGTGACCGATTGGACACCGATCAATGGCCTCGGCCAAACCGATCTCTTTTACCTGGCATTTTTCCCAGACTTCACCAACGCCACCAACCCGACAGTGGGTTGCGATACATCGTTCTGTCCCCCCAGCGCCATAGAAGCATACTTGGCGGATCCGGCAAATACTCTGTTGCAGACCTCCACCACCAAGCTCTGGAAACTCGGGGACGACATAATCTCCAAGCGGTTCACGCAACTCATCAACACCTACTGGATTGACAGCATCGCACCCTCCGCGGTGTCGGGGAACTTCACCGTGCCGCAAGGCGACTCGCTGCTGACCTACAACACGGACAGTAACCTTGGCACAATCACAACCAGTCAGATTGTCGTCAAGTGCGATTACAGGTGGCTGGCGATTATGCTTGTGTGTTCACTTGCGCTGTTTGTCATCGGACTGGTCACAGTCGTGCTGACGGCGTGTCGCCGCGGGCCTGACCTGCTAGACAAATTCAGCTCGCTTCTAAGGGACAACCCATACGCCAATATTCCTCATAATTCATCGATGGAGAACGCTGCGGATCAATCGAGGCGGTTGGGAGATCTGATAGTTCGGCTCGGCGATGTTCGCCCCGAGGAGGATCTTGGATATGTTGCGATAGGAGTCCTTGATGGCAATCATACAGTGCAGAAGCTAAGTAGGAGGAGGATGTATGCTTAATCAGGAGGCGTACTCTGTAATTTAAACAGTACCTAGTTTCGAAGCTTATCCCGTCGAGGTCTTTTGGCCAGACTCGGTTCGAAGATCTAGTCCGAAGGGCTGGGCTATTTGGTATAAACGCCCCGTCTTGGTTCACCTGGTCTTGGCCCAGGGTGTTCTTGAAGCGAGATCACAAGAACTCAGTGCTGGCTGGGAAATACCCTTCCTGGTATTACTGGGAGCGGAAGCTTGGCCTGAAGTCAGGAGGATCTTCACTCAACGCAGTCGGTTCCTAGACACATGGCCTAGGACAGTATCTAGTGGAGGAGACAGAGAACCGCCCGAGCTGGCCCCCTCAATATTTCAATGCTTATCACGAAGGGATACACGTGAAGCGAACACCACACACTTTGAAACCCCTGACTGCCGTCTAGGAAGTTTATGCCAGGCTTGTCAAATATATACATGCGTTCCGTGCTTTTTCGAGTCTTTGACTGGTTATCCGGGGGGGTTTTTTTTGGAACGTCCCAGCAAACACCACAGCAGGGCCTTTTCGACATCTTTGGAAAAGTCCCTCACTGTCTGAAAGATTGTCTCTTGCCTCGAGGATGAGGGAGCTGCCCATTACGCGCTGCTATTGACCTCCCTGGCTCTGGCATGGTCCGACGCTCCCCTGATGACCGTCGAGAGGTCGCCTAGCGGAAGACGGATCGGAAAGTCCACAGACAGGAGGACCAAGGCCACAAAGATATACCACCCCATGAAAGCGATCGCCAGCAACAGCCCGGCACCCACGTGTTGAAAGGTTTCTGCTCTTGCGGCGAGCCCATTCGCAAGGTCGAAGAAGGAGGCCGAAAGACAAGCGACTGTGGAGTTAGTTAGTCGGCGGATTGATTCGAAGATGGATTGTGGGTGGGGAAAGGAGCACTCGTACAGCATGGAATCAAGGTTAGGAAAATGGTGAAAAAGACGACGTTCGTGCGTAAACTTGCGATGCAGAAGACTGTCACCAGAAGCGTCATGGCTACTAGGAAGAAGCCGAAGGTCGCGAAGAAGGCAGGCTCGCTGAGTCCTTCTGCTGGATTCGACAGGTCTTTGGAATAGGCGGCATATGCACCGTACGATGGGACCAGCGTACAGCCAAAGGTTATCCAGAACCCTCCAAAGGCGAGGAAGACAATGGCAGGGAAGGTGTTGCCTGCAGCGAGAAATGGTGAGCCTCGATTAGATCCTGGCATGGCGGGGAAAACGATCGACTTACCGAGAATCCATTCACCAACTCCCCCAAGGATTTCAATGACACCTCCCAAGTAGATATACGAAGCTCTGGTACAGGGTCAGCGGGCATGAAACCATCACGTCGTGTGTGGGCTATGGATTTATGGCGTACACGTTTGCCGCTCCGAAAGCACCAGCACCTCGCCAGCCCAGTAACACCATCGACAACGCCGTCGCGCAAAGAAGGAATCCTGCGAGCGCGATGGGGGTGGGGTTACCAAATGTCTGCCGGAGTTCGCCCTTGACCTTGTTCTGGGGCGCGAGGTAGAGCTGCTCAAAGAGCTCCGGCGTCATGACAACGCTTCCGGCAGTGTGAACGCGACGCAACCCTTCCTCCTTCTTGTCGGCGTAGACGTCAAGATGCTCAACACGAGCTTCTGTGGGATCTTCTGGAGCCGGCATGTTGATGTTTGTGTTTGTGTGAGTGGTCGGAGGATTTTTTTGGGCTCGAGGAGACAAATGGTCCAGAGAATTGTGTAGAATTGGCATTCCAGTCGCTGGTCTGGTCGAGAAATCAAAGTCTAGCTATATCTATACAAAACCCCTGAATCTGGTGCTTCCCCCACAACCCCCTCTGGATCTACACTTCTCCACACAGCATAAAATGACTTGGAGACAGTACTACGGGACAAGACGGGGATTGAGAGGGACGGTATTGGGGGCAGGAGTCGGGGGAGTTGCGGAGACCTGAGCACCTGGTTGCTGTCCAGGCCAGGATCTCGATTTCCATGTGGCACGCAGTCGTGGATGGGTGACCTGTGCGTACAATGTCGGCATAGGTACACGGAAATAGCTGCTACTTATTTGCGGCTGGATTCTGCCTGCCTGGTGGAAGACACATCCTTACTAGATTGCTGACTACAGCCATCCAAAACTGTGTGCCGTTCAAGCACAGATAAAGACACGTCCAGTACAAAGATCGGAACCCATGTCCAGAGGCCGCGTTGCGGCAGCCTGCGATCGATGCCGTATGAAAAGGAGTCGGTGCGATGGTGGGCAGCCTCAATGCGCTCGATGTCTTGCGGTTGGGCTGGAATGCAAGACGACTCCTCCACGCGGCAGGAAAATCTTCTCGAACGGATACACAGCGTCTCTTCAAGACCGCGTGATATTTCTCGAAGGAAAAGCACAAATGCTGAGAATGGCTCTGGAACAGAAAACCCAGCACCTTAACTCCCTATTGTCGCTTCACGGAATGCCAATACCCAATTCATCTGAGCCCGCGGTCGCTCGAGGCTCTTTGAAGGCGGAATCGCCACCCAACGGCCCTGTAAAGCCAACCCGGCAACTGCAACCAAAGGCTACGACGGGACAAGCTCCACTTCCTCATGGAGGCATCGATGCGGAGTTCGCATCTTTTTCGGTGGAATGTGTCGACATCAAACCATCTGCATCGTCGATTGAAGCGGGCATACCCCTTATGAATGTAGTCGACGGTCCGCAGACGTACGAGCTCTCCAGTTTGCCTCCCGCCGACTTTTTACCTTCGCACTCGATCTCTTCTTTCCTTCTGGACGCAACAACAGACTGCTATCCTTCTGGTTTGGCTTGACAACATCGGAAGACCCTCTGCCCGCGACAGAAATGATATAGCGATGAGGCTGAGAAACTCTGATGCTATCGTGTTCTCCTATGCAAGAAGATGATTGTTACTCCGCCTATACCGCCATCTGGATTGTTTATAAGCTACCCGTCTTAAACAGACGGCTATTTTCTCTCAAGTCCTACCGAAAAGTAGCTCGTCTTTAGAGTATTCAAATCCTTGCGACGGTTTGGGATTTTCTAGATGCTGGGTTTAGATCTCTGCACATGACACAAATGCACTCGATGGTGGAAGTGGTACATGATGTTATTGGTATATAATAAGGGCGGAGACTTCAAGATTACACCAATTGGATCTTCAGAACTGCCGATAGCTCGACACACACTTCGCCAGATTCGCGACTTTACCGCTATTGTTGAGCCTAGTAAGTCTTAGCGCCTTGGGCACCTGCCACACAGATACATAGGTACCTACCTAAAGATACCTGGTAGCTGTCAGACACTCTCTTCCAAGGTTCATACCTGGACACTCAATACCATACCGTCCTGTTAAACACAACTCTCCCCCTTACGCCCACCCTATCTTCCCTAACCTCCACAATGCCCCGCAGCTACTGAACCGGCAATCTGGAATCTGGGGTGCCCCCACTGCTGGGGGCAGGGGGATGGGGAAGGGGGAGGACAGCGATATTGCGGGGTACCTTTCAGTGTCAGTGCCTTCCAGGCTTCATGATAAAGAGAGGGATGGAGGCGGGATAAAGGAACGAAAGTAAAGAAGAGAACGAACTGGTCTTCAAGAAGTCCTTCCCACACGGTTGTCATAGTTCTGTCTACAGACTCGCAGCAAATATGCCCATTTTCACCAAACTTACCGAGACCGTCCAAGAAGTGGACGTGATCATCGCTGGTGGTAAGTCAATCATTCCACCCTTGCACTCCTGTGTCCTTTCTATGAGCATCGTGCGTCCTGACACCGAATGGCGAGACAGGTGGCACTGCAGGCTGCGTTGTCGCTGGGCGTCTGGCTGAGCTCGACCCTACTCTGTCCATCCTAGTGATTGAGCATGGCTCCGACAACTACAACAAGCGAAACGTTGTAATCCCAGCCTTGTTCCTGGAGCATCTCGCCCCAGCTGCCAAGACGGCAATCTTCTATAAAGGAAACAAGTCTGACGCACTCGCCGGCCGTGAACCAATTATTCCGTCTGGGGGGATTCTTGGTGGCGGCTCTTCGGTGAACTTCATGATGTCCGTGACGTTGTGGCCCATCCGTTCAACTAGCTAGGTGGCTAGGTGTATTCAGGGGGCTGATTCTATTGCAGGTACACCCGTGCCCAGCGCGACGATTTCGACTCCTGGAGGACCCCTGGCTGGGGCAGCGAGGATATGAAGCCATTCTTGAACAAGGTATGGGTAGAAGTACCCTGACCAGCCTGCCACTGCTAATGACAAATTCCGGGGACAGCTTGAAACATACCACGGAGCAGGAAAGGCCAAAGACCACGGGTCGAACGGTCCAGTCCACGTCTCTGATGGAGGGTACCGCGCGACTAGCGCCGAATCCGATTTTATTGCCGCTGCCGGAGAGGTTGGCTATCCTGAGATACAAGATCTACAGGATCTCGATTCCAACAACGGCTTTCAGCGGTGGCTGCGCTACGTGTCCCCCGATGGTAAGCGGCAAGATGCGGCGCATTGTTACCTGCACCCTCGTCTACAGGACGGCAAGCATCCCAATCTTCGCGTTCTCGTGCAAGCGAGGGTGAAGCGTGTGATTTTCGATGAAAACAAAAGAGCCGTGGGTGTCGAGTATGAGCCAAACTCGATCTTCCAAGCCGAGATCCACCTCACTCCTCATCCTACTCTCACGGTCAAAGCCAGGAAGCTGGTCGTCCTCTCATGTGGGAGCTGTGGCACTCCTTCCGTCCTCGAAAGGTCAGGCGTTGGCAACCCGAAGATCCTGGAACGCGCATCTGTGCCAGTCGTGGCTGAATTACCGGGAGTTGGCCACGACTACCAGGATCACCATCTGGTTTTCATCCCATATCGGACCGGCCTAGGACCGCGGGAGACGGGCGATGCTATCATCAGCGGGCGGTATAGTTTTGACAAGGCATTTGCCAATAAGGACCCCATTTTGGGCTGGAACACGGTCGATGTATCGTCCAAGCTTCGACCGAGCGACGCCGAAGTCGCTGCCCTTGGAACTGACTTCCAGGCAGCATGGAACCGAGACTTCAAGAACTCGCCCAATAAACCGTTGATGTTGATGGGGTTGGTATCGAGGTGAGTGTTCACTTGCCGAAGCCATCCGACCTATTAGTTAACTCCCTATAGCTATCTTGGAGATCAAAAGTCAGTCCCAGCCGGTCAGTACGTCTCCGTCGCTTGCTACACGGCGTACCCCTACTCGCGTGGTCACCTTCACATCACCGGTCCCAATGTGGACGATCCGCTGGATTTCGAGTCTGGCTTCTTCTCCGACCCCCATGACATCGACATCAAGAAACAGATGTGGGCGTACAAGAAACATCGCGAGATCATGCGGCGCACGAAGATGTACCGAGGTGAAGTGGCGAGCGGCCATCCGAAGTTCGCGCCCGACTCCCCAGCCGCATGCGTGATTCTCGACGAGGCGCCTAGCAGCAAGGGACCAGTCCGGGACATCCAATACTCTGCCGAAGACGACCGTGCGATCGAGCAGTTCCTCCGCGAAAACATCAACACCTGTTACCATTCGCTGGGTACCGCCAAGATGGCGCCGCGGAGCGAACTCGGAGTCGTTGACGAGCGCCTGAACGTCCACGGGGTTCAAGGGCTCAAGTGTGTGGACTTGAGCATTGTACCCGAGAATGTGGGCGCCAACACGAACAACACGGCGCTGGTCGTTGGCGAGAAGGGCGCACACATCATCGCTGCTGACCTGGGCTTGCTCCCGAACTAGAGAGGAAGCCTCGTTTCATGGAGCCACTTCAATGGGCCTCGGGGGGGACCGCTACATGACAGAGCAAGGAAAGAATGGAGTGACAATGAGCCTTCACTAGTGCACAGTCTCGTTGGCAAGGCTGCTGTCCTGTACATAGGTTTCCCAGCTTCATAGTCCACTTCTTTTTGTTCTTACCAGACCCAGCTCCGTGAGCGAAACCTTGTTCTCACTCTCTCATCCACCAGCATCCCTTGCACTTGTTCGGGTCAGGGCAACCCGGCAGCAAATCCGCAGAGGCCAGCTTGCACAGGTCAGCCGGGCTGCGTGAGCAGCTGTCTGCAACAACACAATAGCCACATGTAAGCACCGGCGATATCCCAGCGGGATAGAAATAGCAGCCCTCCAGGTGAAGGTAGACTTCGATGTCCTCAGAACCCTCAAAATTGATACCCTCGACCCTTCTCGCTTTCAGAGACCGTGATCTGCCCGTCGGATCCCACCATGATCTCTACATATCAACCCCAGAAATTTCCAAAGGACCCCCACACCTGGAAAAAATCTCAGATGTCGCCACCGAGAGAACTCTCTCGACAACGACACGGGCCGTTGCTCGTCTCCGAGACCCCACCGTAGCCTACGTAAGTCTAGAGAGTGTTATAGCTGAGACTGGGGGCTTTGGCTCGAACAAAAAGCCTCTTGGAGGCAGGTGCTCGTCGCGGTGGTCGGCGGTCAAGGCGAGTAGAGTGACATAGCTTGAATACTTGGGGGGTCAACTTGGCGGAATTATGTAACTCTATAGGCATGTAGGTACTTGTAGGTGGCTGTCACAGTGGTAGAAATGGAGCAGCACTCAATTATTAGCCAAGGTGCAGCGCCCCCGTGCGCATTTACTTTTTGCATGGATCACCCACATAAACTCCTATTCCATACTCCTCTCTCCGTACGGAGTATTCGTGAAGTATCGGGATCCTGTAAGGGCCCTGGTTCTTTCAGCAAGTTAGTAAGGACGTCGTGATGAGGGGGATTCAAAGTCCATGCTTGCGCGGTGTCGGAAGCGGAGACAGCGGGTGACGAAAAAGGGTAGATCCTCGACAGTATGTGGCGGCACAATGTGGCGGCACCTTGGGGGCGGTCCATTCAGATGGATCTGAACGAATGACCTGGTCCTGCGGCTCCCGTCCTGAGCTGAGGAGAGTCCCCGGGATCAGACGCACGGAGCTAGTGCTTTCAGGCGTAGAAATAGCGGTAGTCAGTTATGAGAACGAACAAGCAAGAGCTCGAGGAATATATCCGTCCAACTGGCATATATGTCGATAGTGCCGCTACGAGATTTCATGGGGGCGGGACTGTCTATACGAGGATCAATAAATAAATAGTAGCTCTTCACACCAAGAATCTTCGGCATCGGTAGAAAGAGTTCTGGATCAACTCTGCCCCCGCTTTCGAGTACCTGAACGCACCGCCTTTGATATCTCAGAAGTCCATGTTGGGACCCTGAACATCCCAGAAATTCGCGTGAATTCCCGGCAAAGGTGTCCGAGGTGTCTCCTTCGATCAAACATAACACCACTTGCGATAACATATTCCAAAGGAATAGGGCAACCAAAAGTCAAGCGTCTGGCCGGAAGGATTGTTTCCATACACTTACCAATTTCGACCAGGTCAGGTTAGAGTATCAAAAACCACTTATCGCTTGGGCAATCACCTTACAAGTCGCACATCCTCCGAAGCCCGGCCTTCTTCAGCCAAGGACACTTTTGCCCACAGCACCATACCAGGCCAAACCCAGCAAGCCTCCCAAGACAATCGCCGGAGCCGCGGGGATGTTGAACCAGGCTGACTCGGAATATGTTAACACGGCGACCACGACCCACCAGGGTTCCTTCGCCAGACTCTGACCCTGCGTCGCTTGAGGCGTCAAGTAGCCGATTTCCCACAAGCGATAAACCGCCGTGAAAACCAGCCCGACTGCCGTTGCGTTGACCCCTCGAAGGAGGCTGACTACCACTGGCTTTGTGCGAAGGACTCGCCAAATGCCCTGGACTCCCACGGCCAGCGCGATACCCGGCAGGAAGATGCCAATGTACCCCATCAAGGCGCCGAGGATCGTGGGCTGAGATGTGCCCAACAGCGCTAGCGCACCGAGATAGACGCCGAAGTTGAAATTCGGCCCAGGAAATGCCTGAATGATGGCCAGGCCGATGAGGAAGTCTCGCGACGAGACCCAGCCGGGCTGAACCACGTATTCTCGGAGCAAGGGGATCACGACGGGACCTCCGCCAAAGATGATTGTCCCCGCGAGATACATGTTTGCGAACAGGTCCAGAGGCCGTGGAGTGGATTTGAGAAGACCACGTGTGACAAGAACTGCGACAAATGATGCTAGAAACCACGTCAGAAAAGAAGGCCTCACATCGGAGGGAGCACAACGGTGGAAGGGGAGTGGCATACCAAAGAAGACGGCGATAATGATGAGTCCTGTGGGCACCGAGATTCCATGTGATCGCATATCCGTAGAAGGAGCTGGTGCATCATTGGCGACCGGTGCAGATGTCGAAGCCTCGCCGACTTTCGGTGATGCTGCATTCGCTGATTGAGCGACTGCCGCTGCAGATCTTCTTTGCACCGTGTTCGACCTCTCACTGGGCGCGGTGGTCATCTCTATGCTTTGGCCTCCGTCGTTGCCAGTTTCCTCCACTGCAGGTTCCTGTCGTGATCTCCGCTCCTTCAATCTCCTTCTCCATCGAGCAACTGCCTGTCTGAGACGAGTATCCCAGATCGCCGTCGCAATGCCTCCACCCAGTATGAGGACGGGAAAATACCACAAGGCATTATAGCAGAGGCCCGCGCATGCGCCGAAGATGACAAGAATTCTCGACAGTCTGTCCTTGATGGCTTTGTCTGCGAGCTGTTTGCGACCAGGTCAGCTGAATGGCGGTGAGGCGTCGCGAAGAAAAAGGGGATCTCACACCTGAACAGCAGCAAGAGCGACAATTCCGACGGTTGAGGAGTTCAGGCCTGATAGGAATGCGCAGGCAGCACCCGGGAGGACGGTATTGATGTGTTGGACTCCAAGCGACAGCCCATACATTGCGATCGCCCCAGGAAGGCTGCACAAAATGTCAATTTCCTCCATGCATTTGCCACTCTCCATATTCCCGTATCAGACCCACCTCCAAGTCAGGAAGACAAACACTGCTGGGATGAAGCCTGCATGGATGAGCGCCATGCAAAAGAGCATCTTGGTGCTCCCTGGCCCCGGAAGGGCCTGGCAGATGGCGAAAAGCTCTTGGTACTGCGACAGACATGGATGAGCAAGAGGAGACGCCCTGATGGAGGATGATAGATCACCGTTTGCTCATCGATCCACGGGACCACACCCCCACGACCTTCTACGAAGCGCCGATGCAAGATCTGGAAATGTACAGGAGGTCCTCCAAAGGCCGTAAATCCAAGATCGCAGGTCCGCCAGAAGACGTCGGCGAATCTCCAGAGGAGCTTCTGGTTGTTTGCCTGCAGGGCATTCTGGCGATCTCGAGTGTACTGGTGAAGTGCTTTGATGTTTTCGAGAAGCGGCATTTTGGTCTCGAGCGTCTTGCGATCCCCAACAGAAGCGATCTCAGCTCAATCGCAGTCTCGATGCCGGGAGAAAGGACAACCAGGGCTCAGATGCTTTCAAATTTCAAGCTTCTCCTCCTTCATCCAATGAGATGATGGCGGTGAGTCGCCAAGTTGCTTAAGCAAAGCCACCACCAAAATCGATGAATGACGCCATAAAAGGCTGCCGATTCCAATCAAATGACAATATTGAGGTGAGGGCTCTGGGTTTTGCGAAGTACGAGATGTCGCAAGTCCAAGAAAATAATCTGGGCTATTATTAAAAATGCAGTACCACTAATGTAATTCGATAAATAAATGTGTTACATCTCAAGTCGGATACGCAATCTCGGCCAACCTTGCAAGACTATGCGATTATCTTCAAGTGCATCATGCGCCTGCTTCATGCCCGTGACTTTAAGTCGTCCTCGAGCAGGGAAATGCGGGAATTCTCAATCTACTAATCCTATGTACCTATCATCTCCCCTAGATGGGCTCAATAGCTGGCAATGCCAGGGCTGGCTCTTTACCAACTTGCCAAAGCTTCGAGCCGACGGCAGCTGCAGTGGGGCTAGGGCTGATTGAGTCGCTCGGCGAGCTTGCGCAAGGAAAACTATGTACTGTCTACTACTAGCTAGGACTACTAGTACTACTATGTATGTAGTGTTCTCGGCTGGATTGATACTAGTGCTATTGGTACTATACATACAAGTATTAAGGTGTTTTCCTTTGAATGGAGAGGAACAAGCCATAATAAATCTAGTAATAGATCTTAGGATGGTTCTAAACAGGTTTGATGCTATACATACGGGCCGAGCATAGACTTCAAGTATAGTACTGAGTATTTTGAATTAGAGGCGCGATTTGAAACGTGAGTTTGCTCCTGGCATTGCAAAAGCACGTTCATTTGTCTGAGAACTACATGGTATTTAAGTTGCAATCACCGTGGACTTGACTCTGATCGGCATGAACTGAGTCAAGATTCCAATCGATTTGGAACGATTCTGGCCCCAGCTACATCCAGATTGGACTCGGTCTGGTGTCGGGTTGGAATCGACGCAGAGTCGAGCTAATACCCAGTGCTGGTTCTCAAGCTTTTTCCGTAGTATTGATAGTAACTCTTGAGAGTCCCTGCAGCTCCTATAGTCTTGTCTGTGTGCGCTTCGAGGTATCAAGGATGGCTAAAGAATGAGCTTCTTTGAGTAGCTGGTAGTATTTCGCAATATACAAGGGCGCACTTCGAAATCCTTATTGTACCAGCACCATTATCTTCGGCCAGCCAGTGTATCTTACAACCATACTCTTAGTCATTGGCAGCTGGGTAGGTCAAGGGCAGTAGGTATTCAATGTGCTTGTGTTGGCGCGGCAGAACTCCGTGTCTATATTTGCCATTGAGGTGTGGTAAACTACCCCTGCACTTGAAACGCAGCAGCGAAATGCCCGAATGCGGTTTAGCTGGCTCTTGTCGGGCGGTGAATCGGGATTCGCCTTATTAGTACTAGTGCCTTGATGTGACTACCTGCCTCTTCTCTCCTGGCCTAAAAGCACACCACTTACAAGTCGGTAGTGTCATCGAAGGTTTGGCGGACGGCAGTGCTATCTACAAGTAGGTAGTCCTGAGACCTTGTGCCGATAAAGGGTAAGTTCTAGCTCCTCTTACAGATTGCCTTTTTCAGTTGGTAATGACGCTGTAGGAGGTACCGGGACAGGCGCCGTCGACTTTACATTCTATCCAATCAACCTCGGCTTCCGTCCGCGGGCCTGGCCAAATCCCGCCAAAAGCCTTGCCATCTTTCCCCTCTTTTTGGTCTCTTTCACTTGAACTTCTCCTCTGCTTTCGATGGTGGTGATTGGCCACCATCAATTTCTATTCTCTCCGCAGGCGAGTACGTCCATCCTCCCCCGACTTCTCAGGGATCCACGTCGTTTTATTCGCCGACCTCACAACGTGCGTCGGCGCTAGATCATCGGGTGCCTGAGACATCGACAACTCTCCCGCTTCCCATTTGCTCATCCTCCTGGCTTGCAGCAGCGCAAGCTGAGCCCAAGAGTCCAAGCAACCCAAACACCTTCCTAGGAAGGGTTTCTAGGCCTTTTCTCCTCAACTTTCCCACTCCCAATGGGGCAGCTCCAGCAGCTCTGGGACGGGATGTGCCACCTATCAGCTGCCGAATGTTAGCAACAGCTATAAAACTTGGAACAAGCTCCTCCCCCAATGCGAACTTCTTCTCCTTGACCTCCTCCTTTGTCACACTGCACCATCCGTCGTACATTTGGGCGCTCGCTACTCCAGATCCGACGATCCTACACTCGCTCCTTGATTGCGAACAGCATCTCTCAAACATATACGAAACAGCTTGTTCAGGTGGACTCGATCGTTGGATCATCATCATTCTACCCGCTCCTACTAGCTTCGCAGACAGAACCTGAACCCTGGCCAAGATGCGCTTCCTCGCTCTCGCTGCTGTCGGGCTCTCATCCTTCCTCCATCTTGCAGCGTCGCAAGATCTCTCTACTCTCCCTACATGCGCGGTACGTATCATGCATGCCACACCAGTAGGAGTGAATATTCGCAGACATGACTGATGCCAGAGTAGGTGAGCTGTGCCCTCAACGCCATTTCCAGCACCGGCTGTGCAACCACCGATGCTGCCTGCATCTGCCAGGCGAGCAGTTTCCTGAGTGGAGTGTACTCGTGCATCTCTACTGCTTGCAATGCCACTGACATCGCTGGTAAGCTCAGTCCTCTTCGCACTGTCAGTGTGGAGTATGAAGCTGATTCCTCGCTCCCTCCAGCAACTCTACAATTTGCCGAAACTTTCTGCGGCCAGGCAGGCGTCAGCATTACCCTTCCCACGGCCTCTGCTACTGCCGGACCAACTTTCACTCTCAGCTCCACTAGTGCCCCAGCATCGGCTTCCGCGACCTTGACCAGCAGCTATGTGCCAGCGAGCGGCGCTCCAGCTGCAACCTATACCGGTGGCGCACAGATTTTGAAACAGCAGTGGGCAGGTGTTGCAGGTGTAGTTGGACTGGGTGTTGCCGCCATACTGTAAAGGGCGGGGGACAAGAGAATGACTATGCCTGGATAATTGAAAGGTGAGAGAGAACATGGCCCGAGGAAGATATCTGAATGGATACTGGTCGGTACCACTACCATATGAGTCGACAATGTTTACGAGGTTATGATGCGAAATGGAAAATGGGTAGTACTACCGCTACAATACCAAAACAGCCCTAGGACTGCTGGGAAATGAGTGGATGGTCTCTTTGGATATTCTGTTTCTGTACGTAGTAACCCGTAATCCTAATCATTTCTTATACGCTCCGAAGGGGTTTGGCTACTGCGTTGGTAGTAATGCCGTCACGGAACAGCCGTAGGGAGCTCCATGCGGTACGGGGCAACGGTCAACCGGCAATCCTCGCTCAGCGCGACATCTGATGATTCCGTATCATTTTTGAGTCGACGTTGCACAGCCTAGATTTAATGGGCAAAGGTCATGAATTTGGAATCCCCAGTCGAAACAACAACACACGCACTTGTTCTCCCTCGATCTGGTCTGGTTCGAAAAGGGACGGCATTGTAGTGCTAAGCCTCGTCAAGACCGGTATGTGGTCAGGATCTCCTAATACTATGTATTGTGTACAGCCTTACTTCCTCTAAGAAGACTGGAATCCGAACTGAAACATTCCCTCGACATGGGGTGGTGAGGTGGTTGTCTCAGACACCATACAGCTGATATGTGATATTTTGCCGGGGACGTGTCCCAGCCAATTCGCCATCCAATGAGCAATCGACTTTGGCCCTGATCGGAGTGTCCATCCTTGATAGGCAATCTAGATCTGTGACTTGCCTATCCCTTTCGCGTGGCCTTCTGGCCTGCCAAAAGAGCTTGCCGGCCTCCGCATGCATGGGCGTGCCTCGGTAATAAAATCCAGGTGTGATTCAATCAGATCTTACATTTCATTCAGACCGTTTGTGGATCCTGCCAGCATGTCAGGTGGGCAAGGATCTAGGGTATGTAGTAGTATAGTGACGCCCCGCCGCCGCAGCATGTCGAATTTGAGAGGGTTTCGGGTCTCAGACCTTTCTCGGATCATGTCCCCTTTCACACGTCATATATTTGATGAAGGCGTTTTCGAAGCCGGGAACTACCCAGGCTGCGCGCCCCGTCGTGTCCATGTATAGCACGAATAAAATCAGCAATGCGGTGCACCAGCCAAAGCTATTCTAAGTCTTTCAACGACATCATGTACTCCGCTATTAGATGCAAGATCACATAACCCGCACCTTCGCGGTAATAGAGCGATATGATTGACGGAGATTCTGTCCCCCTCGTTGGCCAGCAAAGCAAACTACGACCTCGATCCTGCTTGGTTGTATCTCAGGACTACTACCTTCCGCCTTTCGCAGTTGCACTGCTGCTGTCAAAGGCACTCGATTCGGCTTGAGCGTCCGAGTACATGCGTAGAACATTACATTACCACGAGACACCATAAAAAGCTATGGTCTCGAGAGAAGTACAACACAGGAAGGTTGCCTCGATTAGGTAGGTGTCTTGTCTCCGGCTTCTCGTTTGGATACATTGGCTACGTTATGAGAGAGACAGGTGTCCAAAACAACAAAAGGACTACGGCACACTGGGAAGGTAAATAAAAAGGGTGCTCCTGCTACCCTTTTCAAACTCTCGCGGCTTCATATTGGTAGTTAAAGTCCTGGTGGAGCATGATCAGACCGGCTTAAGGCACAAAACCTAGATGTGAAGCATCGGACAACAAGGAAATAATGCCAATGTCTGTAACATCTGCTTCTCTTTTTTGTGGAAGCTAATTGCATTCGTCCTGATATGGGTCAAGCGGATGTCTTCCTTTGTTCACTCACAGTCGCTAGCCCAGCACACAGAGACTACATGCTCGAATGACCGCCCGGGAGATTCGCATCGTCGAGATTTGACTTACTAATTTTCGCTGGACTGCGGGAAGCCTAGCATATGCTCTATTTTGATGGCGAAGGCGGATAGATTTCGTACCAATTCATTGGTAGTCTACCCGACCGCGGTCGGATGCGTTCGCAAATCCAGTAACAGACAATCAGACAATATAGTGCTCATCTCTCCTTCTTGGTCATCATCGGGTGTGTTGGAGATATCCAGACCAGCCGACTCCCCAGGTCCTGGTAGACGATGCCGACCTCGTAGCAAATACTACCGTTAACCATCAGCCCGGAGAGGTCAATTTGTGGTATACAACTGGAGCGAAATAATGCGGTGGAATCTTGAGTAGTCATCCTGACAAGGGTACGATAGCCTGGAACCGGTATAGCTCATGGACTAGACCATGGTTCGGTTGCCGAAAAGAGGCGTAGCTGCCAGGCTAGCTCCATCTGGTAGGTAACCAAATCTCAAAGCGGTCTCTTCAAAGAGTCGGTGCAAGCATTCAATGGCTGGTTCACGCCCGGCATCATCGAATTTCGTGTTCCCAACATCATTGCCATTGTTACTCAGCAGTGCGTTCTGATCCCATTTGCCGGGACACGGCCTTGGGTCATGGCGCAATCGAGTGCCGCTAACCAGCCTCTGGGGCTTCCGACATCTATTTAGACCATCGCTCGACGCTCGAGAAACAACTTTGGTACGGCCAAAAATCAATACCTATACCTCCAAATACCAATTTTAAGTCACCAGGCACGCCGAGGTACCCGCAGTGATCGTTGTATCGCACACGCACCTTAAAGGATGGCTTTAACTGCTCAAGCTCTCATCGACCGCCATACGTCCGAAATCCATTTCGCCTTGTCGAAAACATGGCTAACCTCGGCAGGGCAAGTGTCAAGGACCACCAACCAATCCCTACCTTTGAGGAGATCATAAAGTCAGGCAACGACCTCCCTCAGATCGTGATCAGTGAGAACCACCGCTCCGAGAATGCTGTGCTTGAAATGCTGATTCCGTTTACAGTCACTTGCGCCGACCCACGGTGCATTCCTGAGAACATCTTCAAGCTGAAAACCTTGGGTGAGCTGAATGGATGTGGGACTGGTAGAGACATGCTTGCTGACGGTACGTGTGTAGAGGCGGTGGTCTTGAGAGTCGCTGGAGGGAATGCGCAATATGTCTTGAACCACCTCCTTTCCATCGACTCGCTCGTACATTTCAAGGAAGCCATCATCGTTCAACATACAGGTAGGTGATTTGCACCTCAAGTGGCCCCGGGGGAATCTCCTTCACGGACCGATGCCCCGGCTGATGCTCGTCTGTGTAGATTGCGGAGCAACCCATTTTAGAGATGCGGTGGTGAAGGAAGAATTGGCCCAGCGTGCACCAGACGCTAAGGCTGAAATTGACAATATGACATTTGGTGAAATCACGGGGTAAGCACGAGACCCTTCCTTAGCGGTACCACATCACTGATACAGCCTTGACAGGTCCCTCAGTGACAATGTGAAGAAGAGCATCGCTTTCTTGAAGGACTCGCCACTTGTTCCAGAGTCATTGAAATCCAACATTCGGGGATTTGTGTTTGACATTAAGACTGGAGAATTGGAGGAAGTCAACTAGAAGGTCTGGTAAAGCAGTCTGCGCGATGTCGAAAGCAGATATAGGAGGCACGAGCGATCTGTAAGTAGCCAAATTTGAGTGTCTCATGGCTCTTTCATCGATTCCAGACGCATATTCGTATCGTTTAGGTCGGTTTGACGTGGGTAGAGGTACATATTGGCACGTTCACCCCATTCAAGATTCACAATACCATCATCTTCTCATATCTCTCCTTCCCGTGATCTCTTCGGACGGAATTTCCAACAGCGTGCTCCGTCAGCATTTCCGACTCTTACTTGCTTCCCCCTACATATCTGGTAACCTTGGTACCCTCAATAAACCAAGGCCTTGTAGCATGTTCTAATAGCATGATCACGCAATAGTATTTTTGCTTGCAAACAGGTGGGCATGAGAGATAGAAGAAGCTGCATCCGCGGCTATTGCCATGAAGCACCGTGGACTCGGTGGGGTCAATGGGTACCAGAATGCAACGAGGTGCCCATGTTGACAATACAGATGCAAAAGATCGGGTCCATCAATTGATTTGCCTGTCTACGCTGTGGTAGCGGCTATCCCACTGCGAGTGTGCAAAGTTGACAGTCTCTGAGTTCTGATATTGATGGACCACACCCTGACCATTCACGCCTGGCAGTGCTATACTATCCACAGCATGCTGTATGCGCTGCGCAAAGAGTTGCTTGCCAAAGGTCATCCTAACAGAAGTCGATACGCCAACACAGTCGATATCCAACTCGAGATGCCCGTACTTGGCCAGTTCCGCATCTAGCTCTGTGCACCAGGCATCCGCCTGGCTTCGACCTTCCTCACCTCGCCTCAACGCCGCTTTGCCTTTGACGACTCAGTTCTTGGTCGAGCTTCACTCGCAGCAGCCGAGGACTCCAGTCTTACACAAAGCACCGTCTTCCCGCACCGTCAATTGACGATGACGACTTTGTCCAGCCAGGGCGCGATATGGCAGCTTGGAGACTGCTCATATTCGCAACGGTGAGAAGTACATGGTATGGACGGGTCAACCATTTGAGATATCGGACTCTCTCGATCTGCTGCAGAGAGTTGTTGAAGGGGAGGCGGCTATCATCGTCAAGTCTGACGGGCACATCGGCGGCATTGAACTACATAGTATTCGATTCTAGAGAGAGAGGCACGGCCGCTTACCAGTGGACATGCGTACTATGCAGGAATTCTGGACCTATGAATTCCTCCTGGTCATCGAGAACACATCTGTGGGAAAATCCAGAGGAAAGAAAAAGAAACGGTAATAATATTTTAAAAGATGATCGCTCCTACAATTCAGTCCAGGGCGCGCTTCGGCGGTCTCCGCACCCACAAAATCTTTGACTTTGGCGCGATTGGATCCGTTTTCAAGCTCTTTGACTCTTATCGAGGCGACAACTTTGAATACGACTTCTGCTTCGCACGCACCCGGAGCATGAAAGCGATACCAGCAGCGCAAACTGTGACTTGGGAACCGGAAAAATACTAGTATATATGTAACTTCCCAGTTTGAGTGCCTCCTCCATCGTACAGATCCGACAGTCTCATCTCCCTCTCAATAACCCCAACACACTCTCGAATACTACCACTAGAACTATATTCCATTGTACTATTAGCGCTTGAAGCCAAGACCCCCCCCAAAATGCCACGACCCCAAGACCTGGCGACGGCGCTCCTCTCGACAACCGAGAAATCCATCATCCCGCTGACGGCGAAGCAAGTGTCGCAGGGGTCGAAGCTGTTCGGGGCGGCGGTGCTGGACCGCGCGACGCTGGGGACCGTCATCGCCTCGACCAACAACGAGCGCGAGTCGCCGCTGCTGCACGGCGAGATCAACTGCATCCAGCAGTTCTTCCAGCTGCCGCGCGAGCAGCGGCCCGAGACCAAGGACTGCGTCTTCTTCGCGACGCACGAGCCCTGCTCGCTGTGCCTGAGCGGCATCACCTGGTCCGGGTTCAACGAGTTTTATTACATGTTCACGTACGAGGACAGTCGGGACCTCTTTGCCATTCCCTGTAAGTTCCAATGCCACCGCTGATGGTATTCCCCAACTCCCATGCAGGAAGGACTATGTACGATTTGGCGCCGATCAGAACTTCTCTACCGAGAAATACTGGGTGTGTGTATTGTTAGTAGCTGACTACTTGAACTCCATCAGACGACATCGACATCCTGAAGTCCGTCTACCAGGTCCCCTCGCCAGGCGACACGGAGGAGACTCTGGCGGCCAAGCCACTGTACAACCGCAAAAACAAGTTCTTCACCGCGCGATCGCTGGCAGAGCTAATCGACTCCGTCGAGGACGAAGGGGCGAGGACGAAGCTGAAGGGCGAGCTGGAACGGGTCAAGAAAATGTACGACCAGCTCAGCGCGACGTATCAGGAGGGGAAGAAGAGCGGAGCGACGACGAGCAGCTTCTTCCAATAATGAATGGCAAACTTCAACCTGGTGGCGATTTGGAAATATAGTACTAGCAGCGAAGAACTTGAAGCTTTGAAAGGCGAGGCTTGATGGGATATTTCATTTCCTGGACACGAGACAGGCCAATTTGAATCGAATCTATTGATTGCCCTCCTCCAACTACATCCCAACCATGCTAGGAACTTCTGCTAGTATCGTATATACATACCCCAGATCCGGGAGGCGTTCCCTTTCCCCCGGCCACGCCCTCCGCTGATAGACTCCAGACTCAATCTCTGCAAGGGCCCAGGCGAGTTCGTGTCCCCAGCATCGTCTCGCATTAGGTGTCCTGCCTCCTTCCCAGCACCAGCGACCCCAAGCCAGGCCGGAGGCGGTAGGGACCGTCAATTCGTCGCACTACTATCAGCGCGAGGATACGCGACACATTCAATGTTGTGGCCCCCGGGAGTGAGGAGGAAGGCTGCGTAGTAATTTGGGTGGTATTCGGGCCGCAGGCCTGGTGCGCCGTTGTCCGTCCCGCCAGCCTTGAGCCCCGCGGCATGGAATGCATCGACCTGTGCTTGATCTAGACACCCGCGGTCAGTTCTCGTCAGCCGATTCGATCGGTGAGAACGAAAAACAGCACCACCACCACCCGTACAGCAGTTCATACCTTTAGCTTGTAGGGCAACATGGTTTCTCAAGATCTTGGTGTCATCAGGAATGGGCTGACGGTCCTCGACGCCGACAATCCACAACCAGGGTGCCGACTCGCCCAAGCCGACAACACCTGGGACGGGGCGCAGGAACTCCTTCAAGCCCATGTGTCCGAAGGCGGCGAGGAGGAAGGCGACCTCATCGTCGACTTTGCTGAAATGCACCGAGTAGGACATGTGGTGGATCGACATTTTGATGAGATGCACACTGATGGTGGGAAAAGGGAGGGGGAAGAGGTGCCAGCAGTGTTACGATGGACAAGATGGCGAGATGGCGGGGGGAGTGGATCAGTGATCACAGTCAGTCAGTTCAGGTCGTCAAGTTCCTTCAATGCGATGGCTTTTAATGTGAAGCTGTTGTCTTGAGACCGGAGAGCAGGAGGAAAGGAAACATCCACTCATATACCACGTTCCCAAGTGCCATCCACGATTACTCCTCATATGAACCCCGGACCCTCCGTCCGTGTAACTTCCATTACTCACAAAAACGAGCCCTCACCTCACGTGTGGGCGCGTCAATTTCGTGCTCGGTCGCGCTCTCCCCATCTCGGGTCTAGCCAGGTCGCTTGGCCTGGGGCGCCACGCACGCCGCGCCAGGCACCAGCTGACAAACCGGCTTGGCGATTGGGCAATCCCACCTTGCTGCCTGGAGGTGCCTGATTGCTGCTGCACGATGACTTTGGACAGGACGAGGGCCCTCGACCGGGCGGAACAGAGTAAGCCAAATCGCGGGGAGAGCCCACAAATCACTCGTACGTAAGGTAAGAACACTACCGTCTACAATGGTCCTACTATTCCGCACGTGGTAGTCAGAGGGAGGACCCCTTCCAAGCCGATCGACCCATCCTCAAGGACGCAAAGTGGTGGAGGCCAGACCTGCCATATTGTACTACTAGTGTAAAGCAGAAGGTGAGAGAGATAATGAAGTTAACCGCGCCGTCTGGTCTCTGTGGCAATCCTGCCCTGTGAATAATGGTAGAGAGGACTGACAGCAAGAAATAAATAGGACGGATTGGGAGGTGCGAGTCGACCTGGGCTGTTGCTTCCCGATTCGGCGAATTTGGTGTCGCGTTTCCGAGCACGCCGCAATTTCCCCCTATGACTCAAGCGCAACCACCTCCGGAAGGAGTCCCCGACTTCCTCATTCTCAGTGTTTTTACAGTGGCCGACTGTGAACACTCTTAGAGAACTAAGTGGACAGGTCGACCACTTTGCTACACAAATCATTTGCCTTCACCGAGTCCCTCACCAACCTGAAGATCCCCTACGCGACTGAGAGGATAGTATTCCTATTAGCTACAGTAGTTGGCATACAGCTGGCGCTCCTCATTCCCAGGGGGTGCCGAAGCTAGTCCAACGGATGTCTACTGTAGACTGGCTCCGAAATCGATTTGGACACAGACCTAGCCTGACACGAGTCAGATGCAGTCACGGTTCCAATTTGTCTCGCCTATGTAACATATGTTGGGTTACAAAATAGCGAAAAGCATACGGGGACTACTATAACTAAACTAGTAAGCACATAGTACTATGTATAGGTTTGGGAGAGAGTAACATACACCATTTAAGGATAGGGTTCATAGCGTAGCGAAGTGCGGGCGACTTTGAAACCTCACCTCATTTCAGCACCCGTGATTGTAATAGTGTGCGGATGAGCAGCTAAACAAAGCTGCAAAACTCTCACGGATACTAAGCAGTACTCATCACACTATGTATTGGGCCGACCGTTGGAGTTGTAAGTGACATAGTAGTAGTAGTAGTAGTAGTAGTAGTAGTAGTAGTAGTAGTAGTAGTAGTAGTAGTAGTAGTAGTAGTAGTAGTAGTAGTAGTAGTAGTAGTAGTGGCGGTGGTATTGACCCAACCCTCCTCCTCTTATAAGTAGTTCTCGGCGTGGAATTCGACGGCGAGCGTTGCGTTGACCTCGACAAGCTGCGGCTCGAACTCGATGCCCACGCCAACCTCAAAAGTCGCAGAGCTCGTGACCTTCCGCTTGGTCTGCATGACCCGGCCCATCGGCCAACTGTCCTGCACGTCCTCGATCTTGACGCAAGTGACCTTGTCCCTGCCGATCTTGGTCCCGTACGCCTGGGCCCGGGAGATGGCGTGCTGCAGCGCCTTCAACCGGGCCTGCTCGTCCAGCTCGGCCTTCCTCCCATCCTCCAGCTGCCAATCGATGCCCCGCAGCTCGACGTGCGGCATGCTCGACAGGCGGACGACCATCTGGCCCAGACAGGCAAAGTCGCGGAAGTGGATGGCGATGTTGGAGTTGGCGCTGTAGCGCTTCTTCTCCAGCCGGACGCCTTTGCCGTTGTATTCGTCCGCCGCGGAGATGGAGAGCGAGGCGATCGAGTAGAAGCTCACGGGCGCCGCGGGGGATATGTCGCCGTTCTCCAGGCGCGGACACAGCTGGTCCAGGTCGCCTTGGATCTCGTTCACGGTCGACACCACGTGGCCGGAGACTTGGTCCTTGTCCGAGCCTGTGTCGGAGGCGGCTAGATTCAGCACCGCTCGCTGTGCGGTCGTGGTGATGGTGGCGTGGCCTTGTATATGGATCAACGTCGGAGGGGATGCCATGATGTCAACAGATCTCAGAGGCCCCGCAGATTTGAAATGAAGATATTGTGGGAGGGGGAGGGGGGGTCAAAATGTAATGAAGAACTAGGTAGACAGGAGCGCAATCAGATCTGTCTGGGGAGCGCTGAGCATTTTTATACACACAGCTGGGTCTGTTGCCTGATATCGCAAGGTCAGAGCTGAGACAGCTTTGTCCGGTCCAATCCCGTGGTACCTGGCCACTTGACTAACGATCTTCGGTATAGCTCGATATGTCCCGCTTATAGCGAGGGTCGAGAGCCCGCCATATACTCGCGGGCGATGTTCCTTTTCGACCCCAGCCTGTCTTTCGTGATCCAATACGGCGCCGGCAACCCCGTCTGACTCAAATGCTTCGCATCTCCCCGAACTAGCGACGCAACTGCGACAGAACAACCGAGGATTCGGGGCATGCCATGACCGGTGAAGCCGGCGCTCACAAAGATGCCAGGTTTTCCAGGTACCTCCCCAACCCAGGGCATGAGATCTGAAGAGTAGCCCATGATGCCTGTCCAGATGTCCGTGATCCTCGCCTGCGAGTCTTCCCAGCCGTGAAACATTCGCTGCATGTAGCCAGTGAAGTATTTCTCAGCACCGGGGATCAATTGTGAATCATCAGTGTTGTTACGCCAGTAGGAGTCGTTCAGGAGGACGACTTGTTTTGCGCCACCAACGACGATACTGCCGTCTGTCTTACTGATCAGATAGTCGTACTCCTGGGGCCCGTACCTGATGCTATACGTGTTGTTCAGGTGAGGGGCCGTCTTTCCCAGCTCCGGCACGGCGATTCTGCATGCGACTCCTCTAGCTGGGGTGATTTTGTCGCCAAATTCGGGCAACAATGCCGACAGATATGCATTCGTAGCCACGATGACTTTTCGCGCTCTGATTTCTCCTCGGGGAGTTCTCAGAATCCATCGTCCATCGCTGGCAGGTGCGTCCGAGATCGCTGTGACGGGAGTATTTGCTTGAATGTTCGCTCCCCACTCCAGGCAGCGGCGGAGAAGATGGGAGACCAGTTTGTAAGGCCAAATCGATCCCGCGGTGAATGTAAAGGCGGCGAGCGCCCCTTTGACCCCCGAAACCTGCTCGGCCTTCTTGGGGTCTCCAATGAAGTGGAGGTCATCTGGGAAACGATATCCTCTGGCTTTCATGTCCGCATACGCCGCGATCGTGGGTTCGGCAACTCGACGGTCAACAAACACATCGATGGCTCGTGTGAGTTCGAAATCACAATCGATCTGCTCCTTCTCAACCAATCTCTTGACGTCCGTGACTTGCTGCGTCTCAAACCTCGTCAACTCCTCCGCGACTTGCGGCCCATACATCCTTTCGTAGAGCGCTGCATTGAAATAGACATCGGGCTTGAGATGCCCGCCATTGCGCCCCGTGGCTCCCGAGCACACGTCTCGGGCTTCGAGTATCACGACTGAAGGTCTCTTGCCATCGTCCTTCTCGAGGATGTGGTAGGCACAGGCAGCGCCGACATACCCTGAACCAATCACCACGACATCGGCCTCTTGAGGGAGGTACTCGGTTGTGCGATGTTTCGACAGATTGGATGCGTACGAGAGCCAATACGGCGGCATCGGGTTGGCCTGGGGCAGCGGCATGTTGCTATTACTTCCAAACAAGACTTGTAAGCGAGAACAATATCCACGAACGAGTTCAAGCTTTGTTGTTGGCAACATCAAGATGTTTCTTGGCCTTCGGATGTTGAAGCAAACCACGACGAACAGCGGAAATGTCCGCACCGAGGGCGGGTAATGGGGCGATAAGGTCGAGGTCGAGGCATGGCGACATCGACGCCCTTTTGTGCCACCACGAACGTGTATTCAAGAGATGGATTACGATCCAGCAATGTGGGCAATGTCGAGGACGAGATGGACGATGTGACCAGATGGTTGCAGGAATCACCGGTGCTGAGGAGTGTCACGTGGCGGTTCTATCAGGCTGTGATCTTTGATAGTAGATTGAATTTACTGTCTCATAAATAGACATGTGAGACAAGGAACATCAAGCCCAGCGTAGGGAGATGGTCAATGGGCTGCATATATACATATCTGACTTGACCATTCCTCGCCGCCAAGCGGAAGCAAGAGACTCAACGTTCAAGAAATCTGCCAGATCGCCGCCAGCCTTGTCCGGTGTGCGTCTTCCCCAGTTTGACCCTCGATGAACTTTTCCTCCAGGACAGAAGACGGTTGCAAAGCTACATCCGCTGGTCATGAATGCTGGCTACTCGTGTCTCCCTTGTCCTTTTTCCGATTCATCAGACTCGAACTCCGCCCGCGACTCTCCTGTCCCAACGTCATGGCTCTGAATCTATTGGTGCCACCGGCCGGACTCTCGATTGACGTGCCGCTTCCCTCGAGTTTCCCTATTCGGGCCGTCAGGGTGGTATTCTCTCTCTGCAGTTCCCCGATCTGGCGGGTGAGCATTTCTTGCTCCTTTTTCAGGAGCTCCAGCTCGGCTCTTGCCTCGTCCCGTTCTCTGGCTAGACGTGACTTTTCGTCCTTGTCAACTTGTTTGCGTTTCTTCTCCTCCAGTTTCTTCGCCTCTTTCTTTCTCTTCTGCTCCAGTTTGGCAACTTCTTTGTGATACCTTTCTTCATGTTTCTTGAGTTCCCGCTGGTGTTTCTCCTCCGCCTTCCTCAGTGCGTGCTGCTCCTTTTCCGTGTCTTTACTCGCTTGGCTTGTGAGCTTTTCACGCTGCTTTGCAAATTTGGCATCCACGGCTGCCTTGCGTTCCGAGAGTCTCGCCATTTCTTTGTCATGCTGCTGGAGGAGTAGACTGTCGGTCTGCTCCGAGAGGGACTTGGAAGAAACTGAGGGGGATTCTTCGGACGTCAGGTGCGAGTCGGCAGACGCAAATGAAGTGGTTGAAATCGTGGAGGCGTCATCGTCGTCGCCATCCGGATTATCCCCTTGCTGTATTTCTTCCTTGGTTATATCCTGCTGGCCATCGACTTCGGGGTTCCCAATTTGAGGTAGATGTTCGCGGACTGTCTGTGGAGCGTACGAGTTGATGGCGGCCGTCACCGTATTCAACAAACTGGAAGATGAGGCGGGCGTATCCGGCGGAGATTCAATTGAGCCACTCTCATCTAACACTGGTGCATGAGCAGCCGACGCTTTCGGTGTACTGGGTGGTGATTGCCCAATGGCTTGAAGGCTCTCCTCGTGTTCCTTAATCCCAGCAAGGGTCCCGTTTGCTTCCCAGCTGGCAAAGCTTTCACGCCGCCGGCCATTAGGTCGTTGTTCGGTCCTGTCAGCGTCATCTTCGTCGTCCTCTCTTTGACAAGCCCAGTCCAGGAACTTCAGGGCGTCTGCACAAATGCTTGCAGGAGTGCCCCTCTCGACCATGAATCGAGGAACACTGCCCCCTGGATCGCTTCGAGTAACCATGATCCATTCAACGGGGTTCTCTTCGGGGTCAAAGGGTTCAGCGGGATCAGGAGTTCTGATAGGACTCCCAGGGGCATCGACCGTAACGCTCCTCTTTCTGCTGCCTGGAGAGGGTTCCCTGAGTCCCGAGCCGTGGGTATCGACTCTCAAATGTCTATGGTCGTCCTGGTGGTGCGGGTCAGCGTCCGTTGCGTGCTTCTCTGCATTGTGTCTTAGGACGTCTTTCTCAAGCGACGGTGAGGGTGCTCGATGGTGGCTCAAGTGACCCAAATCCGTCGATGACATAGTGGATTTGAGCTTTCTGGGAACCTCGCGAATGAACTCTACCGATTCATACTGGCCACGAATGAAGCCATTCTGAGGCTGCGTTTCGGGGTGGTCACATGGTTTAGAAACGATCATGTAATGCCGCGGGACCAGATCAGGTGCTTTATGGGAGTCCGCATGGTGCTTAATTGCCTTGGACGATGTAACCAGAAGAGTGACGAAATCACGGGGAGTGGTAGGTCCTGGGAACTGAGCACTGAGGCGATATACTTCGATCTTTCCACGATTTGGCACCGTGATTTCCTCAACCTTCGTCTCTGCGCCTATACCTCTGACATTCCCTTCACCAGGTTTTCCTTGGACAGCGAGCGAAGTGGGAAACTCCCGCTCGAACCCGCGCTTAAAGCGATTGAAGCCAAGCCCTTCATGCACGCTCCTTCGAGCGAACCACGAGCCCTTTCCGTCCTTGCTCGCCAATTTGTAGACAGCTATACCCAGCGGGTTCTCTTTCGCCGCAAGCTTTATAGGCTTCCCCCACTCATGTTGCAGGGCTGCATATTCCGGGGCCGGAGGGGAGCTCCGGGCGGACGAGGTGAATATTTCGGAGGCACTGCTGGCGGTGATTGAGCCCGTGGTGTGTGAACGATGTCGGTGAGTAGGATCAGGATCGGGGATGGGTATGGACTCGACTATCGTCTGGACTTGAGAGAAGAGGTCGGATAAGAAGGGATCTAGCTCATCATGCTTCTGCGGGATGTCCGAGAATCTGCAGGGAGCAAGAGCCTTGAGGGAATCGTGGAGGTTCACCATCATGGAGAGGATCTCCCGAGGCGTTTATATGATCAGATAGCTCTGCCTGCTGGTGAGTGAAGAGCTGTACAGACGAGGTGGTGGCTATGCGGTGGACATTGCGGCAGATGAGGGGCAACTTCAATATGCCGTCACTGCGATTTGAGAGCCGCGGGACAGTAGAGCCAGTCCTTACCGGAGAGGACGGCGAGCTTGGGGACCCGACATCTGATTCGATCTTTGTGAAGTCAATGCGCATAGGCACAAGCTGGGAACAGCAGTTTGGAGTAAATGGGGACACCGCTGATATGAGAAGATGTTGATGATGACTGAGCAACGTGCGGTTGGTTTCCCCCGGTTCATGGTAGTGCCGCGCGCCATTGAGGGTAAAGGTCACGATGACGGGGGCGCACTTCTGAGAAAGGATTACCTGGCAGGTGTTAGTGGGAGACAGACGATCGGTCTTCGATTGGACTGGCGTGGCTGGGCCCGGGAGATGAAGGTCTCTGGGCCTTGGTGCCCCGTTGGTTATCGTCATAGGCGCTTTTAGGCGAGGCCGGGGCGTGGCCACTTGGCTCACTAGCCCACTATGGACTCTGTAGGCTACCTACAAGTACACGTACCAGCCGTGGCCACCATGTTACATAACTGGGCGGGTATCTACTGGGCATGGCTCAGTCAGTGTGGCTGTCGGCTACGCTTCCCCGTGTCGCAATATGGTGCGCTCGTCGCCCGCCCATCCGCTCTCTACAGAGAACATGCGTAGAGACCCGGCCAGGCAGAGTTACCAGCAGGCTCGCGCAGAGTGAGATATATTCCCAGCCACAGTGAGATCTATTTCCGAGACTGTGGTGAGACCGGTCTACAAAGTGGTGTAAAATAAAAGAGAAGGCCAGGAGCCAAGGCAAGGACAGGGGTGTAGAGGTGAAGAGGCAGAGAAGATGTTCATATTTTTAGATTATCTTTATGTATTGAGGCATTACCTCAAGGTCCAGCATCCGATTCTTCTCCATCCAGTGGAGCAAGCTTCCTCGACACCGGGTCGAGGATATAGGAGATGACCCTATAAACCACACTCCATCGTATCCAAGGGACCAAAGACAGTCTCGGGGAGCGCCCATCCAAGTCACGGACTCAAACAGGACGTTCGCACACGCCACAGGCGTGCCATCGAAACACGGCCCCGATCATGCCCTTGGAGCCTCCAAACAGATATCGCGCAGTAAGGCAGCAGTCGTCACATGCCAGACGCGACGTCTCACCACCCTGCCGTTGTTCCCGCTCTCTTCAGTGCCAACCAGTGGCATCATCAGATGTAGTAGGGACGGGTGTCCGAGTTGTGCAGCGCAGAGGACTCGCTTCAGCCATTGCATCACCTCGAGGTCACCACGGCATTGCCAAAAGAGATCCTAGCATGTATCCCAAACCTTGCATACCTGCCGCGAGGCATTCCGATCTTGCGAAAATGCGGGACTGTATCCAACCCAGGGATATCTCTGTGTTCCATCCAGCCAGACCTGCCGCTGATGTATAGTCCAAAACCCACGAACTAATACTCAACATAGGAGATTAGCAGACAAAAAAAAATCAATCACAACGCTTGCTGGAAGATCAACCCTGTCCCAATATTATTCCATGTCCCGTGTCCCGTATAGCCCGTGTCAAATGCAGAGTGGTATCCTTGTGTCGCTAAAGTTCGATCAATTAACTCCTTGCTCAAATGCTCAAGATCTTTGTACCCGCAGACTCGTGCCGCTCCTTATCAGCCGACTGTGGATGTCCTTAAGAAGACAGCTGGTTGACGGCGATCAACCTTGAAGAATATTGTGTAGGCGAAACGGAAGCCGATGTGCTGGATCCGAGTCGTTTACATGGCAGTGGCATACGGCATCGTGTATTCTTGGTACCGATCCCACCCGAACGTGCTCAGGCCCGCAGACGTGCTGCAGGGTTGTGGAGTGAGCATGCTTGGTAGAGGAAGGGGCGCGAATGACGATGTTGTGACTGGAGCGCTGTAGGCAGGAGCACTGTAGTATTGAGATGTATTGTATGCCGCTGTAGAGTAAGGTTGGCTGAAGGAGGGCGTTGGCGATGGGAGTTGGATCTCGTTCACGCCCACGCTCGACCAAATGTTGTGGTGCGAGTCACAAGATGAGACGGGGCTGGGGCTTGACGGGACAATCTTCCATGCCTCGACGGGAGCGGGCTGGATGGCTTGCAGATGCTGTGACGGCCACCATTGTTCCGTGCCCGTCGAGCTGGGGAGCAGAGGAGTAGGGCGGATGACATCGACGATCCTCGGAGGTGGAGGGAGGAGAGGCACGAAGAGACCCATGATGGCGGTGCGCACTTCGTCGCTTCGGCCGCAAAGCAGCTCGCCAGCACCGTCTTCCTCCATGCCTTCCAGGGCGAGGGCGCTCGTCCGATAGACAAACTTGTTGGCCGCCTGCACAAACTCTTCCTGCAGTTTCTTGAGCTGTTGTTCCTTCTCCGACCATTCCCAGGTGTTGGCGTTGGTGTCGACAGAGAAGACTTCCTTGTGATACTCGACCAGCGAATCAATAGTGTCTGTTGTCAGCTTGAAGGCGACCTCGTTCTGCGAGACCATGTCGACATGCACGACGTAGGCCTCAATGTGGATGAGTTGATAGTTGAACAGGGCTTCCACCAGAGGATTGGAATCTTTCCTCAACTCCGTCTCGGGCGCCTTGGGCACCATTAGTGAGCACAGTGACCAGATGGCATTAGGCGATGACAGAGTCTCAGTCAGACATCGAGTGTGCTGAGGCACACTGTTGAGAGGTCGCTTGATCTTGTTGATCCGCTTGAGGGTGGCCGTCAACCAGGGTTCGACCTTTGTGTTGAGCACCACATTGCAGGTCGATCGCGGCGCAAAGGCAGCCGCCGAGGCGGGTAATAATATTGTCGGCATTATGAGTTAACTGAACTTTTTTGTATGGCGATATTCTCTCTCCTACCACGGAGAGATGCAGGGTGTCTTTATTGATCTTCTTCTCACAGAGACATTCGACAATGACGGGGAGGGAAGGGCTGACCAGGCAGAAAGCGACGAGACAATATAAGAGAGGACGTAAAGACGGCTCAGGGTAAATTGGATGAGTGATTGCGTTGATTTGAAGTGTATCTCTGTGGCGGTCCCAACGAGGGAAGTAGTGTGCGCGCCTTGCAGAGAGGGTTCGGAGATGAGGTGTAGGGGAAGAGGTGGTGATGGTGGAGGGAAAGAGTGGTAGAGGGTAGAGGGCAGAGGGCGGGAAGGGCGGGGATGACGAAAAGGGCAAAGAGATAGAAGGAGGAGAGAGCCGTACCTTATATCCAGCAGAGGGAGAACAGTCATGCACGGAAGTGATAGGCTGGAGAGAACAAAGCTAAAGATGGGGACCTGGACGGTCAGGCGCAGCAAGCGTTATGCAGTTGGATGGAGACATGGGTAAAAAGAAAAATTGTGGATACGGGCCCTGCGCAGTCTCCCCATCAGCAAACACGAAAGGATGGGAACCACTTTGGGGGGGGGGGGGGTGACTACTGGTAGGGCCCGAGGAGGGCTTTGGGGGATGCGAGGATGCGAGGATGTGAGGATGTGCGAGGGGTGCAAGGGGAGATAGGATGACCATGGGGGTGTTTCCGAATGGAGTGAGCGAGGAAGCGAACGGGCAAATCAAGCAATCTACAGAATCATGATCTTTGTTGTGAGTAGGAGGAGGAGCAGCAGCAGCAGTAGCAGCAGCAGGAGGAGGCGAGAAGGGCAAAAGAGGCGAATTCGGCAAAGAGCGAACGAAAGAAGAGCAACGGCAAAGGCGACGACACGAGGCGCAGCCGGGGATGCGAGAAAGAGGCAAGTCAGAAGTCACTCACTCACTAGGTACTCCGTACTGACTCCCTCACCTCACACCCAACTCAACTCAACTCACTCTCGGCTCACCCTACGCTCACTCTCTACCCTCTCTCACTCTCTCTATCCTGACCCGCTGCCAGGCGAGGCCGAGAATCAAGGCTTCCCCATTTTTGTCCCCATTGCCATTCGCATCCAGCTTGCCCCCGTCCACTTTTCCACTTTTCCCTTTGGGATTCTCTTTCGCCTCTTTTTCCATCACTCCAAGAACCCACAACCCACAATCCACCATCCACCATCCACCGCAACTCACCGAATGCTATGGCTGGCCACACTGCTGGCTGCATTGCACGGCGTCCCGGTTACGGACGGGCCCCCTCCCTTCCCTCTGATCCCGAGCCTACACCTGCGATGGACGCCGGCGCACCTGAACACGAACCTGGATCTGAACCTGACCTGACCTGCAACTTGCATCTACGCTACTGCACGTTCGACCGACTCGTCCCTGCTGAGCATCAACGGTACACGCCGTGTCTGAGCCCTGCCACTGGCCATTCGTCATCACCCAAAAGTCTCGCCTATGTTCCAGCTCAGGCTGTTTCCCCCCCCCCCCCCCCATCCCCCCCTTCCGAGCTGGGCAGAAAATAATGACACAAAGGACAGAATTGAATTAGCTGCATATGCAAGATCAGACGCTCCTCTCGCCCAGCTTCACCCGTCCTCGTCATGTCACTGGTGCCCTGCTTCCCACGGGCCATCTTGCTTGAAATCAACCATGCTCACTTAAGCGCACCAGCATTGATTGCCAATATCAAGTTTGATCAGGACTTTGTCAAACATGCACACGTGTGCGGAAATTGATCCTGGCCTCGCCCTACGCCGCCCAATGTTGCCCAGCTTCCGCCCATATCCAGTCTCCTGGTCCTGGCCCTGGCCCTGGCCATCATGGCGCCTGGGATCAGCAAGCCGCAAACGGCCAATATCCCCCATCCACTGGCGAACAACCCTCGTCAGCCTGCCCTTGAGACGGCTCTCCCCGAGAGGAAGCGTGCCTTCGAGATGATCTCCCCCCTTCTAGAAAACTACTTGAACCTGAATTGTTCCGAAGCCACCTTTGGTGCCTCGAGATTGCCATCGCTTCCGGCGCAAAGCCCTAGGCGGGCTGGACTTGTTCGTAAATGCATGGCACCTTTTTTTTGCGTGAGGGACCTGATCATCAGGTACGGCCACCCAAGGGGCCTTCAATCTCAAGATTTGTTCAATCACGATTCAGGCATGGCAGGGAGCCGAACTCTCCTGGATCCCTGGAGGCACATCTTCACGTAGCAGGTTGGTGGCATCGTCGGGGGCTGGGGAAGGAGTGAGCTCTCCTGTACTCGCCGTTGGCGCAACTCGTAGACACATGCACAAAACTTCCAAAGCTTTACGTATGCCAGACCTGGGGGCGGTTGTCTCAAGAGACCAGGAGTCTTTAGTCGCCCGTCAATGCGATTTGCAGACCCGAGTTCGTGGTACGATGGCCTTGGTTTCAGCCCAAACAAAAGCCAGCCTCTGGACGCTCGAGGCCTTGGGGTCTGCCAGGGCAAACGAGAATCCGGGCGCAGGCCAGAAGCCCGCCCAGCGGACAGAGTTCAGGAATCTATGTTGGCTGGACTCGGGCGGTTTGATGACTGGCGGAAGGCAAAGAACTGCACAACCAGTCATTGACATTAGAGGTTGGGTTGTTGCCAATCCGCCCGAGTTAGCTGGCGGAGGACAGCTGAGGTGATCCTCGTCGGAAGGCACTTCTGCAAAAGCATTGGCTGCTGATCGCGAACAATGGTGTGGCACTTTATCTCAACATCCCTGCTATGCCCTCCCATTGGTCGCATAGATTCTTCACCTAGCTGTAGCCTAGCATCATGTGACAGCCTCTGGTGCCGTGCCCACCTGTTCGAACGACGGGCAGAACTGGGTCGATGGCCAGAAACCCAAGGTACAAGTCTGTCGCAGCAGCCGCCGACACTTGTTCCTGGATCGACAAGCTGCGTGTTTCAGCCCAGGTATCCCAAACTGTGACGACAGTGCTTCTCCACGAGCAGAGAAAAGGTCAAAAATCGAGAGGCAAGATGCTGATGAGATCGACCAGCCGGGGAAAGCGAGGTTGGAAACAGGGCGGTCCCTGGCTAGGCTGCGGTGGCCCGACCAGGCCTTGTGGCTGTGCACGTGCATGAATAGTTTGCAATGATGGAAACATGGCCTGCCCGGCCTGCACGGCCTCATCCCCTCACGCCTCGTCGGGCTGCCCGATCACGTGGGCGCACTGAGCCTTGTTTGGGTGCACTTGGCTATTCCCGAGGCTCCAAAAGTACCGGCGTACTTTTGCACTGCTTCGCCACCTTTGGTGCTGTCGATCACGAGAGATCCTCATCGCTTCTGACAACTTTCGCCAAGAGCAAGAATCAAAAGTTGGGTATCAAGGATGACGATACACAGCACGCAAGATGCGGGACCGCTGCAACATCTAGTTGGGAGGTCTTGTTATTGTCATTCATTGTGCGCATGCATGCCTGTTGTGCACATCTCCGAGCGGCTAATCACCCACCACCCCCCCAGTATGGTACTCTCTACCAGGCTTTTGCCGGCCTTGGATACTGCAACCGGCGCCCCTTGGTTTCGTGACTGCAACAATGACGTTGTTTGACCAACTGTTTCTCGGCTACGATGAATCGGCGCTCGGTGTGCTTGCCTCAAGTCGACACTGAAATGCCCATATGGTTCGTCGCCGGGCGTGGCCTTTTCCAGAACCAAGATATGTTTAGATCTTGGAAGTCAAGCGAGGTATCATGTCCTGGGCAAATGCAGTTGCTGGTGGGTTTCGGGCTTGGCGCCGTGGTCGTCATGTTTCATCTTACTCGGGTCCATTGCGCTGCCTGCAAGTTGCATTGTCAGCTGAGGTCACTCCAGTTCAGCTCAGAGTCCCGAACAAGATTCTCAATGGCATCCACAAGAGCGCAGTCGAGTGAGGGACAATCGTTCGTCCTGTAATGCAGAGCTGTACCGCGAAGCCTGCGTAAACAATTGTACAACAGACAACACGTTTGTGGTCCTTGACACCGAAAATGACAGGTGAGTTACAGAACGTGGTGCCGATTGCCACGAGTGGGCAGTGTATCCGAACAGACAGCAGCGGGAGCTCCCTTCAATCCGCCTTGCTGGTTGCACAAGACAGTTGCGGCAGGGTACACCCTGAGGCCACCACCCGCGACATGCCCTCTCTGAGACGTTTGCGCTACATTCCCATTGTGCGGATGGGGCCCAGTGTGTTGTGATTCTGCCTCCGCTATCAACAACGCGATGCCTGACCAAGGATCTATTTGGGGGTGTCTTCGACTGTTAGACAATTCGACCGAGAAGTTGCCCGTGCTACAGGTTATGCAGAATTGGGGACACAGAGCGGTTCATTGCCCTCGGGCCAAAGAGCTGGCAACAAGCAAGCAAAGGTTGGAAGATGTGATGGACTTATTATGACTCGGTGAATTCGACAGTCTCTAAAACAGGAAGCCTCTGACCGTTGTTCTACTAACGAAACTGTGCGATGATCAAATGTCCGCTGTTTAACCAACATGCGAGTGCATATATCTGAGCCAGAAAGCGAGCGCATTGAGACGAGTATTGGTCGTGCAGTAGACGAAGAGCACAAGGTTCGTCTTGACCCCAATGATTCCATGCCTCGTCGGGTTCTCTCCTCTGAGGCTACATCGGTTGAAGCACTGGTCAATGAGAGAGAGCTAGCACAAGATGGTAGGCGATCAAGTATCATACTTGAAGTGGCAATGGGCTGTGAACCACGGGCACGAGACCTGAACCGCCATGTGTGGTGTTTTATCAACCCAGACGAGGCTGAGGCATTCCCCCAGAGACTGCCTCCCCTCTCCCCTCTCCCCTTTCCCCAAGACAGCCTTGCTTGCCATGCACTTTGGAAACTCTAGGTGCGGGCAAAAGGGACAAAGGGCAAAGGGGGCCAAAGGCTCAAGGCTCTCAAGGCTGTGTGCCAAGCACGCCGCACCAGCCAGGGTATTTTTAGATCCGTAGGGCCGGGCTGATCTGGCGTGTCGTGCGTGTCTGGCCTTTGGTCGACCCTGTTCGGGGAATTATCCTCCCGCACGTGCAGCTTGCCGCCCAATCACCTCTGGGCGTCGGTGTTTGCCTGACCGGGCCCCGACATGTGCTGAGTCGAAGGCTCGAGCTTATCCCTTTTCACCACCAAAAAATATCGAACAACTTGTTCAAGATTCTGTCTTCCTTCCCTCTCTCCGAATTTCGTCATATTCGAGCTCCTCTGGGCCGTTGTTTTTGTCCTTGTTTGCGGATATCTCTCTTCGTTGCAGCGTTGGGGTTTCGGGTACTTCTTTCACCGACTTGCGGACTTTTCTCAGCTCAGGGGCAACCACCGTTCACTCCCCTGAAGGGCTATTTCACAGCTCTCTTTTCGACAAGGAACAGCTTGTTTTAATAATTTCCTCGACAGTATCCGGTCATTGTCCTGTACTCTCCAGCATTCAAAGTCGGCCAGGATCAATATGTCTGCATACATCCGTCCTTCAATCAAGGCTGCTGGTGTTGCAGCGGCGGGCGCCACAGCTGGCTACACGGCGTGTCATTACTGGAACACGACCTTCTTCCAATTTAACACAGTTCACGCCGAATCACCTCCTTCAGATGCCAAGGCAGCACTGAAGAAGATGAATTGGAAGGGGTTCACGGAGCTCAAGCTGGAAAAAGCTGAAATGGTCAATCACAATGTCAAAAGACTGACTTTTGCTCTACCTGACGATTCATCAATCACCGGCATTCCACCAGTCAGTACGTAGAAATTGTTTTCCGTCTGTCGGAATCCAAATCCTCTAACTCTTCAACAGCATCTCTCCTGACTAGACATACGCCCGAAGGTGCCTGGATTCCGGTCTTCCGGCCATACACACCTGTCAGCGCCAATGGTAAGTTCTTGATCTGCCTTTGGTTGCAGTGGACCTTCTGGGGCTAATTTTATCATCTCCAAGACCAACCTGGATATGTGACGTTCATGGTCAAGAGGTATCCCAACGGCAAGGGGTCCGGCAAAATGCACTCTCTGAAACCTGGTGATTCAATGCTGTTCAAGCCACTTCACGAGTTCGACTACAAGCCGAATCAGTACTCCGCCATGACCTTCATTGCCGGAGGATCTGGCATCACCCCCATCTACCAGCTGACCCGGTCCATTCTCGACAACCCGGAGGACAAGACCAAGATTGCCCTGGTCTATGCGAACAACACCGAGGAGGATATTTTGCTGAAACGAGAATTTGACGAACTGGCGCAGCAATTCCCCGACCGCTTCACCAGGACCTACACCGTCAGCAAAATCACGCCGGAAAATGAGGGTCGCTACCACCAAGGCTATGTGGACAAGACCATGTTGAGCCAAGTGATGCCTCACAAGATGAACGAACAGAATGTCAAGGTTCTCGTTAGTGGACCTCCTGCCATGATTGAAGCTGTGGCCGGCGCCAAAGGCGGCTTCGGATGGACGCAGGGCAGTCTGGGCGGGATCCTCGGAGAGCTAGGATACACCAAGGAAGAAGTGCACAAGTTTTAGAGATTTATCACATTGCCGTGGTGAGGGTGTTCTCAATTCGATGTCTATATTACTAGAACCGGGGTGAACTTTGACTTCTTGCACCAGGCGCTTTGGGGGGCGCTAGACATAGAATAGATAGACAAATACCAGAGGGTGAGGCGAGGGGCAAGCGGCTAATCTTCTCGCCTTGGAGTCCAGTTGCGAGTATTCAATGTTCCCAAGCATCATTGATTGTGATTTTCGGCGTAGGAATTTAGTGTTTGACACTCTTGGCTCATTATGTGGTGTCGAGGTATGGTCGACCTGATAGCCCTTTGGTGGTGCGGTAACCCCTCAGGATCATGGCGGACCCTCCTCGATCAACGTGCCCAATTCCAATGGCCTGGATGATAGCAGATATGGATCACAACCTAGGACTGAAGAACAGCCCGCCTGAGACCGGCTGGAGGCTAAACAATTCACTCATGGAGGCGACCAAACAGGGCAATGACACTGGATGATAGCAATGGAAGTTCTCGGAGCTTGTTCGTCCGCCCGGCCCGGTAGCTGTCGGTTGGGTGGTTGCATCATCCAAACCTCGCCCTTCCCAACCCTCTGCGCTCCGCTGTTCCACACATGCTTCTCACAAGCTTACCCCGTCCCATGTTCCCATCTCTATCGCCTACGCAATTCTGCGTCCGCGTTGGAATCAGCGAACCAGACACAAGAGGGTCGGCGCCGGAAATGGAAGGAACCCACTAAGAAACACCTGGGACGCGTTTGCTTTGTTCGCTACTCTCTCGTGTGAAGAGAAGGTGACGTCCCGTGCCCTTCCTTGACCATGCAGGCCTTTGGTGAGTTCTTTATGTTTTCTTCTTGATCGATGGTGATGGTGATGATGGTGGAAATTCCTCCTCCATGCTCCGAGGAACATGCTGCGGAAGCAAGCGCTGATCAATCTGACATTCTCAGTCCCCAAGAACCGCAAGGTATGTATATGCGCCGCCGGTTATCTTCGCCGTCGTCTTGCGCCACCCACCACCCCACTGATGTTTCTCTCCAACACGGTTGCTGATCGAGAGGGTTAATCGTTCTAGCCGAAATTCGATCTCACCCTGCGCATTATCGACTTGACCAACATCCCCCTGATCTACGGAACCGCCTGTGTGAGGTGGCACCTCTCCTCTTCCAATGCCGCGGAGCACCGCGGGCGCACCGATAAGGCCCCGATCGAAGAACACAAGGCGACATGGGACTACTGCAAGGAGATACCGGTGCGGCTGACCATCGACAAGACGGGCATGCTCCAGGAGTGCGACATCCACTTTGAAGTCCTCCAGGAGTTCCATGAAGGCGGAAGAGGTGGTCGTGTACATCTGGGCAATGTGAAGCTCAACCTGGCCGAATACACTCGACTGTCCGACCTATCACCGGCAGACCGTGATCCTCAAGATGAAGCCGACGACGGAAGCATCACGAGAAGATACCTCTTGCAAGACAGCAAGGTCAACAGCACGCTGAAGATCGGGATTAGAATGAAACAGACCGAGGGTGACTCAAATTTCATCGCACCTCCACTGAGGTCGGCCATGGTGGTAGGAGGCATCGCGGGAGTTTTGACGACAGAGGCCGGCGAAGGAGACGACATCCCGAGCATCACAAGCAAGACGAGAGAATTGTCAGAAGCCCAGGACATCTATCGAAGAACGCTGGCAGCGACATGGGCTTGTCAAGCCGGGGAAATGCCCCCGGATAAGCTGATCGAGAATCTGTTTGCCGGAGGAGACGGCGGAGCGCGGCCACACTCGTCGAGCAGTAAAGCCAGCAACCAACAACAGCAATTACAGCAACAGATCGCCCGCCCCCCTTCGCGTGAAGAGAACGGCAGCAGCTCAAGCGACGAGCCCAGGCGACCCGTCACTCCGCGCCAACAGCTCTTAACACCTCAGGTGGCCGCTGGCGGCCCAGGCCATGGTCACGGGCACCGGCGGGGATCGAGTCGAGATTCTCCTAATCTGCAAACAGCTGCCGCGGGCGCAGTGAGTGGCCGATCGAGCATTGAGCAGCAGGTCCACGCCAGCCAGCAGGAGAACCGCCGGCGTGATCGCCCAGAGTATCACGAGGTCACCGAATTTGATCTCAGGGACGATCTACGGAGTTGGCAAGTCCGAGTAAGATGATAGATCACCAGGCGGGTTGACAGCCCTCAAAATATGTTCTTTTCTTCTCGATGTTTCAGCTGTGCATAAGACGACGTGGCTGCTCGCCCTTTTTGCGCCCTCTTTTTCTGCTCGCGTGGCTCGCGTCCGTCCTCTGCACTTGGATATTGTACAAAAACTTTGCCGGTCAATGCCGTGGCTTGCAATTTCGCTCAATATGCCTCCTCAGGTTATCGACTCGATTGAAGGAATGACCACAGGCAACACCTTTGTACCATTGCGCTCCATCGGAATGCATCGTGTTAACGTGCCTCGTCAGGTCTTTCTCATGGCTGAAAGACCTATCACACCTTAGACACCGATGCCGGTACCCGGGGAAAGTCGAGTCGGGTCTCGTAGAGGAGAAGAGTACGGGATCTCGAGGCAGCAAGTTCGATTGTTCAATCTGGATTGAGGCGCAGGGACGAGAAACACGCTCCGTCGCGGTTTGTTCATCCTGGCGATTAGTCGTGCCCGTCGCTTCGACGAGCGCCTCAGACGGCTGTGGGAGAAGCCGTCGACCGCTTGCTTTGCCCTTCAACGGCAGGGCGCTCTTGGTCAGTTCTCCACAGATTATCCAGGTTCAGTTGACATTGCAAGTGAAGACGATACCCTGCTTGAGCTCCATGTTCACTCTCCGAATGAGGAGATCCCCCGCTACTCCCGAGGCACCGCGATCCCCTGTACCGTGGACACCACAAATTGTCCCTACGGACCAGAGCTTGAGGAAGGGTTCGGCGAAGCCACCACTACAATCAACGAACTGAAATGCGGTGTCACTTTCAAGGTCGTGGCGGTCGGAGAGCGCGCCGTGTTCGCGGTCATCTAAGCCGGGGAGCCCAAGAAACCCGGCTTGTTGGCCAAGTCGTTCTTTCCCGGGGACACAGCAGAGCTTGAAAAACGATGCTACATCAAGGGTGTATGCGCCGGCGCTTGAGGAGACGACTCGTCCTGCGCTGAAAAAAAGGTCTTCCTCCATGAGCTTGGGCACGTGTTAGGGCTGAGGCCACGAGTTCGCGCACAGCGATCCCGACGAGGCGAGGTATGCTCCCAGATAAGTGAGGCCGAACAACCACGCCTCGATCATGAACTACCCCGACGGTCCCGCTGCCTTGCACGACACGGATATCCAGACTACAGATGAGCAGAGTCTGATAGAATTCTACCAGCTAAACGACGGCAACGTCTAGGAAGGTTAAATGCGTGCGGCCGCAACTCCGGTATTATGAGGTGAAAAGCAAAGCCAAGAAGAGTACCGAATTGGGGGTGTGAACCCTCTAGATGATATAACACCAATACGAGGACAGAATGGAAATGGCTCAGATGGCTGCGAGACGTTCAGTCTATCTTCATGCCATAACGGCTCCAACGGGCCATTGGAATAGGACATCATTGAACCCACAAGGGAGAATCCTCTACGCTACCTCCTGTTTTCGACGCGGGGGAGGAATGTTTAATTTGTCTTCCAGGGAGCATTGTCGTTGGCATAGCTCCATGCGCCAGTCGCCGCTTTGATGTCACCTCTATCCCATAACCCTAGGTGCGGCTTGGTACCACCGAGGTGCCCACCTCCTTTTTTCTCTGAGGGCGGAGTACATGCTCGGAGTCACGGAGTTCTCGGTGCTGGTCGCCACGATGAATTAAAACTGCGTGCACCTCGCCCTGCTTCCGGCGTAGGGGACCCCAAGATGAGAATGCAATGCATATGCCACGGCATGGGGAGTGTGGGATTGTGTGAAGGTTGTGTAGGCTTGGGGGCCAGATTTAATCACCTCGATCGATCGGCCATTCCCGACAACGCCGCTATCCCTCTCTCCTGACAAGCTCGGGACATGGCTTGTGTTCGCAATACTCCGATCGCAGCGGTCGGCATGTCGCTGGTGGCACATTCACAGGTGTTAACAAAAGTCTAGCTCTGGAAGATATCCACCATTCGAGAAATCTTTGGGAGATCACCTCGAGTATTTGAACAGCGCATGTGTGCACTTGTGGAACAGAGGAGTTCATCTCGCTTGCCTCAGCACGAAGGCTCGAAAGCACATTTTACTCCATCTCCGACCAGTCTGGACACTGGATTCGGATAAAACCCCTCCCAGGATGCAGACATTCAAGCTCACTGCAACTGGCTACAACCTCAACTATCTACCCGAGTACATCGCTCTCCGTCACGGCTTCTTCCGAGAGCAAGGCCTTGATGTGACCGTCAACATTCCCACGCCCTGGGATGGAGTGCTTGACGCGCTCGCTGATGGTTCAGCCGACATGGCACTCGGGGGAATCTGGGTGCCGTCCATGTACCGCGACAAGGTACAGAACTATACCGTGTTCGCCCAAATAGCCAACCGCTGTCCACTGGCCGTTCTGCAGCGCCGTGGCCGTGACAACTTCCAGCTGTCCGACGTGACGGGCAAGACTGTGCTCATGAAGTCGGGCGGGGGCGCCAGCGTCGGCCTGTTCTTCAAGATGCTGCTGCGGGAGAACGCCGTCGACGCTCGATCCGTCGACTACATCCAGGATCTCGACGGCAAAATGCTGGGTGATTTGTTCCAAGGTGGCATGGGTGACTATTTTGTGACGGACTACCTCTCGGCCCGAGTCATGGCCTCACGCAATCCCGACATCACGATCGCGCTAGAGGCCGTCACCCAGGGAGAGGTTCCCTGGAGCGTCTACTATCGGGAAACGGCCACCGTCACGCCCGAAATCCTCGACGCGCAGAGGCGTTTCTGCGTCGCCCTCGGCCGGGCCATCGACTGGGTCCTGGAGCGCGACGCAGAAACGTTCCGTGACGAGCTTGCGGAGCTCTTCCCGGCTGTCCCGGTCGATGTTGCCGTTGCGGTCACCAATCGGTTCCGCCAAGAAGGCATGTGGACGTCCACGACGATCCCTCGCGAGGCGTTCGATCGCTGGCAGCGGGGCCTTGCCGATGCCAGACTCGTCAAAGAACCGCTCGTATACGAAGCACTCGTTGACGATGGGCCTTCGACCACGGCGCAAGAGCAGCGTGCTGCGAGCAAGGCAACTCTTCTCCCGGCTCAGCTGTAGCGCGAATGGTGCAGAACCCTCGTGGGCGTGGTCGGATCCGGGCAATTGCAATGGAGAAAAACGTCCGTTTTCAGAATCCGTGAAGAAAGTGCTTAAATTCTAGTCAGTGACCTCTCTGTCGTTACATCACACAATGCCAAAAATAAAAGAATTCTGAAGAAAAAGTCCTCAAGACTTGAATATAACTCTGTCACGCTGTGTGGGCTGTAATTCTCTCCGGCCTTTTATGATTTAGTTGCTTCGGGTGCAAGTTCGCCTGGGCCACTGACGAAATCCAACTGCGTTGCGTCTCCCTCGATTCTTCGACTCTTGAAAGAAAAGCGGACAACTACTCGGAGGCTGTCTGTCGAACGGTATCGATCAGTTTTTCATTATTAAGGGTACACTCTTACATCACTCGCTGCTGGTGCCGCCGCCGAGTGCGGTATCATGCCATTGAGATCCACGTCGCCTACATCAGGCCACTGTGCCGTAGAACTTGACATATCCCCAAATGCAAAAGGCGTCACTCGATCACAACATGTTTGACAGAGTCTGGCTCCCCCCAACCCCCGATGGCCGCAAAGTAGTCACTGGCACGCTATGGAGGTTCGCGCCATTCCCGTTGACGGTCTACGCGATCAAGTCCTGATCCAACAACCTGCGGCGGGTACAGTAGTGATTCGGGAGACCATTTGCAAAGCCGACGCTGTTGTTGATGGGGGGTGGAATCCTGTTCGGTAATATGCGAAGGTGATATTGAGATAGCTGTGGGGGGACGATGAGGTCCAACCATGTTCAAGCGTCGATGGTGGTTGTGATAGGTCTAGGGCCTGGCCTGCTTCGACCCGGTCGGCATTTTCCGAGCGGGTGATAAACGTAATAACCATTGAATACCAATTGAACCGACCAACCATCGGAACGATTGACTATTGGTTGGCATGGTTGTGTCCCAATACGCGTTGATAGAACTCAAAGACGCAGCCAGAGTCCTTATCTCGAGCTTATCTCATAGGTTCGCCGGTCCCGCCTGAGTTGCACCTCCCAGAGCTTTTCGTATAGAGACGCCGCAAATCTGATCATCGCAGGACCTGAATAGTGTCGAGCTCGCTGAGATGAATGGCGTGTATTCGTTGAGCAGACCCTGAGCATCCAGGCCGCTTGGTATTCAACGTTCGTGAACATAAGTTATCTTGCTATCAAAATCGCTCCCTGGCAGAGGCGGATCGGCTTAAGCCGTGTCTACGGTTACTTGTTTCTCACAGGTCCTGCAGATATGGCATATCTCACATCCTGAGGGTTATCACCCGAAACAATACTGTAGGAGTCTCTTGAGAGATCCCCAGATACCAACACGGGGAGAAGGAGGAGAATGCAGGTATATAAACGCCCAATATCAACTACTCTGTGGTCCTCTCAGCCGAGGAGTGCAACCACATTCACTACCGAGGACCTTAGACTGTGTACCGAACAATTTCCAAGCACATCTGTCCCCTGTACTCAACCCTGCGTCTCCTCACGGCCATCACAATGTCTGCCAGTCCCGACATAGAGAAGAAGCTTCCCGTGGACACTACCTATCAGGTCAAGGATGAAGCAATCGAAGCCGGATCCGCCAGCCAAGTCATCTACATTGACCCCGAGAAAGAGAAGGCTGCTTTCAAGAAATTTGACCGATATGTCATCCCCGCCTCCTTTGTATTTATGGTCCTTTGCGCCTTAGACCGAAACAATGTGAGGGAGATCAATTTCTCTGCAACCATACAGAGCTGACAGATCCGCAGTTGGGGAATGCTCGTGTCTTTGGCTTCGACGAGGACATTGGTCTCCATGGTCGCCAATTCGGCAACATCAACACCTTCTCCAGCCTGACCACCATGCTCTTCGAAATCCCCTGGGTTCTGGCCGTCAGGCGATTTGGGGCCAACAAGGCCCTGGGGACTGCATTTTGCATCTGGAGCGCCTCCACCTTGGGCACCGCCTTTGTCCAGAACTACGCCCAAGCCGTCGTTTGCCGCATGCTCGTGAACGCCGCGGGAGGCGGTCTCGAGCAGGGGTTCGCGTACCTCTTTTCCACCATCTACCCGCGGCACCTGGTAGGCAAGCGCATCATCACGAATAACTTGGCAATGTGTGTCTCGGGGGCGTTTGGCGGGCTCTTCGCGTGGGCCATCCAGCAGATGGGGACGCAACGGGGGTTGGCGGCGTGGCGATGGCTATTCATCGTCGAGTTCGGCATCACGATTGTCGTCGGAGGGACGTGCTGGGTCTTTCTTCCCCAGTCGGCCGAGTCGGCTTGGTTCCTGAATGCCGACGAGAAGGAAGTCATGCGGCTGCGGAAGGAGCGCGACGCGATGTTTCGAGGCGCCGGAAAGTTCGACCGCAGGTGGATTCGGATTGCGCTCCTCGAACCTTTCGTCTACCTCCTTGGTATTGCCTTTTTTACGTCTTCCGTGGCTATCAACGGGTTCAATGTCTTCTTGCCGACTATCCTCGCTGGTCTTGGGTAAGTTTTCGCTCTCAGGATTGAGAATACACCCAGAGCACCCTGCTGACGATGGCTAGGTATGCTGACCTACACGTCAATTACATGACCATTCCGGTATACATCCTTGGAGCCTCCTCCCTCGTTACTGTCGTCTACTTCTCGGACAGATTCAAGCGTCGTGGGGTATTCATTATGGGATGCTGCGTTCCCGTTGTGGTCGGATACCTCATTGCCGTCGGGACTGCCAATGCGCACGCTGGCTATGCGGCCATGTTCATCCTTGTTCTAGGTGCGTACTGGAGCCGTCGTCGATCCGATCCCCCCTTGTTCCTCAGCTAACCGCGTCTTGACCAGGAATCTATCCCATCTCGACCCTCGCCGTCACCTGGGCAGCTGGCACCCTGGCACCAGACGACAAACGCGCCTTTGGCATGCCCCTCGCCAGCTCGATTGGAAACCTCTCGAATTTTGTCTCGTCCCAACTCTATCCAACGCAGCAGGGCCCACGGTACATTCAGGGTAATGCTGTTTCGGCCGGCCTGACTGTTGTGGCTGCGTTCCTTTATGGCTCCTGCTGGCTTTTGTTGAGGACCAGGAACAAGAGGAAGGAGAAGCTGATTGCCGAGGGGGCTACCACGAACGGCCTCGAGGGGGACCAGGGTCTTGACCACAAGTATATTCTTTGAGCGTGGGACTGTTCGTGGCGCCGCATTGGCCTGTAGCTGGCAGTCTGGCACTTCTCACATACTGAAAATCCTGTGGGACATTCTCTAGTGAATGGTAATACGCCGCCTTTATAACCACCTCCACTTACCCTGGCCTCACTCTCGTGCCTGAAATAATCAACCGCAGACAGGGCTGATGAAGATCCGAAACTGGCCGCGGGCGGACCTCTCCCTCTTCGACGCATGTCTAGGTTTCAATTTTTGCACGGTGGGAAAGCCAACAGGACAGTCCCAAAAGGATCCTGGAGCAGTAGGAAGAGGGGCACGGCTGAGAAGTGACTAGCCGAAAGCGGCAGGCGTTCTAGACCCCGGCCTTCAACTCTATTACTTTCGCTCCAGTCCCATTCTCGACAATTACCTTTCAGACTGGGAACAAGCTAGGACAAGCAATGCCTAGGATGGTCTTGTTTTTTCCCTTCCCGCTTTGAATTGCCAAGTGTGGGCTGGAACGGCCGAGGCTGTATCCCTGGTTGGGTGGGACGTTTCTGGACATGCCCATTCGCCGTGACCCATTATGGAAACCGTTGAAATACATCGTCGTCAAACTAACGCGCTCGCGTAAGTATCTACATGGCCTCTCAGCTTATTTGACGGTAAGCCACTTCAAAAGGGGTCTGGAAAAGAAACTAGTCTGCCGCTGCCATGTCGATCTATTCAAAACTGACTCCGGGGTTATTGTTATTTCTCTCGCCTCCAAAGATGCAAAAGGGTCGACTGCCAGGGCCCATCTCTTTCTAACTCGACATTCATTGACTGCAGTCGACGACAATGGCTTCGTGGTGGATGCCAGTATGGTATATCGTATGCACCTTCTTTTGGGCGTCCTCGACCTCCGCGAGCTCCCCTTGCTCTAATCCACCCTACAATGCGCTGTTATTCCTCTCGGGCTTCCCTGCGGCGGAAAGCTACTGTTCCCAGCACTACCCAGTGCCGGCCGTGACGACCACTGTCACGCCGCATCTTCAGATTCGGAGGTTCCTGCACATGCGACCTACGACCACCACTTCGCACACTACGACGCCCTCGAAAACAACCACGACCTCACGGACGACGACGACGACGACGACAACCACGAAAACAACCACATCTCGATCGACCACCTCCACGACCTTGAGCACAACCCGGTCCTCGACCACCACCAGCGCGAATGCATGCACGGGAGCGTGCGCGACGTGGTCGAGCATCAGCAAGGTGGCCGGCCAGGTCCTCGCGACCCTCTGCTCGTGTATAGAAAAGCCTTCTACCGTAACTGTGAGTGATCCTAATTTCTGTTTCCCAGATCTGAAAGGAAGAGACAAGCACTGATGTGAATTCGCAATGCAGGTGACTCTCAGTGCATCTTCCACGACGACGACGACGACGACGACGACGACGGTCAGCAATATACAACTTGCAATTCCCCCTTGGGACGAACTCCGAAGCTAACGTGACAGCAGACAACGACTACGACGACAACTACAACTACAACAACTACAACAACAACCTCAACAATACCGGTACCTCTCTACCCATCTTGGACCCTCCGTTCTTATTCCCTTGGAGCTAACAAACCCGCAGACCACGACCCCGAGCACAACCACCACCACCACGACAACCACGACAAGCACAATCCCCACCACGACCCCCAATACCAACGTCATCCGTCCCACCGGCCCCTGCGGCCCCGAGCCAGGCTCTCCCTGCGAGGGCGAAACCTGCGCCGAGGACGGAGAACTGTGCGTGCTGGACACGGAATGCTGCGACGAGGGTTCGATCTGCCAGAACGGGAATGCCGATGGGTTTGGGACGTGTTTGCCGGCGGCTCCGACTTAGAAGAGCGCGCTAGATTTGGGGGGGGAGGGGGGGAGGGGAGGGAAGGAAGGTCTTGAAAATGAAATACTGGTTTTGAGAAATGTAATATGCCTGGTTTGGATATATACTAGTATTACGGGGCGTAATACGTCGTTTGATTTGGATGTTTTAAGCCGCTCACACGCAAAGAGAGTTAAAAAGTATCCCACGAATACACACACACATATATATGTGGGTGGTGTGGTGTGTCACGATATTCTCTCGCCCCTTATTCCTAGATTATATGTCCATCTCCCCCATCCCACCCCTCTACAGCGTAAACCCCATCTCCTGTCTACTGTCGCTCACCAACCGGCCATACTCCATGAGCACCCTCAACATGGCGAGTTCCAGATCCACCATCCGCAAGGTCTTCCGCGCCCACTCCCTGCCCTGCCGTGCGACCCTCTCGCCGATCCCTCTCCCTGTTTCGTCCTCGCTCAAGTACCTGACCACCTCGGCCAGCTCGTCTGCGCCGGGGCTGATGGGGATGAAATGCACCCACGGCACGAGCCGGCCGTCATGCCACTCTTGGAACACCGTCTGTTTCAGCACGGCGCTCTGGGAGAGGAGGAGCCGGTAGAAGCGGCCCGAGAAGGCGTTGCCGTCCATGTCCAGCACGTATTTCGCGCCGTACGCGGCCGAGGGGGCGTCAGCGTTGGGGTTCCTCCTCTTGTGGCCGCCGCGCTTGCTCCCTTCTTCTTCTTCTTCTTCGTCTCGGGGTGCGTCCTCGTATGTGGGATCTCGCTTGAGGAAGGCGTGGCGCATTGCGGTGCAGGCCGCGGGCTCGCACTGCGCAGATGGGATCGAGGTCAAGCGGAGGTCGAAGAGGCGGGAGAGATTCGACATGGGAGTACGTTGGGGGTGCCACACGTCGCCGGAACGCTGTAGGATCGTGGCCGAGGTGTTTTCGGACGTCGTGTGAAGGACCAGGCTTTGACGGTGCAGAGTGCGCCAGTTCTCCAGCGTCGCCCAGCCGCCGGTTGCAGAACCGGTCCAGTAAACGAGGTCCTTCTTCTCCGACCACTCCATGTCGTCGTCCTCGTCGTATTCTTCTTGGATGAGGTTGAGCCAGTACCAGATGGGTGGATAGAGGATGTCGTTGAAGATGGATGGCTTGGAGGGAGAGAAGACGGGAACTAGAGACTCGGTTACGGAGCATGACGTCGGGGACGTGAAGAAGCCGTGGGATCGGGGAATGGTGGGATTGTTGCATACGTCTTGACCTTCCGTCAGGTTGTGGATGAAAGGTAATGGATGGTCCTCCCCTTTGATAGAAGCCATCTTCCCAGTCGCCTCGTCTCGTGATGGTGAGTTGGCAGGACAGGCCGAGAATATGGCTTGCCGCAAATCTCTTTTTGAACAATCGACCCAGGACAGCCCCGTTGTCTCACGAGGTGGCTCGCGAGTAGAACTAGTTGACGTGGCCGCCTTTCTAGCGGCCAGCAAGGTCTCAGAGGAGGCGACCACTGTGGCAGATGTCAGTCTCCTAACGTCAATCTCCATCCTCGTCCCCAGGATGAGGCATTCCTACCTCGAGGCTCATCATATTGGTTGACCAGAATTGTCATATCAGGCAAGATATCGAGCCATCCAGGCTTTTCGAGCCACCGATCAATGATGTTGGCGTGGTATATTCCTCTGTGTGTTGCCTTTTCCTCGATCTGGTGATTCTTGATACTGATGCGGAACATCCCTGGTGCTGTAGTTTGGGCAGATTCGATTGCCCAGCGCATGAGCGAAGGATCAATCCCCCAGAACGGCTCAAGGCTTGTCATAATCGTGTCGAACTCGTCAACGAGGAGGTAATGATTCTTCTGCGCCATCTCAAACCACATGTCGAAACTTGGAGGTGGATCTCGACTGTAGCGCTTTCTGTAGGTCACCACAGCTTCCTCTAGAGTCTGTGACTGGGAGCGTATCATCTCTGCAAACCGTGCTTGAGCTGTTTCGGAGAGGATTTCGACTGGATGACGCCTGTAATGAGTGGCTTGACCTATCAAAGCTGTCTGTGATGGGTCGTTTCTTGCGCTTCGCATCCCGATGTAAGTGAAAAGGGGGACAAAACAAAGCAATAACAATTTTCGACGGCCGACGGACGCTGGCAGCAGATTAAGAAGATGCATTATAGCCACGAAAGCCAGTGCGAACCCGATTGCCCTGCCAGTGGGAGATAAATCGTAAGTAGCCATTGCCGATAAGAGCGTAGTTGCGGACGAGGTTACAGGTCCGAGGAACGTGTCCTTGACCGCCTAAATTGTCGTCAGTCAATGGTTGTGGTGATAGGCGGGCGATACTACCAGGGAGATGATACATTGAAGCTGTATGAAGCGCAGGAAGCCTACAATTAGCGTCGAGAGCTGGAGCTGGAACGGGAACGATTTGCTTCCATAGAAATTGTAGACCGTCCATAGTAGAAAGAGTATTCTTGATGACCCATATACAGGCGAATGGGTCCAGAGGTCTGTTTTGTTGTGGCTGCCGTCGTGGAGAAGAATAAATACCAAGGATTGCAGCAGAATGCACAGCACTCCTATGGTTATTGTCGACAGCGAGAAGGTGCTGAAGTCCAACACAAGAAAACTAGAGGATACCAGCATGATAGCGTAGAATGACCAGATAGGCCATCCTTGCGACATTGATCTGCTGCCTGCGCGGCGTTTGTCACCTCGTCCCGTGAGAACGAAGGGTTCATGCCATAGTTGAGGCTGCAACGGACTATGCCATCGGTAGAAAGAAGTGACGGCGATACTGACGATGGGCTCCAGCGGGAGACGTTAGTATGAAAAGTCATTGACTCGATCCGAGAACTCACCATTGACCACCAAATGTATCTGAAACTATGCCGCCAGAGCAACAGGGAGAGGAAAGAGGAGCTCGCAATTAACAGCTCAGATACAGCTGTCTCTTGCAACATGCTCGAGAATTTCCAGCTTTCCAACAACCCAGCGCCATCGTCGCTGAGCCTCGTCGGCCTTGATCTTCGCCGCGTCCAGCTGAAGAGGGTCAGGAGTGCCCAGGCAGTCCATTCCACGTATGATTCCTGGCCACTGGGCACAACATGTTGGCATTGGAGTACATCCACCAGACATCCAGAAACCAGACCCGCTGCGGTAGGGAGGAGGGGGCCCATTATCAGGGTGAGCGGACATAGATAGTGGCCGACCCTTGCCAACGCAGTCGATCGGCTTGCTACATTGCAAGAGGAGGTTCTCTTTCCTAGGCAAGTTGCAGGCGTGTTGGTGTAAAAGGTAAATAGGTTTGCTGGTGCAGAATCCCCCAAAACGCAAGTACTCATCCCCAATCGGGATGAAGGTGATGCTGCCCTAATATGCTCAACACCGGCTCACCCAATCCCAGTGAGCCTCAACTAACGAAGCTCGCTCGCCGCGGGGGACGGATCCCTTGCCGCCTTGACACGAATGGTGCGATATCAACTTAACGCATAAGGTGTTAGAAAGCTCTCTTAGAAGATCCTCCAAGTCCTCATCTGATGATTTGTTTATATACAATGCTGTGATGCAGATTCAGCTCATTCTTGTGTACTTCTTCTACGGCGGCCTTACCTTCGTAGATTGAAAAATTGTTAAATTGTAAAATCCTCTTAGCTGGTCGCTCGAGAGGTATCCCCCGCCTGGGAAGACCAGTATTTGGGCGTTGTCAACGTGAAGAGCCACTTGAGAAAATATACAGTCATCGGTGATCGCTAGACGCGATGATAGATAAGAATATACCAGGAGGATCCTGACATAACGCCAGGTTGCAAATACATCGGGGGTAGAGTTCAGCTTCGGACATGGTCGTGGGTACTTCTAATATACCTTGATCACAGCTGTCCGGCGGGCTTTGGACATTTCGTCAGGCATTCCACCGACTGCGACATGGCCTCCGATTCCAGTCCTCTTCCAAAGCTTCTGTCCGATGCAATATCCACCCGCTCACGGTCTGGGACCCTAATGTCGAGTCGCTGCCTTCTGACACGACCGGGACCCGGTGACCCAGCCTCAAAGACCAGTTATGGCCACAGCTGTGATCCGCCTTCCATACCCATTGAATGCACCGTTGGTCTTCTTCACAGGCTGCTTGACACTGGGAGGGGGACAGCGCAACAGCCTTCTGCTCGTCTGGGATCTGGTTTTCGTCGTCACTTTTGAAAACTTGATCCGCGGACAGATTGTCCCAATCGGTTTTCGTATCGGCAATGCTTGGCTTGACAAATACCACGAACAAATCCTTGAACCGATAGAATCCGGGATTCTGTTGGTACCACTTCCGATCAAAGTCAAATAGGTCCTTCATCCCCCGCGCGTCGACATGGTGCCACGTCCAGCTTGGTTCACACCACGTCCGGCTACTCCAGCTGATCTCAGCAACCGTTGCGAACTGCACCAATGGCGCCGCATTCCGTAGCTTGATCCCGGCGTCTCTCATCGCCATGCCCAGCATCACATCTCCGCAACAAGTGATGGTCGTTTCTGCCTCCCACTTCTCGATGTGCTCGTGATCGTATATTCTCTCGAAGGCAGCAGCTGCGCCGGCACTGATGATGTAGCCAGATCCGCCATGCGCAAAGATGAGTTCGTCATCGTAATTATTCGCAGCACCAATATAAAGAGGCAGGGTATGGTTGAGCTTATCAAGGGTTTGCACGACGTTGTGAAACGCGAGGAAGGTATCTGCGTCGATGAAGACATACCATTTAACATTGGGGTGTTTTTGATATGCCTCGTGTAGCATTGGGATATTCTTCCACTTGTCCAAGGTCCAGGCCTTGCCAGCATTGCCATCTAATTGTCCAAAAGCGGTGAGATTATCCCGGGCATTGTGTGCTCTGTGGATGCTGCGGTAGAAATCGAACTCAGGGTTGGTCTCTCTGTACTGAGTGGAGACCGATTTTAAAGCATCGTGTATGTCGTGGCTTTCGATCTGCTGCTCTAGATCGGAGAAGATCACGATGTTTGGAATGCACAGAGCAAAGGTTGAGAGAATGGGCGGGATGCGCACGGAAGCCTCTGTAGCCCCCGTTTTTATGACGACCAGGACATCGCTAGACCCAGGCAGCGGCGGACATGATGTGGAAGGCTCTATGTTGGGAGACTTTGAATTCGTGAGATCCGGAATCGTCGTTGTTTCTAGGGGGTATGAGTGGTATATCAACCAGATGAACGATATCGCAATGAATGTAGCGGTGATTTTGACAATCCTGGTCTCCCTCATTCCGATGACGGAGCCGATTGGTCTCGCACCTGGGCTGGCACGTCGAAATGGCTCTGAATCCACGCCCTCGGATGGTTCTGGGTTAGACAAGAGCTGATGTGCAATGTCTTGTGCATTTTGATTAAACGAGTCCCATGACGTTCCAGGGGATCCCCGCCACAATGATCGACTACAGAGTAGAGCTAAAGCGGCGGGCTTGGGGCCGAAATCGAGCCTCGGAACAGGGTCTCGATAAACTGGCTATCCGCCTTGCTCGATTGCTTCTGCCACTCTGGTGATGGCTACACCACTCACTTCAACCTATCTTGGTCAGCCTCACGCCAGCCATATCCCCGAGGATGACAGTTCTGTTTTGAGACCTTCGATATGATACGTCAAACACCCCTAAGGTCAGCTTTGAGTAGATACAACAACATCAACAAGAAACCCGAATAGCCTAACTTCTATTGCTTTTCCTGGAAGCACTCCAGTCAACTGTGCTCGCGCAAGTTGTCAGCATATTGAGCTTGTTATGGGGCTCATTTTAGCAATCCAGTGTGGAGGGGTGGTCTCTATTTTGAGACTCAATCGCCGGGAATAGTCTAATATCATCACATCAGGCAGGCTGTAAACACCGCCCTCGCTTCGAGAAACATTGTGCACAAGGTAATATCGAGCGTGTTAGGGTATCAATGAGCGAACTGAGCCGGCTGCTGCCTGGAAAGGAGGTCACCGCAAGGTGCTGTGATGATTTCGGCGATAATGCCCAGCGCTGACATGCAATGTCACTAACACCGATATCAACGCCATATAAACAAGAAAATTCTCCGCGAACCGCTGCTGTCTGTTCATCAGCAGTACTGTGCTTCAGTCAACTAACAATACGAACGCCCTATGTCGACAGGCCAACAATGGATGACCCAGAGAATCCCTACGCTGCCGCACACCGTCGGCCCAACGGACCAGGTGATGCAAGACCGACAGCCGTACAGATCATCAAGGACAATGATCGCACCTCGAAGCTAGGCGACCTCGTCATTCTGATCACAGGCTGCTCAAGTGGCCTCGGTGTCGAGACGGCCCGCGCTCTTGCAACGACTGGCGCGACACTCTATCTCACGGCTCGCAATCTTGTCAAGGCACGAGAAGCTCTCGGTCCAGACCTCACCTCCAACCCTAAAGTACGTTTGCTAGAGTTGAACCTCGACTCGCTGGCTTCCGTCCGAGCTTGCGCAACGGAGTTTCTCAAACAATCATCCAAGCTGAACATTCTCGTCAACAATGCTGGGATTCGGCACGTCCCCTTTTCCAAGACTGAAGAGGGCTTCGAGCGTCACTTCGGCGTCAATCATCTCGCGCACTTTCTTCTGACTCAACTTCTTCTACCCACGCTACAGAAGTCTTCGACGATGACCTTCCAATCCCGCGTTGTCGTCCTCACTAGCACCGCGTCCCGCAACTCTGATATCGTCTTCGACGATGTCAACCTCGAGGGGCCTGGAGTGTACACCCCGCCTCTGGGTTACGCCCAAAGCAAGCTTGCAAACGTGTACATGGCGACAGAAATCACGCGACGCTATGGCACGCCAAACGCTGCAGTCGGCAACCCCGGCGTATGGGGCCTTGCAGTACACCCTGGCGGGATCAGGACTGGCCTCCAGGCCCACTCTGGGAACAGTGAGTTTTTGACGTGGTATTACATTCGCAACATCATGAGAGCTCTGAACATCGGCAAGAGCACCAAGCAAGGAGCCGCAACGACCGTCCTAGCGGCAGTGGGTAAGAGATTTGAAGGGCGAGGTGCGATGTACCTGGAAGATTGTGGCCAGGCGGTACCAGTCAAGAAAGATTGGGGCTTGATCGATCCAGGATACGTCACGGGGCGGACGGATAATGAGGAGGACGCAAAGAGATGCTGGGAGATGAGCTGCACGCTAGTCGAAGGACGAGGTTGACGTCAGGCCGAATCGTATCACGAGGGTCTCTTAAACAAGGCCGTTACCTAGTGGTAGGCGAGTGAGGTTGAAGTATATTATGCGAAGCTGTTCTTCAATAGGCGGATGGGAGGCGATCTCAGAGGTATTCATGGCCACTACTAGCACCATGTGTAGTCAGTCAGTACGTCGTTGGCGGGGTCATCAGGGAGACGGTCGCGCCAGGGAATGCAAGATTTTGGACTAGAGTAGATAGGACAGGCGACCTTGCAACATCGGACAACCTATAATCCCATTTAGCCTAGGCCAAACGTCCTAGAGATCTCTTTGCCCTGAGCTTATTACAGGCCACCGAATGCAGCCACTTATAGGAGCATCAGTCGGGCAGATTCAGGCTGAGGAAGATCAGCAGAACTCCCAGGTAACTGTAAAACACGTCAGTCAGTTGCATGTCGGGGTGGATCCGTCATTTACGTGCCTGGCTGCCGTCCCCAGTAGCTCGGCTCGGCCCATTTTGAAGAGGAGACAGAATCTGAAGAACACAGCGGTGAGGACGCCCGCGAGAGCAAGTTCGATCCGTGGTGCGGCGTTCCGCGAGACATGACGGCCGATGGCATAGAGAGCGAACGTGGGAGCAATGATACCAACTAGAGCAAGGGTGACATAGACCACGTTAGCTCTCCGCACGACATCATCATATGAGTAGAGATTCAAGCCCATATGTGATTCATCTCGCTGTCAAAGTCCATTAATTTCTCGACAGGGCTGGAAGAACTTGCAGGTCCACCCTACCTTGATACCGCAACTAAATCGCTTCCAGCTATCCAGTCCCGAGACCCAGGAGTCTTGGACGACTGGACTTCGTAGAGAAACAAGGTCCCGTATTTTCTCCTCCTTGTACAATTTCCCCATAAAGTCTGGAAATTTGAAGGCCGCATTCTTTTCTTCTTGACTTTTCTTCACACTGTAAATTGACTCAAGAGTCTTTGCAATTGGCGAGTCGAGCTCATTAAGCCGGGCCTGCTGTAACAAGGCCTCGCCTGAGGACAAAAGACATTGTATGAGTTGATGACAGCTTGGACGAGAAGGGAGAAATCATACGGTACTCAGCCATTCTTTGGCGGATCTTCTTGATTAGAAAAAATCTTCGCTGCGCCTGTGTCATTTCTTCATAAGGCCTAGTCGTGGGGATAGAACCGTTCTCTTCAATTTCGTTCCAGCTGAACGAGGGCTTGCCCAGACTATCCTCAGCATTCAAAAAATCGAACTTCTGCTTCAGGTCAAATAACTCGCCCTGAAGATAGACCAAATTGTGCATGGCCAACTGGTCGAAGCGATTAAAGACCATCAGGAAGCGATCTGGGTCCATGTTTAGGAGATTTGCAAACCCTTGAAACCCCTGATTGTGAGGTTTCCGCTCCCCTTTCTTAACACCGCGCTTTCGACACATAGCGGGCACAAAGACGAAGATACTAGTGTGCGGGAATTGAAGTGTGAATGTGTTCAGCCAATTTGTAAAGCGAAGCATCGTATCAGCTATTATACCAAGAAATGCGGGCGAGAATGGACGTACGATTCGTAAACTCCGGTTTGGATAAGTCGGATGACTTTCTGGAAGTCGAAACAATCAAAGCGAAAGCTGATGGTCAGGCGATGTTCGCTTCGCGGTAGCAAGCGAGCTGATTTGCAGTTGGCAAATCACACTTCAACGGCCACCGCCATGTCTCCCAGATCAAGCAAAAATCAGGCGAGGATCTGGCTTCTCCTAGTTCCTATTGCCTGTTTATCGTATGACTCGGCTAAACTAACCTAGCAGCTGTCTATGGGTCGCGTTACAAATTGAACGCCTGCGCCCGTTGAGAGAAAACTTACTCGTACAACGGTTCCTCAATCCTTATCAAGTATCCTTATCTTGACCACTATGGTCTTAGGGGGGTGGAAAGACACTGACAACCCCAAAATCACAGGAAAGGGGATTGCTGAGCCAAAACTAGCTGAGCCAGAACCAAGTGACCCAGAAACAAGTCCCAAACCCAACGGTAAACGTCACAAAAAACGTGAATACCCAGCTGCCCAACCGCAGCCCAATAAGTCGGAACCATTTCCATACCCAGGGGATGATGGTGAGTTAATTACTTGCAGATTTGAGTGAAACTATCCTAATTTTGACCGTCACTGCAGACTGGCCATGTGATCTGGAAGACGCTACAGCCAGAAGTTCCTCCCAGAACAACGAGGAGGAAAAAAGACACGACGCACGCATGGCTGAGATAGCTCAACACTCAGAATATGAGAGATCCCAAGAAGAAGAAGAAGCCGAGAAGAAAAAGGTTGCAGAGTTCAGAAATCTCCAATATGCCTTCCTTTGGACAAGCCAATTCTGGTCTGCAGATAATCGAGGTGACCAGGATCAGAACAAGATCGATGAGTGGAAGACGATGATGGACCGGTTGACGAAGTGTGGCATTGGATCCAGCTATGGCGCAGCTCTAGATTCCATCCGCAAGCAGGACTGGTCCTCTGCTAGCACATCTGTTGAATCGGTGAAGAACGGACTCGACGAACACTGTCGTGGAAAGAGTTTCACGGTTATACAGAGCATCATGGGGAAGCTTTCACAAGAAATCGAAAAATGTAGGACGGAAATGAGTAACAACGGCAAGGAGGGCACGGAGAGCAAGGAGGAAGAGAAGGAAGGTAGAGAAGGTGAAAGGGGGAAAGAGGGCAATGGAGACCACGGAGGAAACAAGGGTGAGCAGTTACAAGCTGAGATCAAAGGGTATTTGAAACAACTACGAAAATAGCACAAAGCCAAGCGGCCGAGAACAGAGTAGGCATCTGCTGGGGGTGGAGACGATGAAGAAGTGGCTCTTATAGAAGCTCAAGAAGGTGAATTTCCTATCCGATACACATAATTTCACGTCGTTTGGCTGCTCTGATATCTGTAGTGGGACTTTCCAAGCGGCAATTTGCGCCTCGATGCTCGTGATCCGGTTATCCTGTCGACCAGAATTCAATCCTCCGACCTCTTATAGGATTTGCGGTAACATTGTCTGTAGTTCATGTATCATAGGTAGCAGCTCTTCCTTCAAGCTCTGATCTATCACACCCGTCGCGGGCACGGTCTCGATTACTTTCGTCTCGATTGCTTTCAACTTCTCCAGACACTCTTGAAGTTTCGAATAAAGTGACATGGTGGGATAGCTGCTGGGTGGATGGCTGCTGGGTGGATGGCTGCTGGGTGGATGGCTGCTGGGTGGATGGCTGCTGGGTGGATGGCTGCTGGGTGGATGGCTGC